CTTGTCAGGACACGAGTTGGTGGCTGGTTTTGACATAGACATGGGTGTCACGATATGCAGTGTCAGGACTCTGACTCTGAATGTAGGTCCAGTCAGTTCTGAGAAGGCAAGAGCTCAAGCAGTCAAGATTGTACAAAGATTTAAGATTTAAACAAACCTTAGGTTTGTTTAAGGGGATTCACGGTAAGTTATAGTACTTTTTGAAGGTTGAAAGGGATTAAATCTATAGACAAGGCCAAAACTGGTTTTCAGATAAAGCTTCTACTAGCAAATCTGGAGTAGTTCTCATTTGAAATGTTGCATGCAAAACGAAGCCTAGAATTTTATCTATGCTTGTCATGCATTTGTAAAGCTTGTGGGCATCACATCCTTCTCCCACTGGAAAAAAAAAAATCCACTAACATTCTTTTACTGTTTCCCAAAATAATGTTTCCAATTCAATACATTTTTTTCTCTGAAGATTTTAAATTCACTAAAATTAAACAATAAAGATTTAATGGAACTCAAGGATTAAATAACATTTTGAAGTATCTCATTGGAAGGCCCTGTATGAATGTAATATATAACTAAAAATGCTATTCGCAGATTGTGTTAAGAACCAATCTGAAATACCCAAGTCAAAGAAAGGATGGCAACGTGAGCAATAGTGCCAGGCATCTTGTCTGTGGATTTCATTGTTATAATACTGAATCTTAAAAGAATACAAATTAATCTTAATTTTTTATTTTGTTAGATATGTGAAAAAGATTTCAAAAATGTATACCTTTAGCACAGCAAAAGGAATGACCGGACCCTGAGTCATTTTTTGTTTTCATGTACACAAGCAGTTTCCTCCTTTTTATATTCTTCTAATACCTAGTCTATTAGAAGGTACACGGTCATATTTAGCAATGTACTTCATTCCAGTCATATTCAAATAAGTATGAAGTAAACAGCAAGAAAAATGAATTAAAAGCATTTTAATTAGCAGTTTAGTAATCATAAGATCCCTGTTTGGCACTCTGTAGAGCACTGCAGCCTGAATGCAGCTTGAGCAGACTTTTCTGTAATTGCTCTGCATTATGTATTGGTACTGCTCCACAGTATCATTAATTTTTGTTATTACATAAATATTACTTACCAACTATATTGTTATTACTCAGCAATTCATAAATTGCAAAAAGATAATAATTCCAGGAATTAGGATTACCATTTTCCTTGTCTGATTCTAGGCTGTTCCCCATCTACATCAAGCAATCATCTGCATTTCCTGACAGTATGACAGGCATGATTTGAACATCAGTGTTCAAATTGTATGCCAACAGCTTTTGATTTTTGGACATCTTTGAGATTTTGTACCCTTTCAACCTGTTTGTGGTGTTGTACTTAATACACTATCTGAAATGCTTGGTCACTGACTTTTCACTCCAAATATTTCCTGCTTTTGGTGCACGAGTGGGCACACAAAGAATTTTTCTGCTCTCTGACAAGATAACTGACATTTTTTAATTAAAGAACAGACAACGAGCAGTCTTGCTCACTAGCAAATATTTTGTTCATACATAGGAAAAACAGATTGTCCAACACAGGAACATTTGTGAATATCACAAAGAAAGAGCTAGTAACAGTTGAAGCAAAATACTTGCTGGGAATCTGAAGATCTGAATTCTTTTGTACAATCAACCATCTCTCCTTCAAAGTCACAGCATGCATTTCTTCTTACCAAGGGACTTACTTGGTGTAACATAAAAAGATATGGTAGGATTTTTCAAAAGGATAGGACAATGTCATGTCTGCTGAACAGATTTATAGTTATACAGATAATTTTAATGATAAGGATTGTGTGTCTTATGGTTTGGGATATAAATTGCTTTCTGCAGGGGTGAGGAAGTCATTCACCTCATTTCCTGTGCAAAATTGAATTTGTCAAGGCATATTATGGGGCTTTTTATTGGACGGCTGAAAAAAGGAGTTAAAATTTGCCTTCTTCTGAAACATTAGGCTACATAGCCAGCCTAATTAAGTATGACAAATTCCAGTTAATTAAATTACAGTAATATTAAACAATGCTGCTCCGCATGTAATAGATTACTGACACTTTCACCAATATCACTTGTAGCAGAGTAATATGTTAAGAGAAAGTCATCTAAGTTCATGGAGACTGCAACTGTTTGAATAACATGAAACTTCAATACTACAGGCTGACCATAGCACATATATGAAACTTCTTTGATCGCTGGTAACCATCGAACTAAGCAAGGTTTTATGCCAATATTTCTATAAGTCTATGTCATAGCTGCATTTCATTGCCCTCATGACAACCCTGTTTCTTCCTCTCCTTTGCTAGTACAAGCGCAAAAAGCAGAACACAGACCTTCTAAAAATTACTGTGAAGGATTTGGAATTTCCAGGCAGCAAATGTCAGATGACATTGCCTGTAAATTTGGCAGGCACCCAAACCACATAACAGGCTAACGTGAGTCCCATAAAGAGTGCAAATGATGTTTGTGCATGTTTGGTAAAGCAGAAAGTTACAAAAGAATCAGCTTCAGCAGAATGTTTTTCCTAGTGATCAGAATTAGAGAGTGAAAATTGTCTTACTAGAAAAGGAAAGAGGAAGCACTAGTATGAGGGAGTTTTTTTCATTATCACATTTATTTTATTTTTTTTTTGGACACAAAAAAATAAGAATCCTTTTGAAACTTCATGTCTGTGTGACAGAAAATGAACTTATCCATACATGCATATAAACAGATACAAAACTCTTCTCTTCTGGAAAATTCATTCCAAACCAATGACTGGATTTCATTAGAAAATGAAGGAAAAAATAGAGAAATTCACACTCGGAATAAAGCACTGCCTAGACATTATTTGTAATATCTTTCCACTGAGCACTGCTAATTGGTTGATCTGAGGTGCTGAGCTTGCACCTTCATCAGGTCCTGAAGAGTCAAATGAAAAAAAGCAGTTTCTATTTTAATTCCTGTTCTAGTTGCAGAGTATAATGGGATTATTCTACAGACAGAAGAATCTCTAGCACCAAATAAGAGTCTTTAAAAAATGAAAGCAACTTTTGACTTTCTGAATATATCCAGATGGCTAGCAGATAAAGCAATGGCACTAAAATAAAAGATGCATATTTTGAAATAGATGATCTGGTTAAAAATTATTCCTTGATTTCAATGGGCAAGACCTTACATTCAACAGATCTTCAATGTCTTTCTAATGCCAGGGAGTTCATTATATCAGGACAGCATTTGGAAAAGAATATGCTCTGTTGTTCTGAAAGAGATGCAGACTAAATGCAGGGACATCAATTGAATTACCCTGCTTTTACAGCAGTGTAATTGTTAGCAAAATCTGGCTTCTTGTTTCTAGATAGCATTTTAGTATTCCATGAGTATAACAGATAAGACAGTCTGCTGTACTTCAGCTACTATACAGTTTTTTTCATTAGAGTCTCAATGACCTCCCCTAAAAATGATTTGATTGATTTGTATTCCACAGGGTGCTCATTACAGCTACTGTTAGTGCACAAAATCCCATGAACATAAAAAATTACCCTAAAAATGGCAATTTCAAGCTTTCATTATAAGGTGTTTTTCACAGGTTGAAGTCAGTCAAGCAGTAAGTAATTAAGACAATTTACTGTAGCATGACTGTATGCATTTCACCATATATTCCCACAAGAAAAGCCATGGGAGACATCTACATTAGAATTTTCTTATTAAGCTTTCTTTTGTTTTTGTACTACTTTGGAGAAGGGAGATGCAGGGAACATGGGACAACTACACAGTCTGAACATTGCCCAAGTATTTTACACTGCCAGCTGCTTTGCTTTTGTGTTGATGCCTTTGCAGTATCAGAGTATCACCAGTATCACTTACAGCTGGTAATCCTGTTTACCAAAAGCCAAATAAAATTACTTCAGTCCAGGGTTGTGTTAATTGCTCCTGGAGACTCCAGAGGGTACGGTTACAGAGACCTGCCTTGGTATTGGTTTTATTTTGTTGACCATTACCTGCCCTCACTGCTCACAGATGCCTGGACTCCTGCAGAGTGGTCTGTACAGATATGGCATTCTCTTCATGTGCAATAAAGAGAATTAGATAATGCCACAGTTTCATTTCATTATAGTCACCAAAAAAGTGACTCATATGGTCTCAAAAGAGAGAAGAAACCTAGAGAACATACTAAATGTTGTATTAACCACTACTGTGGTCTGTAAAGACTACACACATTCCAGAAATATGTTGATTTGTAATTAGCACAAAGCAGATGGGAAATCATGCTGTCTCCCCAGGAAGTTAATGCAAACTAGATACAGTATTTATACGTTGTTGAGACTACTCTGCTAAAATGTGTTTTAAATAAATAACAGAACTAGAATTATCTTGACATTTCAGTTAAAAATAGGTAAGACCAAATATTGAATTTGAAATTAGCTTCAAGTTTATGCTGAAAAGAGGTTGGCAGTTTTCTATATTCACAAATGATCATTCTTGCATTTAAATCCTATTTAATTTTTACAACGTGTTTTGTAAAGGCTTTAAACCTATATTTTTATTTACCACATTTTAAGACTACTGAACCTGCTGTTCCCCACTCCAGACCTTGAATGTAATTAATGAAAGATTCATTCTGAATATGATTGTTACTTTCCTACCATATATATCACAGCTTGTATACCTTACTCATATGATTGGATAATCAGAGAATTGCAATTCATTCAAAAGGTTAAGGAATTTGGGCTAATGTTAAAAGTTACTTTGAGATAATCATATGAAGACAGATACATGCAAATGTCTTCTGGGAATTTAAGATAAATATAAATCTCCTCTGATACAGGAATAAAAAAAAATTAACATAATTTATTCTAATAGGTGGTGAACTTTGTGACTGATATATGAATAATCTCCATCCTGTGACCAAAATAATCTAGAACAGTTTTACTAGCTTCACGAAACTGCATATTTAGTTTCATGAACTGCATATTATATACAATTATTTCTATCTAACAGATTATTTCAAAGAGAATGATCAGAATGATCCTGAACCCTCAGGGGACAACAACAGATATTATCAATCTATTAAGAAACACTTTGAGGAGAAAAAAAGTGGCTCGTCATCCTTTGTGTCCTCCATTGAAGATGAGCAAAAACCCCTGTTCACTGGAATAGCTGACTACCCATCTGTAACAGAGAAAACGACAGAGGTGGACTTTGAAGAAATGGTTCATGCAACAGAAGAAATTCTTATTGACAAAAGAAGTAATTCTTGCAAAGGTAATATAATTGGTGCAATTTTCTAGAGTTTGAGTAGACGTCTTATTTGGCTTGATTATCAAAAATAGTTTTCTTAATGGTCCTAATGCTTCTTTACATAATAGTTACTTTTGTGTTTCCCAAAAGATTAACAAGAAAAACTATTTTAGATCAAAAACATTATTTCCCAAGAGGATTGCTATAGTTTGATACAATGGCTGTGGGACCAGATTACAGAACCTCCCAAAGGTTCACGCATTCATCTTGTAACTGACTTACCATAGAAAAGATTTTTAAACAAAATCTTCAAAATTGTCAACTAGTACTAGACCTCACTAAGTGCTCATGGATGAAAACTACATTCAGAGCAGTAAAGAGTACTTCCAAAGGAGTTTGACGTTCTTGAGTTGGGTGACAGCACAAAATCCTACATAAGGGTTAAATAAATCTAGAGGTGGTCATGCACACACACCAAAAAAATAATTGTTTTCAGATAATTATTACCATTCTCCGCATTGACAATGCACAGCCAAAATTTAGTGAAAGAAATTCATAATAGCCTGAAAGAATCTATCCCATTTGTCTCTACATGTTGGTTAAAAAGAATGCTATCACATCACAGAACAAATCCTGACTTCCTTAAGTAAAATATAAGAATAGTTGGCCATTTGTATATGACAAATGGTCAAAAATTATTAAGCAATCTAAGTTAATTTTACATAAAATTACACTTAATATATTAAAATGCTAATTGTCTCAGTGATGTGAAGGGAAATTAATGAAAAGCTCCAGATTAATATACAGCTATAGTGTTATTGAAAGTTTGCTTGTGATATTTCAGTCTGAAGGAAAGAATTACATATTTACCTCCCTTCTAAGTTTGTTTCCGTTTAAGGCAATTTAACCATTTAACTTTATTTAAGCAATTTAACCAATAAACTTTAAGCTTGTAAGTTATAAAATTAAAGTATCCTAATGATTGAACAGGCCAAACACTATTTGTTTTTCTTTTTAAAGGTATGAATATGTGAAGCCTGTTCTTCTCAAGTTAGAACTATATAAATGTGCACCTCATAAACTTGTTGCATACATACTGATATTTGACAGCTTACCTTTTCTCAAACAGTAGCCAGAAACGTGTCCTTGTAGCTATAGCAATGTTTTCCAAGGCAGCCTATTGCAGATTTTAATTGAGCTAAATTTAGCATGTATATAGGTTACATGTTTTGATTAAGACATATTTTGTACTCTAGCATTTCTGATAACATGTGTGGAACCTTGTTACCCTTCTTGCAACCTTCATAAAACCTTCAATAAAACAAAACAAGGTCAGCTTTTATTGATGTATGTTTTAAACTAAATTGTTATTCCTACTCTTATAAGAGATTGGTTATATAGTACAATAAAAGTAGTTATAAATATAATAAAATTTTGAAATAAACACTAACTATATGTATGCATCTTTATAATCTACATATACTATGGTAGCCTTAATATAAATGCACCTGTAATTGATACATATTTACTGTAATTGATACATATTTAGTTATCTTTAGTTTTGTTTTAAGCTTTTGTTTTAAGCTTCATTCCTTACTGTTGACAAACAGAAAGACAACTAATAATAATTAATTGATATCAGATAATGAGGACAGAAACTTTCATAATCCTGAAAACTATGATTAAAACATATGCCTCCTTTGAGGAGATCTGATAATTTTTCCATAGCTGCTAATCTAAATACTGCAGAAAGATGCTATTTCTATTCTCACTCAGTCATTATTTAGGCCATAAGATTGGTTCATTAACTGTTCAGATGAACCAAGTTACACATTTATTGATTTAGTTCTCAGTCTAGAATTCTTCAAGCCATAGAAGACCACAGCTGGTTATAGAGTTGTAACTGCTGTTCAGTTTTTCTGAGGATATGGGTGTATGTGGAAGTATCTGAAAATATGCTTAGAACAGTACGATTCTGTATCCCACAAGAGATAAGTCAATAGTCTTGCTTATAGGGTATGAACTAATTTTATAATTTGAGTGCCAAATCACTTTCTTTGTCACAAATTTAATGTTTAACAGTCTACAAATACATATTCTGGGACAGAAACTATCCGTGATTTCCCTGGGATAATCAAAAGCATTAGAAAACATGAGATTTTACTGAATGATTTACTGTGTAAAATAGCCAACAAATTGGTTTTGCAGGCCATTAAAAAGCAGTGAAATGTAAGGCCTATAATTTTAGTTTCTAGTCCTGAAAATCACTGCTTAAAAATAATTCCACTGGATTTACAACATCCACAACCACAGTTGAAAAATTTACCCCTGAATTTGTTGTAATTTGTTCCATTCACTTTGCTGAGAGCTTTCCAGCTTCCTTGGACACTGCAAATTGTGCCATGTGCGCCCACTAAATCCAAATTACATGCTTCTCTGACATTGTTTTCCTCTTTCTGTTGGCTTAAGTGGGCTGAGAACCTGAATAGGTTTCCGTGTAGCCAAGATGAAATCTCTTTCCCCTTCCTTCTGTTCAGTGCATAAAATCAGTTACAGGTCATGCCACATGAAATCCAAACACTCGACAGCTCCAGGAAACCTTCTACCACCTGCTAAACAAAGAGCAGATAATGCAGTAAGCACCTCTCTGATTAAAAAGAGGAGAAAGTCTCTTCCTCCTTTTGGAATCATGTAGTAAGAGCTCCCCTTCCTGACTAAATCTACTTGAAATACTAAATCTGAGCAGGAAATCTTTTCCTTTCCTTTTTTTTTTTTTCCCCTATTTCTTTACTTAGATAACACTGCTTAAAGATGTGTTTGAAAAGGATTAGCTAATAGCATTTAGACAAAACTCTCACATGTCACCCACACTGTTGTTTTTTTCCCTCTTTTCTTTGAAATATGTCCCTGGCTTCTATGGTTGCTTAGAAAAAAATCACGAGTGAGAAATGAATGTAACCTATGCAGAGTTATCAGCATGCAGTGCCAAAAGAAGTGTTAGGAGAAGCTCTGAGCAAACCATTAAGGGACTACTGAGACGTGTGGGATTCACATCCAACTGCTCATACGACTGAAGCTACTGCCTTGTAAGCAGTCAAGGTTCTTCTCCAGCTGTACATTGAAGCACCAGTCCAAGCCCAATAAGAACTTTAAATGTATTCTATAACTTCACATGGTTAAATAATTACAAATATGAACCTAACAGGAGTTGTACTGGACAAGTATTAAAGTTTCAACAGCCTTTTTTTCCAGAGCAGAGGAGAATCTGAGTGGTACTAAGCAATTTTTGACTGTTTATGTGAGAACAGATTGAATCAAAGTAACAAAGACTGAGGATGGGAAGTAATATATGTAGAGAAAGCACTGTTCGTCCTAAATAAACCCCACCTGTAGGGTCTGCAAAGCTCACAGCAAGATCTTCATTCTATATCAAATAAGGGCATGTACTAATATATCCCACGATAAATAATTTTTAACATTTCACCAGTTTGGTGAGCAGGAAAAAAAGCCTGAAACTGGGAATGTAAACTAATTAATAAATGCACAGAGGTGTAAATTAAGCAAAGAAGAAGGGAAAATAGCTCAAACCAGAAAACTAAGCAGGCGTGCATAGTAAGTTGCAGTGTTTGAAAACAGAGACCTAAAATATGGGAGGGACAAGAGGGATGGAATTTGCATACAACAAGTATAGGCTGGGACCTGGAACAGTCATCATCATTTTTTATCTGTACTTCAAAAATATTTATTTTTTTTTATCATGAAGCTTCATTTAGTATTACAAGTGACCTATGACTGACCTAGAAATGCAGAACATTTCGTTCTTTTAGGAGCCACAGATTATTAAACAAAATGAACTGGCACCTTTCACACCACAGTACTATAAGAGTCTCTGAAACATGCTTTACACACCAATGTAAGGGTTGGGTTGGAGAAAAGTGATGCTAAAACTACATCAACAAAAATCAATTTCCTTTTGAAAATAATAACCAGTATCCCTTTGCAAGCATTATGAGCTGCATTAGATGGCCTCTGTCTCGGAGAAAATGTATCACACTTCGTTTACCTTGTTAAGAGAAGCAGTGTTACAATTACTAGTAAGAAAGGCAGCTAGCAGAGGTCTCTAGGGGAGACATTCCAAGGCACTGTAATGTATATCAAATGCTGTAAATGCAACACACCAAGTTCTCCTTTTAAACCAAAAAGCTAAACAGTAAATACATTTCAGTAGCACATTCAAGGGCAAGAGAAGAGGTTCTAGACAGGTCTCTGAAACACAAAAATAAATTCAAGTAAATAATTTAGGGTTAGTTTAGAACAAACACTTCTAATTTCAATGAAAAATGAATTGTTAAAAATCTTGAGAAAACTGGGGGTTCACTGGTAAAATAATAGAAAGAAAACTAATGAAATAGGAGGCATTAATTGGCAGAACTCTAATGTTGACTATACAAAGCTACTTTGTTTATCTACAGCTTTAAAGTATTAGCATGTAGCTATCTTTATGTTAAAAATTTAAAATTTTTGGATGTGTCCACAATTATCTTTCCTTAAACAGTGGTAAGGAACAAAGACAATTCAGGCAAATTGTCACCATACCAAATTGACTTCCAAGGTTTGGGAAACACTGGTAAGTGGAATGTTTGATGAGTGCCAATCCTTTCTAACAGCATGTATATAAATCTATAGTTTTTTATGGATTTTGTTTTGTTTTCATCAGATATTGCTGATAAAAGAAACTGGGAGGAGAACATCAGGGAGTACCAAGACTCCCCAAGTCAGTCAGCATTACCCCATGTTACGTGGGGCATCTGCGATACTGAAAGTGACTATGTATATGGGGAAGTGGAGAATCGATTAGACTTACTTCAAGAACAACTCAACAGGTAAAAACAGAGATATGATAAAAATATATTTGTGAAAGGGTACATAATTTAATGGATACAAATGATACCACAGGAGGAATGAATTTGCTCAGAAAGTTTCCAAAATCATTTATGTCTTTGGAAGTTCAAAAGTACAAAAATATGTGGGATGGGAATATCACTTTGTTGTCCATATAAATTCATAGGAATTCATAAAATCACCTAAATTCAACCTTTTAGATTCTTGGAAAAAAATGGGAATGATAAGTAAAAAATTTTTTAAATTGCTGCCAGAATCATGTCACTTACCTCTAGGTACCTGCATTAGTGACTCTGAATTGCTATGCTGAAGAAACTTTCTCCTCAACTAACAGGCAGCCTAAGAGTCCAACTTTTTAACCAAGAAACCTTAATGAGGCACCTAAACTTGCTAAATGTAAATCTCAGCTGGAATGCCTTTTCTTCAGCATTGATTCCTAAGTTTTTCACATGTCCACAAAACAGCAATTTTCAACATCTTCAGTATCTGAAGCATTTTTTTTTCTTTCCTGAAGTCCAAAGTAAACCAACTGCTTTCCTTAAAAAGAAAGCATTTACATTACAGGCAAGCTTCATTTTAGGTGCATTAACTTCTTTTGCAACTATCTCTGTTTATCATGAAGCTTCATTTAGTATTACAAGTGACCTATGACTGACCTAGAAATGCAGAACAAGTAAGATATGGAAGTATGCAAAGGCAAAATACGTAACACCCATTACAACAGAAAATGGACATTTGCTTCATCAGAATACATTATTACCTCACTTAATAAAATGCCTCTTCTTTCTTCTCTCTTATCTTTAATACATTGCTCTTTCTTGGCAGCTAAGCAGCATAGTTTATAGCATATTAAAAATACAGTTACAGAACTTTGATCCATCATACACTATAGTTTACCAGGTAATTTCACTTAATTTTAAATTGCCTTATGCTCAGGTCTTTAGCTTCTTTATTATTTCCAATATTTTTCCATGACAAGTACTATGACACACTCAGCCCCAATTGTGCTTTAGTAGTCTTCATTGGCATTCTGTGCTGTATATTTTAGCAATCAGTTTAAAGCCAGGTTAATGGTATAGTGCTTCCTTCATCTACTATAAGCCAATCAAAACACAGTATTTTTCTTTTCTGAATACTATAAAGTACATTAAAAAGACATTTTTAACATGCAAGCCTAAATTGCTGTAATTTCTAATTGCAGTAGTCAAGTAATCCAAGGAACTGTAAATGTCACGTAGCCAAATATCTGCATGTTCCCTATTAACAGTGGGAATTAACAGTCTTTCAGTTACACTTCCTGAAATCTTAAGCTCTTAAAACTGAAATTATATCTCTAGTTTACCCACAGTTTCACCAAAATCTTACATAAATTCCCAATATTTTGGAGTGAGAGAATACCATTGTTATTGATAAACTAAGATTTAAATTGTTGTGAATTTTATTAAATCATTTTATACTTTAACTCTTTACATGTTTTTAAAGCTTTTCATGCTTTCAGGATTTGGGGCCTTGCTGGATCTTCCATGAATGTAACAGACAATATTCTGTCTGGCTTATGTCAGATCAGACCTGCTGGGGGGTCACATTTTCCTGTCCTTTTCCATGTCAAGCTCAGCATGCTACTCAAATTGTTAAATGGACATAGAAGGCTGGAAAGCCACTGTAGCAGGTCTATGACCCTAGCACTATCTCCATTTTTCACCTTTTAGCCATTGGAATTTCATGGAGACTCTGGGCCAATGCCTAAAGTTCTCATGCCTTTTCCTTTGGATGGCATGACATGGACCTTTTTTTAAATTCTAAAGAAAGGAGGGAGAAGATATACATGCCATAATAAAAAGATGAATAAACAGTGCCAGATGTACTCTGATTTGAAGTGCTAGGAAATCCCTATCAAGTGCTGACAAAGAAGCGAGCCATTTAAGAATTAATTCAAAGCAAAAGACAATTGCTGATACAAGTCCAATGCTAAATCCCTTTTACCAACTGAGATAATAAACTTCAAGTTTAGCAGACAGAAGCTCTCTGGATGGTGTCATGCTGCTGCTGAAGTATTTTCCCCTGTGGCATCAGCATCATGCTTGTGTGAGATCAGCATATTTTCAAGTAGCAAGCAACCCAAGAAGGCAAATAGCACGTGAACTGACTAACCTCGGGGTTTGGGCCTTTCATTGTAGCAGCTGATGCCACAGAGCCTGCTTCTCCCAATAAAGAAAGAAACAGCATCCTAAATACCTAAATCCTTTGGGCATACCTTTCAGATTAATTTCATAGATGCATTTATAAATAAGTGACAAAGGTGATGGACTACTTCAATATTTAAAAAAAAAAAAAATCCTGGTAAACACAAAGATCTGTCAGCAGCAGGATCAATTCTGCTGCTGTAGAGAGCCTAAGTAGTAACATTCACAACGCTAAAGGCTGCTGACAAAGATTTGCTTATTCTGTCAGAGGATGAGTTGCAATACAGAAGGCTGTATATCTGCATTACAGTCCATCATAGCATGTCTGTAGCCTTCTAGCAACTGGGGAGGAACAACATGCATTCCTTATTGCTGAGCTTGTCAATGATACTGGTAAGACCATTTGAAAATCAATTCAGTGCTATGCAATTCTAAGTATGAACATAAGCAGCTAAAATGTTTCAGAAGTCGTATAACAATTTATGAAAATTGGAAAAAAGAAAAAAGCTACCGAGTTTGAACATAAGAAACATAGAAATTAATTCTATGGTTTGTATAAATTTTCACAGTAAAGAAACTCGGTCAGTTGTTGTGTTGTTTGTGTTTTTTAAAGATATTTTCTTGAAAGTATCTTTCATTTTTTAAGTGCAGAAGAACACGAATGTAGTTTTCTGCTTATTTTGGTGCATTCTATTAGCATTGGCACGTCAAAATTAATCAACAGATACACCAGAACAAGAGTCCCACCCTAAGCCAGAACAAATTAATTTAGTTTCAATGAAGAGAGTACAGTTATTCCTCTTGATTTCAACTAAAGAACTGTTCCCCCCGTGTTACTGTTTGTTGCAAAAATAAAGGACAGTAATGAGCTCATTCTGCAAAGGAAAGGGAGCGCTAGCAAGCTTTGGAAGGGCTCAGTACTCCCTCTTCTGTTCTTTCCTACTTAAGGCATGGTCATGTCATAAAAAGCAATAGTTTGCTTTATTAATAAGATATTATTAATATTCTTGAATGCATCTGTAACCCATATGTTAAAACATACCCATTCCTGACCACATATTAACTGATTTTATGTAACTTCTCTAGGCTTGAATCCCAGATGACTGCTGATATCCAAACCATCCTGCAGCTTCTGCAAAGGCAGTCAACGCTCATTCCACCTGCCTATAGCATGGTGACTGCAGGGGCAGAATATCAACAGCCAGCAATTCGGTTTACACAAAAGCTTCATCCTGTAGCATCAATTAAAACAGACAGAAGTTTCAGTCCTTCATCTCAGGTATGTACACATTTAAAAAAATCATGAGCCTTGCTAATCTTGTTAGCTTACGATGGAAGAAACGCATACTAATCTAATTGCTTGTTCATTAAAGAATGTGAAATTCTTATTCTGATCCAGCACCTCTGCAGTGGACTTTGATACTGTATTTTCAGAGGCCGCGTTTTCTGTGAGGGTTTTAGAGATTCATAAAGTGATCTTATAATCAGACCAATTTACTTAATTACCATGCATTTCACAAAAACAAGCAGAAACAACAAATATTAGATGCAAGTGCTAGCACAAATGCTCTCCTAGCATCAGACCTGCCTGTGCAGGAGCATCTGTTATAGGTCCAGTTCTTGAAGTCCTGAGAAACACCGTAACTGTTTTCATGAAGGCAGAGGCCAGAGAAGTCCAGCTGAGGCAGTAGGGTGGTTATATACATATGGAAGCATGAGAGGAGAAAAAATCTTATGTACAATCCCTTGCCACTGCTGGAATACAAAGCTGCTGCATACCTGCATTTTCCAATACATGTTTTCCACCCCAATTCTGTTCAGGCAGAATTTTATTTTCCAAATTTGTTTGGCATTTCTTGAATTTAACAGTTTGAACAGAGATGTGGCATGTTATTTGCAGATACACTGCAGCATGCAATTAGTAAATCCAGCGTGCTTGGATGTGCCAGATTCCTCATGCATATGCTGAAACACATACAGGCACAGTAAGTCCAATGCATCCAGAAAGCATCAGTTCACATGCATAAAGATTATCAGGGCAGCAAGCATGCATGTAGCAGTTTTCAGAAGCATCTACCCACCATGTATGCACCTACACAAAAAATACATATCAGTCAGAACAGAAATCTAGCAACCCTCTAGAAACAAACATCAGCAGGCACACTGCACACTTTGCACAGATTCTGAGTTTAAAAGTGAAGAACTGAGTGCTGAGACTGGAATCCAAATGGTTTTAGTGTTTGGATTGAAGCAATTCCAGAGGTGCAGCCTGAAACTACAAATTCAGGAATATTGAAATCCACTCTTAGACTAGGCCTCAAGAGTATTCAGTCCTTCAGAAAGGATATACACTTGTTTCTTGATGTCACATGAGCATGACAGAGAAGGGGACAAAACTCCCAGATTCTATAACTAATCAACAGAATAGCATTCACTTACATTAAAGCAAATGCAGTACCATGTAAAAAATATTTCAGCACACTGCTTAATTATCAAACATGGTTTTCCAACGATCTGATTGTGCTCATTTTGAGGAGAAATAAGAGCCTAGAAGAGACTGATACAATTATTGCCATCTTATTTCTTCTCTTTTCCAGTGTCCTGAATTTCTAGACCTTGAAAAATCAAAACTTAAATCCAAAGAATCCCTCTCAAGTGGAGTGCATCTTAACACTGCCTCAGAAGACAACCTGGCTTCTTTTTTAGATCAAGAACGTGACCGGTCTGTAGAGCATCCCCCACAGCGTTGTAAAACTTATCTCCCGCCAGTTAGGCACCCTTCCTTGCCAGAATCTTCACTAAGCACTGTAGGAATCTTGAGTCTTCATAGGCATGTTTCCGATCCTGGTCTTCCTGGGAAATAATACTTTTATACTATTACTTCACATAAAAATGTAAGTGCTTTTAATGGCTGTTTTTCCTTTTTTGTATTTAAATCCTCTATACTTGACTCAGGGGCTACAAGGAATATACCATTATATGCAAAAGTACTGTATATTTTCCTAAATCTGAAGCTTGTAAGGTAAAGTTGAGCAGTTCTGATGTAAATATATATACATACACACACACTAACTGTATGTTCTAAACGTAAAACTGCCAGCATTCTCAAGGCACCTTATATTTTTATTTATTTTTTAAATAACATGCATGTTCTGAAATTACAGTTTACGTTGCATGGAGATGACTATTTACTGCTGTCATGGAAACAGTATTTTATTGTGGATATGTTTTCAGAACAAATAGGAGACCAATAACAATAATTCACACAGAAAAAACTCCAACCTGACCAATCTAAAATTCAAGTAAAATCTTCTGCTCACTTTTGAAAATTGGATTATCTTTCTTGTAGTGAGCTTTTTACTATAAGTGGCAATGATTCTGCATCTAAAGAAAGAACAAATAATGTAACCAAGTCTTCTGGGTTCAAAACAATTAGGACATAGAAACCAGTCTCCTTCCAAACCAGTTAAAGCAACACGGTACTTTAACAAGACAGGAAAACAGCCATGTGCTGGAAGATATCACCATAAATTGCATCCATAAAAACACATATATTAATTGAATAGTTTGTTTCCAGTGTTATTATTTTTTTAATTCACATCAAAGAAGATAGCTATCATGAGCAGGCAGGTACTCTTCATGTGTCACACAAACATAATCAAATGCAATAAATCTAATTTCTATATAATACAGAAGACTGTGTTCCTTTTGTTCAATACAAATTATTAACAACCTGTATAATTAAAAAATACTTAAATTCTTGGTTTAAAATTATAAGGGTGGTTGTTTGCAGTTCTCTCTTTTTACTGACTGGCCCCTCTACAATGATCCTAGATAGGGTATAGCTGTATGTGGACACACATACCACACACACATTCCTGGATGTGTGCATGTGTGTATATTATATATGTACATTATGTACATGTGTGTACGTGTGTGTATGTTTATATACAAACATATACACAAGTGTGTGTATATACCTACACTTACATGTAGGAGTATAGATATAGTTATATATATGTATATATGTAAGATCACTCTGAGGAACAATTGTAAACTTTCTTATTACAAAAGAAATAAGTTTAGCTTGTGTCCAAAGCTGACTACATTAGAATAAAATGATTTAAGGTCTGTAGGCTTTAAATACAGTATGTACTGTATATGCATAATGCTTTGTGAATACTTAGATTTAATTTTATTAAAATATTATTCTGCTTCAAATGCTGTGTTTATTTTAGAAGGAACTGATCTTTTTATTACTGTTTTTAAATATTAAAAAATGTTCACATGATTTTGTAATCTTAAAGCTTTACTATGAAATTCCTCTAGGAAGAGAACTGAATTCAAAAAAGAATGTAACCCAGTTAGTGGGTGAGCAGTGAAATTCTAACTAAAAATCCCTCTGCTCTAAACCAGCGTGGAGTAATTCTATAGTGGTTGACCCTCAAATTAAGAGTTACCTATATTATGTGTTAGGGTCAGAATAATACGTAAGACACTTAGTCATTCACAGTCAATAAACACAAGGTGGCTGCATTTTCTCTCATTTAAAATTAGTGTCAAAATACCAAGCAACACTCTGCCTTATCTTTGCATATAAAGATACCAAAATAAATTAACTAAATATCTCTAAGTTAAGAGAACCCAACCCTTCTCATACATGATCAAATCATCTTCTGCCTCACATTGGTTGACTGTTGATAGGTGCATATCTTACAACATGCTGATGGCTCTTACTTCTACTGCAATGATGGGAGTTATGCACTTTTTAGTGCCTTTAGTGCAGGATCAGATCTTACATGATAGCATCACTGGGCCAGCTAGAATCTCCGCCTGCATATACTCCATTAAAAGAGGAGTGCTGAATAACAAAGTCAAATAGCGCTTTTTTTTTTTCCTTCAATAGCAAGCATTAGCAACAACTGCTGTATCTCAGTCTAGTAGCTAATACTAACATCCATTACAAAGAACAAGTTAGCATATTGTCTAAAGAAGTATTTGTGGTTGTGCCACATTTAAAGGGTCTGGAATGTTAAAAATAAAATGAATGAAAAGAGTATAATGTATGAACATTACTTTACTAAATGCATTTTGCCCAGTTTCATCATTTGGAATTTCATATTTATGCCAAGAGACTGAGCAAAACAGGTGAACTGGGGAAGGAGAAGATGGGGAAGAGGAAAAGCAACAACTGCCACAATTGTTCCAAGTGAAGGAAAAGCTCCATCCTTGTATTGGCTTTAAAAGGCTTTGTTTCTTTCCTTCTCTTTGTCTGTGTTTACTCAAAAGGAAAATCTGAAATGGGGGCAACTAAGGGAGACTGCATAGTTACAGAAATTCTAAGTTCCCTAGATATCTGGCAACAAGTGAAGAAACAAAACACAGATGACAACTCGATTAGCGGTAGTCTATCTGTCCCTCCCTTGCCAAAGACAGACCTGCCTTCTCAGATACCTTCTTTTCTTGTTTAAGTACAGTGAAATAAATGAAGACCCACTGCTTCAAGCCTTTTTTCTTCTAGAGACAGGTACAAACCACTGTTTTTAGAAATAGGAACAGCAAAAATTATTTTTTATTTTTATCTTTTTTGGGCAGGGCTCCCTTTAAATGCAGTCCATTTCTAACTAGGTAGAAATTGCTCTGTGTTACCCAAATAAAGCTAGGAATAACACAAGGCTTGCATACCCATGCATCAATACACAGCTATTCTAACATATCCATAGCATCTTTCAAAAATTTAGGAGATTTTGGTATTGCTTATGCTTGAGCCTAAGAAGACTTATCTTGGCTATTTATATTTAAAACGTGTTGGTAAAAATACATAATACATTATAACCCACAGATGCAGAGTAATATCCTGATAATTCATGAATAGCTATTGTACTGAAATATCAAAGTAATCAGGACAATCACTCCAACTACAAGAGTTATCATTCAGGCTATACATACCCTGCGCTACGTCTGCTGCAGAATAACGAACTTGCTTGTAGAAACCTGCTGCCAAATTCCTCTTGTACTATCCTCAATCAAGTCCAGATTAGTTCTATTCAAGTCAAAGAGGTATCTGCCCTTTACCTCTTAAAAAGCAGAGCTTCCAGATTCAGTATGAGTTAACTAACAATGTTGTACTAAGAGCATTACAGTGACTGACAAAGCAAGTACTAATCTGGTGCCTATCTCCACTAAGAAGACCAAGTGCAAAGTTAATTAAAATAGGTCTGATAAGGAAAGGCCTGTATGCCAAGTCTGCTGTAAGTACTGACTACTCGTTTGCATTTTCTGTTTTACTATATTTTACTGACAGTAATTTGAGACTTTATTCCAACCTGCATCATTACTTGCAGCTACTCCAAATGGTTGCAATCGTATGTTTACCAAAGTTTCCCAAGTTGCCTTTCTTTCTCCTCTTTTTGCATGCAGGAAAAGAAAATGCAAACTCCATGTTCCTTATCTGTTTACTTCTCTTACCTCATTATCGCTAATGCAAAGCCCACTAAGAATATAGGTGGATGAAATTCTGTTATCTGTAGTATCTAGCAGCTGTGCACAAATACCAAGGAACCTAGTCTCACTTTCAAATTTAACATGCTTCAAATGTAAACATCTAATGCAAATACTAATTTTAAACTGTAAAATTGCTTCAGACCTGAAACAGACTTGGTATGCAGCCATTGACATAAATAAATTTTAAGTAGCCTCTTACCTACTTTAGATAAGAGCATGCATAATGTCCTTTATATGTGATTATTCTGAACCTAGAGTTCCCTTAAGTTGGAATGGTAACGTACTCATGTCATACAGCAGTCAATGCATCACATATACTACATCTCCTCCGTGCATCAATTTTTTTCTAAGCTTGAAAAGAAGACTATTAGAGAACTTAACCAACAAATAGCTTAACAGGAGAAAAATAAACACAATCCACAAATAGATCACCTATGCAAGTCATCACCATGCTCAGTTTTATCAACGATACTAAAGGAGCATGTCCTAAACCTTGTAATTGCATGAAGGCATCACTATGGCAAGCTTACTTTCTCTCATTGTATATCTGTGTATGAGTAGTAGATGGAAATGCATTATTAATGAGGAAACATTTTTCTTCATCTAGCTACTTGTATTTTTTTTTAATGCCCACTTGGGAAGTTTTGATTATTAATGAATACAGAATGTAGCTATTCTCTTTGGAATGGAAATTAGATGGACCAAATTAAAGTCTCCTGCTGGATGGATTTGCCCCTTTTATGTATTATTTACATTTTCTATACTGAAACTTCATGATATTGTAAAGCTGAAAATACAAAAAAGTTGGAAAATTTAATCTAGATAAATACTTCACTATTATGAACTGTGGCAAATCCTGTTTGTATAACAGGTTTTTATATAATACAGTTAATATAAGTTTTATTTTGCTTTCAGAAAAGATTTCCTGGAAAAATGTTTACTGTACAAATAAAAGCACTTGTACACTGCACATATTCAGTATTTTATATCACCATAAAATATATTTGCAAGAAGTCTAAATATGCACAAATAAACGTATTACACTTATTTCAGTCATGAGCAACAGAATGTGAATATTTCATTTATGACTGACTTGAATTTATTTACTACAATGCAAGCACCACTAACAGGGATCCAAAAGTTTGAATACATTTCAGTGTCAAAATTATAATTCAAAAAATAGTTTAATATTTAATATACTTATATCACCATGGGAATAAACATAAAAGCACAAATTACACACAACACCTCTCACTGGTTTGAAGCACACAAAATAAAAGCACAAGATTAGACCTCTTCAAAAATTCCTGTGTACATAGTAAACTACATGTAGCATATTGAACTCCATCCTCAAGTAAAACTGTAAGATATGTCCCTCTAACTCCACTGGTTGAGGAATTCAAAATCTAAAATAACACCCAGTTACAAAATCTGGGTAATGAAGTTGTCAATTTTTATTCCATTTAAGGCCACATTTTCACAAATTACATTGATAGAAAGTGTTGTTGAAATACCTATCTTCACATCAGACACTTCTGTTTCCTGAGACAGTTTCTTTTAGAGAATTTACAGTGAAACATAGAGTGGGTTTACCATGCTTTATCATGTAAGGCCTACTCAGTGATTTTACTGATCTAGATGAAGAGTCACTGAAATATTTTGAGATAAGCTGAGCTCTTTAAAAAAAAAAAAAAAAAAAAAAGATTTCCTTGGGGAAAAATCTGAGGTAGGATTAAAATACAATCAGCTGGAGGCAATTCCAGCTGTATTCAAATAGTATTATCTCAGCTTGCATCACAGGGTGGGGGAACAAAAAAAAAAAAAAAAAGCAGGAGGAGTAGGCAAGTTTTACCTAGAATATCCTTGAGGAAGCGAGCTAGCTACCATGCATGGCCTACATTTATATGATCTTAAGTTTTCACTTTTCCAAATACAGGGTATTTACATTAAATTACATTAGCCTACTAGGGAACCAACTGAAATTAATACCTTAGAGAAGCCTCCTTGAGATAATGATTTAATTTTGAATGGTGACAGAACTAGATGAGGTATAAAAGCTCAGTCTTCTTTTTACCTCCCACTTTTTACCTCAAAAGGCAGTCAGCAAGGCAGTGGTGGTAATCTCTCCAGCACTGAGCTATACCTGCCTGCCTGCTGCAGCAAAATGCTCACTATCTTCCCAGAATAGATTCCATTGATTATCTATCTCTGTAGTTCTTCAGCATCTAATTCTCCATGCTCTAGAACAAATGCACACATTCATCACAGCTGACAACTCTCATTTAACTTGCAAAAGATAGCAGTGATTATTAATGCATTACATTATCTGTAATGATAACGAAACATTCTTACATTGTTTAACAAGACACTGTAACCAAAGAAAACTGATCTGAATCAGAAACAGTAAGCAGAACTTTCATCTTAAATACTGATGGCAGTGAACAGGTAAGCATGTAATTAAACATATTCAAATATTATATATTAATAAATATAATGACAAGGCTACCCCTAAGAAAAGAAGAATTTTCAGCGAACCCACATCTTAAGTAGATTTTGGAAAAACAGTAATTTCTGACTCATATAAAGCTTTAAGTATGGTTATCTAGAACACAACTCAAACTTTCCAGTACTATACCTTTCACTAAACTATTTCATTTTTTGAAAAACGAAGAGAAAGTCAAAGATTTAAAAGCTCACCAATTTTGGTGAACTTGCTCCATGAAAAGGTCTAAGTTATGCCCTGCTCACTTCCCCTCCAAAGATTTTGTACCTAATTTTTCACCCTTCTCACAGTTTTTTCAAAATTGTGAAAAAATAAGCCACACTGATGAAGACAGGCAGACCCACACAAATCCCTTGGCCACATTACCTCATTTGTACCAAGAATAATTTGCTTACACAACACATGTCATGAAGGAGTACAGAAATCATCTTCCTTTTGAAGAAAGCGAAATACGCTATTTGCAATGGTTAATACAAAGCCAGATTTCATCACTGCAGTGATAAAGTAGGATTAATAGTATTCTGTGACACCCAGGGAAACGTTATGCTCTTCATTTACACTTTCCCTAACTCCAATGAAAAATTAGATGCTCATTGTAGATCCTGCCATATTCAAACCATGTTATAAAGTCTCCATAGGGACAGGCCTCTCTCAGATATATGGCATATTTCTATAGGTCTGTTACTTCACCAGTCACTGGTAATGGAAGCAAGCCACTCCTAAGACAACAAATCAACACATTGTTTTCCACGTTACACAGAGTAAAACAACTGTATCTGATAGTCACAAAACCCTGACAAGGAACATGTCTTCAGTCAGAGATTCCTTCTTGGCCTCAGAAATACTTTAAGACACTTTAGAAAGTTGAGTGCATATATACACATATATAAACACTGAAAACTATTCACTGAACTAGTTGGATCAAGGAAAGCCCTTGGGAAAACAGAAAGGAAAGAGGCTTGGTTTGGGCCCCAAGTGTTGAGTTACTCCTTAATGCAGCTGCAAATGGTTCCTGTGGATCACATGAAGGACCTTTATTACATTTCAAAAGCAGCCTCAGATCTATGCTTCTGAGAAAAGCAAAGCCCTCACTGCCACTAGTACAACCTGTGCCAGTTTTCTAAGAGTAAATTTCAGATGTAGCATTTTACAACATGAGATGCTTGGATCCCTAAATACACAGCATTACTATTAAAATATTTAATTTTAACTAACGACAAAGGAGACACATACAAAGGCCTGGTTTATTTGAGCAGTCTGGAAGCTGCTAAGCACCAGTGTCATGAAAACTAAGTGACAAGGCCCTATAGCAACTGTGTTTAGGCTGAGCAGCTAAATAACACAGAAAAAATATTTATTCTTCTTTCTTACGTTGTAGCCACAAGTACCCTTCTTAAGCTCTATTGCTCAAGGACATGTAATGCAAACAGCATCCAAGCCTTTCACGCTTGTTTGTGCTATAACGGACGCTGTGAAGTGCTTTCCCAAACACTACAACTCCTTTTCAGACGTACTATCCACCCTTCCTAAAACTCTCTTTTTAAAAAAGGCAGTTTCGTGCCCACTGCCCCTGCCGGGCACACGAAGCCACAACGCTGCTGCAGCCCCTCTGCGGAGCTAGGGCTGCCCTGGTCCGCAAGCAGCGCCGAAGGGCAACAAAACGGAACGGCGAGCAAAGCTCTCCCAGGCCCAAAGGCGAGGAGCCGCCGTGCGCGAGATCCCAGGCTGAGCGGGGCCCAAGGCGCGGCAGCGCCAGCACTGAGCTCCCTCCTTCCTCACAAAGACACCCGCAGCGGGCCCGCCCACCGCCATCTCGGCCACTGCTGTTGGCCAATACGCGCCTGCGCGCTGCCGCTGGGGCGGTGAGGAGGGGCTCGGCGCGTTGCGGCCGCCTCAGCGGGGCGGGGAAGGGGCTGTGCTATTTGTGCTCGCGATTTAATCGTAGACTCATGGAATGGGCTGGGCTGAAAAGGAACTTAAAAGATCATCTAGTTTCAACCCCACTACTCTGGGCAGGGTTGCTGACCACTAGAGCAGGCTGCCCAGAGCCTCATCTAGACTGGCCTTGAATGCCTTCAGGGATGGAGCATCCACAACCTCTCTGGGCAACCTGTTCTACTGCCTCACCACCCTCCAAATGAAAAACCTTCTCCTACTTACCAACCTGAATCTCCCCTGTTTTAGTTTAAAACCATTCCCCCTTGTCCTAACAACAGACATAAACAGGAGTTCCCCCTCCTGTACATATGCCCCCTTCAAGTACCGGAAGGCCACAATGAGGTCTCCCCAGAGCCTTCTCCAAGCTAAACAAGCCCAGTTCCCTCAACCTTTCTTCATCGAGAGGTGCTCCAGCCTTGTGAGGATTAAGCTTTGCCGTGAGGCTGCCCCCCAGCCGTGGGTTAGGTTTCCCACTGGGCTGGGAGCTGCCCATGGCACTCTACTGGAGGCTGTGGTTATCAGTCCCGTGGCTGGTATCAGCCCAGTTTGGAAGGGACAGAGGGCTCGGCAATGGCCAAAGCGGGCAGGAGTGCAAGCATCCAGCTAGGGGACAGCAGAAGGGCAGGTCAGACATTACTTGTTCAGCCTAGCAGCAGGAATGACATCAAGTAATGTTGGTCTTTTTGTCCCTCTAAATCCAAATAAGTTCCCTTCTGATGTCTGCAAACTCCTTGAGCCTGTAAAGCACTGTTCTGGTATAAATACACAGGGCCTTATTTGTCACTGCTATGTATGCAACATGTGAAACAAAACCCTGGCCTGTCATCTAAAGAAAGTAATGACAGCAGAAGAAGTACAGGGGGGCAGAAAGCAGACTGGCTTTCTCCAAAAGTCTTTCAGATGAAACTTGGGTAAAGCAGTAATCAAAAATTATGAAGAGTGAAACTTGAGAGAAACAGAAGGGATAGCAAGCAGTAAAATGAAAGTAAAACAAACTGGGAAACAGAAACTAAGGGAGCAAGATGAGTATACAACAACATAAGAAAGAATTAAAACCCTATGTGTCTTCAAAGATGGGCAACAAAGCTAATGAAGGGTCTAGAGAACGAGTCTTGTGAGGAGCAGCTGAGGGAGCTGGGGTTGTTTAGCTTGGAGAGGAGAAGGCTTAGGGGAGACCTCATTGTACTTTATAATTACCTTAAGGGAGGTTGTGATGAGGTGGGGATCAGGCTCTTCTCCCATGCACCAAGTGATGAGGGTAAATGACCTCAAGTTGTGCTGGGGAGATTTTATGTCAGATATTAGGAGAAATTTCTTTACTGAAAGGATACCCAAAGGATACCAGCGAAAAGATACCCAAAACCTCTAATTTTGCCTGGTTGGGGGCACTGGCAGAATTTGAATCACAGATTAAATGCCTTCATTTGAGTAGGATACAGTTCACAGCAACAAATTACTACTGGGTGGGGCAAGAGAAGCAGGCAGTCAAACCTGTCCTGCTGGGCTGCACCCATAGCGCCTGCAGCAGCTCATCCTGTTCTGGAGTTCGGGTTTTGGGTTCAGCCTGGAGGACGAAGACCCAGAGACAGAATAAGATCAGATACACGGGTTTTGTAAACTGAAGTGTCGTTCACAAGCTTAAGGAGTTATAATCGAGTCTGAGTTGTGCAGAGGGACTAATCCCTCTGCACAGTGAAGGCAGACCACTCCAATCGCCTGGGGTCCCCACTTCCTCAGCGTCTAGCGCCTGCCGTGGTGTGAGCCTGGAAAGGCACAGCTGCACAAATCAGCAGCGCTAGAAACCCCTGTCTGGAAATCAAAACCTCGGCCTTTAAACCCACGGTGCCCGTTCAAAGTTTCCTTCCAAACATTTGGGAGTGACACTTCCCCGTGCCCGTCCCTCCAGGGGCTGGGCAGCCGCACTCGGCAGCCGCCCGCAAACGAAACCGAAAGGGCTCGAAAGGAGCCGGCTTACGGGGCGGTGACCTGCGGGCGGGCTGCCGGCGGACCTCGGCTGCAGCGCTCCCCGGCCACCCCTGCAGTATCCCCCCGACCCTGTCCCGGGCACCGCCAGCGCGACCATGTCGACGGAGTGCCGAGACGAGTGCTTCCTCTACATGATCTCCTGCTTCAGGCCGCGGCTGAAGCAATACATCCGGGTGATGCCGGTGCTGGACAGGCTGCCCTCGCTGAGCCGGGAGGATAGGGAGAAGGTGCGGGTGGCGGCGGAGCAGCGGGGCGACGTGGAGGGGGCCGAGGAGCTGCTGCGCGCCGTGGAGCGCGGCCCCCGCGACCCAGGTTGGTTTCCTGAGTTCGTGCAGGCGCTGGAGTACGGCGGCTGCGACCTGGCTGCCCGCTACTTGAACTCCAGCCAGCTGCCCTCGCCCACCGAGGAGGCTGACCACGACCTCTGTGTGCAATTGGTGCAGCTTCTCCACGCCACCTTGGTGGATAAGATGCGGGCCAGGCAGGTGGCCGAGATGTGCCTGCAGATGAACATTTTCCAGGAGGAGGACTTGGAACGGGTAAGTGGCCCGTTCTGTCAGGCTGGGCACCAGGCAGTCCCACAGACTCTGGCCACCCCCAGGAGCTGTGGGGCACCACAGCAAGAGGTGGCCTCGTGTAAGTGTAAAAAGCTAAAGGGTGGTACCCAAACCTGGGGGAGAAGACAGGTGGTGCTCCAGGTAAGCTGCTAAACACTTAAGAGGTTGGCTAGCAGATGGGATGCCAGCTAACAACCAGGGGCAGACAGTAAATACCTTGAGCAGAGAGTTAGAATAGACCAGTATGTAAGTGGAAGGAGTCTGGCCAACTTTACTGTGACTTATCATTTTGACAGACACCTGGCTCAGGAGATAATTAAGTGTCTTTTGGCCTATGAACCATACCAGAAAGTTGTGCCGGCCTATAAAGTCCTAGGGAACATTTGAAGTAAAACAAGACCTTCCCTCGCCTTTATTTTTTGCCTTAGGTTCACTAAGGAATATCACACCCAGCAGCAGACTATGAAGCTGAGCAGAAATAGCAATTTGACAAGAAAGAGCAAGTGAAGGGTAATGGCTTTGACGAAAACATTTGCCAGTGTTTACTCCATTGGGCCAAGAATGGCTTGCCTGGACTAGTGTGAAACTTACTTGAAACCAAAAAAGTAAAAAAGCTGATATCCTGAAACAGTACTAGAAGAAGAAATGTATATATATATATAGAGAGAGAGAGATAAATTTGGCATAGAAATAAGAAAAAAGCTCACAAACTAACGGTAGAATTATGTCATACTTGAACTCTGAACTTTGCATCAACTGTTTAGGTGCTTCAATGCTCATGTCAGTTAAATGAGAGTCATGTAAGTCACCAATTCATCTGATTGGTGACTGTCAGGAAGCAGCAAGGGCTAGCTGCACCTCAAGAGCTGGGGAGCCAAGCATGGTAATGCAGCAGGTGGAGACAGGAATCTTTTAGGAAGCTATTGGCTCCATTCCTTAATGGGTACACATGTTCCCTGGTCATCTTTATGCTGCTTGTATTTCAGCTTAAGTTGTTACGCTTCAGACCCTTGCCAGTTTCAATTCTGACAGGGCCTAGGCTTTCTTAATGAATGACATCCCAGGGTGGTCCTGCTATATTCCACCTTTGTTTAACTCTTCTCTCTTCCCACTGCCCACACACCTTCTTTTTGTATTCAGCCTCAGTGAGGGGGTTTTCACCCTGTTTGGCAAAACTTGAGCCGGCTGCTATGCCTACCCATTTTCTTGCATATCAGTATGGATGATTCTTGAGCCTTGAGGAAATTGCCCTTGAAGACTGAACACCTGTCTCAAGCAGCAGTACTTTTGATTCAAAGATCGAAGCCGAAATTCCTTTAAGTGGTATATTCTTTATTGCAGCGCTGGATGCACGGGGGATCTCTCCACCTATCGTGCATACCCAAAGCGGAAAGCAGTCTTGAATTTATACAATCAATCTATCAGTATTCTACAAGCACCTATACATATGCATTACCTATCCCCCGCCTTCCCTTGCTTCTCATGCTAATTAGCCTTTTGGCACCTTGCGCCTGCCTAGAGCCTCCCAAGAATTGTGGGCAGGGGTCTTTGGGACGTGGGCAGGGGTCTTTGGGAGGAAGACCCTGAGTCTTCCTCACAGTGTACTTCTCACCTTTGGTCAGGAATCTGCTGAATTGGCACGTTTCTTAATTGCGAGAGCTGGTTGTTGCTAATTCTTCCATTTGTTGTATCTTTATAATGAATTTCAATGTCCAGTTTTGAGATTTATAGTCCTTACATTTGTTTCTCTGTCCGTCTGCCGCTTCCTTATCATGAGTTCCAGTGTCTTGTTTCGAGATATACAGTCCATGTCTGGGGATTGTCCTTGCCTCCCCAATGCCTCCCCAATACCTCCTTAATCACTTTTGAAACAGTGCTTTTCTTTGTTGTGAACACCTGCCCACTTCTGCTCATGACATCCTTGGAACACTTTTCTATAGCTTCTTTGAGGGCAGTAGTCACTTTCAACAGGGTATTGTATCTTGTATTATTGTATTGTGCTTATATCATATCTTTAAGTGAGAATTGGGAAGTTGAAGCCAGTGTTTAAGAAGGGAAATGTTCAATTCTAAATATGAGGTCATGCTATAGATGAAGTGTGAGCTCTAATATGCTGTAGGGCATTATTTCTCCTTAAGCAAGGAGAAGCAATTGGTTTAGTTCCTAAACCAATGTGAACACCAATTATTGTTCCTTAAAAAAGATTATTATATAATGGTTGTTATTATAACCATTTCCAGTACCACCAGTCTCTCCAATTAAATCTCAGATCTCTTGTTTTATGTATACTACCAGAAACTATATGATGTTGGACAAAAATGCAGTAAAACTCTGCTGGTGAGTAAAATTCTTGTCAGGTCCACCATATATGTTTGTTCCTATGTTTTAGTGATGACAGGGAAATACTTTTGTAGTTACACTATTCTTGCTAACTTCCCTAAACTGTTCCAAAATTCTGTCTCAAAGTTGGTTTTTTTTTATTTTTACCAGATCAGTGCTGTTACTCAAACTCGTGGGAACAGAGATGGTGCAAGAGAGCTATTGAGTAGAATAGTGCAGAAAAAGGATTGGTTCTCTCCTTTCTTGGTTGCTCTGCGTGAAACACAACATGAAGACCTTGCAGATGATTTAAGTGGAAATACAGGAGGTAATCATCTTATTACACCATAATAATGTGTGTTTTTTTTTAACATCTCTTTTTGAGCTGTTTCTTTGGAAACAGTGCAGGGTTCCAGCCATATTGATCTCACTATAGACAAATAGTGAAAAGACAAATGCTTTCAGTTGTCTGAGGATTTCAGAATGAAGTTATTTAACAGCTAACTTGATAGATTCTTAAACACTAGAAATCCTTATTAAGCAATTTCAAACTTAAAACAGTATGACCAAAATTGTAATTAAACTGAATACTTACCTTTTGTAACCCATTGGTTTTCAATATGATATTTGTATAATCATTAATAATAAATAGAAGATTACTTTGAACAAATAAAACAAGCCTTTTCTGGATTCTTCTTTCACCACAAAGATTAATGTTTCTCTTATAGCATGGTTTACAAATACATTTGGTATTTTAAAGTAGACTGGAGCATATCTCCTTGGGGATAACACATTGATAGGACTTAAGATATATTGCATAACATTTACTGGAAGTAGTAGAATAAACTAGTAAACATTATTTACAGAAATGAAAGTAGGAGGTTGAGGTTTTTGGTTACCACTTTCTATTCCTGTACAGTGATTATAATATTGTAAAATTATCACCCTCCATGCTAAAATATGGAAAAAAGGAGACCCCAACCCCCAATTTTATATTGCAGTCAGCATAGGTTGTATAAGATATTTGAGAATTAATTTTTTAAGTGAGTCAGATGGTGGAAATAGATCAGCAACTACTGTGGTCCTGAGTTTCATTTTCTGTTACACATTTGTCAGGCTTAAATTCTTGTCTTCGTTACTTTGCTATCAGGTAAAAAAATAATAAATGCATAGTACATGCACTAATTACTAAAAGGAGGGCTACAAGATGGTGAAGGGTCTAAAGGACAAGACATATGAGGAGCAGCTGAGGTCCCTTGGTTTGTTCAGCCCAGAGAAGAGGAGGCTGAGGGGAGGCCTCATGGCAGCCTGCAGCTCCCTCACGAGGGGAGCGGGAACAGAGGGGCAGGCGCTGAGCTCTGCTCTCTGGGGACAGTGACAGGGCCTGAGGGAATGATACGGAGCTGGGACAGGGGAGGGTGAGGCTGGATGTTAGGGAAAGGTTCTGCACCCAGAGGGTTGTTGGACACTGGGACAGGCTCCCCAGGGCAGTGGTCACAGCACTGAGCCTGCCAGAGTTCAAGAAGCATTTGTACAAAGATCTCAGACACATGGTCTGAGTTTTGGGTGGTCCTGTGTAGAGTTAAGAGGTGGCCTCAATGATCATTGTGAGTCCCTTCCAACTCAGGATATTCTGTGATTCTATGAAGTCAGAGAGAAATCATTTTTGTGTTTGGAATAAGACAAAGAAATGGAAGGCAGGAAGACATTTGGGGAAAGTTCTCACAGGTTTTCAGTTTTATGAGAAGGTTTTGAAGTCTTCTTTTAAGGTACATCTGTTAATGACCTTACAAAACTTACAGAATTCAGAAGAGATTTATGATCAATAACTTTTTAAATAAATATTTATGAAAGCATCAGAATTCAAAACTACTGTTTGTCAAGACCATATGTCATGCTGATGTGCTGATGTGACAAGCATATTGAATACAGACTAATTCTTTGGTTTCTGTGCTACACAGTAAAAGAATATTTTTTTTATAGTGCCATGTTATTTCTTTTGTTACTTTATAGGAAAAGAGAATAAAGGAAACGGGGTGAAGAACAGTACAAACAAAGAAACAGAAGCTGCAAGCCAACCAGGACATTCTGTAGTGAAGGATTTGAAACAGCAAGAAAATCTGAATGGTGGTTCTGTCAGTGAAAATGGTGTATTGGAAACATCTGTTGAAAAGAATTCCGTAGTTTTGGGTACGTCCACTAATTGGTATTGTGTTCTGGTACCAGTTCAACTTTAGTAACTGGAAGTAACTAAGAGAATATTCTCAGTTTATTAGTTCCCATCTTGCTCAAATATTCGGGAACATATGCTACGTTCAATGTGAAGGGAATTAATGAAAAAAGTAAATCTTGATTTCTTGGAAGCAGTAAATTCTATTTCTTCCTATCAGTTAACTGCAGTACCAACTTAGGGGACAGATCTTTAAATTTGCTTACTTCACTTCAAAGGAGTTGCTCTCAAAAAAAACTGTTGTCATATTTGAACTAATTAATCTGAAAGGTATGAAAAAGCTTCACCTAAAGTAACTACACCAAGCTAGTTCAGAAACCTATTTGCTAGCACAGTGCAGAACGGCTTAGAAGGACATTGCCAAGAAATTGTTATGGCATGTTCGTATGGATTCACTTTTTAAAATGTGCCTGTGGAGTTGATCATGAGCAATAGCAACTACCAGCAGCAATTCCCAGATATAGCCAGGAACTGATGATTCAAACATATGCTGTATGATTAAGGAACCATTTGTATCTGTTACAAGTTCAAATGCAGCTCAAACAATAGTTGCAATTGAGATGAATCGTGCCTGAAATGATTTTAGTGAGCTTACTCAGACAAAGGAGTAAGACAACTAAAGTTGCTCTTTTTTTCATCAAACATGAATATGTCAAGAAAAATTTGGCTCTGAAAACTGTGGCCGTTCAGTGTGTAACAGTAGTAGCTTATTTTTCATTTAGCGTGATCTTAACAGCATATTACAATGATTTATAGCAATTAGTGGATTATTGACTGCAGCAGAAATATAAGCTTAGTTTTCCTGCATTAGAACATAATTTTGCCTTATAAAACAGAGGTGCCAAATATTTATTGATGATTCAGAATGAGTCTGACTAAGTTATCCTTACTCTTAGGGTTGTTTCAGGGCAAGTTAGGCTCTTAATTGTAGCCTTGTTCTGGATAGGTTTTCACTGCTGTTAGTGTGATCTTACCTGACTATTTTTAGACCAGGCAGGTAAAAGTACAACTGGACCCCAGATTCTACTTCCGTGTAGGCTAGGAACCCACCTAATTTGCACTTTGATCTGTCAGTTTTGCAGTACACTCCCACCATTCCTCCATATACTGAGGACAAATTTCAAGGAGGAAGAATTGTTTTCAAATCACTTGATATTCCTGCATTTTGCATTGAATCTGAAGACTCCCCTGACCCTTTTATTGCAGTAGATAAGACATAGTGAGTCAGGGAGAAGGTAAGAGAGCCCGTGGTGGTTTTACCCTGCTGGGCAGCTAAACTCTACCACAACCACTCTCTCACTCCTCCTCAGATGAAGAGGAGGAGAAGAAAGTATGCTGGAAAGAAGCTCCATCACAGCCAGACCCAGTACAGAGCCATAGGGTCATAAAGGTAGAGTAGAAATACACAATTTAGTCTGAGAGAAAACTAGAAAGAAAACTGCCTGTACAAGAATACAGATAAGACGCTGCATCCACAGAATACAACACTGAAGTTTGCAAGGTCAGAGTTGGAGCACTTGAATTGAGGTTTCTCTTAACTGTATAGAAAGCACTTCAAATAAATAGCAGCTGTGTTTTTCAAGATCTGTTTAATAAAATGAAGTAGATTGGAATGAATAATTATATCGTAGGAAAGATACAGATAGAAAAAGAAGCCAATGTGTTTTGTTTCCATCCTTATCATCATGCTCAAAGCCATGATTTCAAGAGTGTTTTGCCCCCTGTTGGTTCCAGTTCACAATGAAAGTTCCATGAAAATCTGACTAACTTGTGGTTACTATGAGGTGATAACTGATGGTGATACTATAAGGTGATGACTGATTTTTTAAGTGGAAGTTTCAGTAATGTCTTACAAAGTGTGCCCCTTAATGCTTCAGAGTGGAAAAAACAACCATTAATTTGAAAGTAGGACAGTTTTGACCAGTTTCCAGTCACATGACAGGAAAGAAAGACTATAAACAAAAAAAAAAAATGCATATTTCTATGTTCTTCATTGCATTCCATTGTCTTTATACTTATTTGTTAGTGCAAAGTGACATAAAGTGACAGTGACAGCTGTTAGAATATCAGCCCTTTTATCTCCATTGTTTTGGAAATGATTAATTTTTTTTCTTTTAAAATAATTCAAGAAGATTAATACAATCAAAACAGGAGAATATTATGCTATTCAACTTTAATTTGGAAGATGAGTATTGCACATTTCATTTTACCACCGATGTTTTCTGTTGTAATGCATGCTGCAGATTGTAACTTGGATAACTGAGTATAAAATACTTTGTTAATACATACTCTCTGTTACATACACATCTTCTAGTAGGTCATTTTTGAAGGAAGACCATAATTCCATCTTTTCTTTCCTAATTCCATGGATTACTAGAAAGTGAGCAATAGCAGTGTCACTTTCAGAAATTGAATTCTTACTAAAGCTACTTAATATTTTGTCAGAGATCTTTGAATATGGTTTATAACTGGTGATGTTTTCTTCTATTTTCAGGGCAATACTGTCTTTTGTGTGATATTAAATACATGCTATTATATAATAATAGTAGGGAATATTTATTAGATCAGGGTCCTGCTGTGAATATGCATTTTTTAAGTGCCTTTATTTTGATTACATTGATTTCTGTGAAACTAGCCTTTTAATTTATGTGCTTAAAGTGTGGTGGAGATTCATAGTTGAATTTGATTTTGAGGTTTGTAAGCAATAAAGGAAGAAAACTGAGGACAGCAAGACAGATATTTGCCTCTTCTTTAATGGTTATGTCAGGTAAACTGGAAAATAAGACTTAACCAAATACTGGACTACTAAGGTGGCTAAGGTAGCTTCATTTCAGTTGTCTATATTATGCTTTTTTCATGAAATAGCTGTTTAGTTTCACTTAGTCATTCACCTTTCGAGGAGACCAAAGCTTGCATAAAAGGGAAGTCAAAACTTCGCATTTTTACTGAATGCAGACAAGGTGAAACTTCTACCTCACTTCAAGATTACAAGATTTTGTAATGTACTTTAGGAGTAATGATCTAAGACTTCCCTGTTAGTTCTAATCTCTCACAGCATCTGTTTTGCTGTACCAATTATTTGTTGGGGACAATAAGTAAAATAGATAAGGAAAAACTGAACACAAGTTCTATGAGATAATTACGTGTATGTCACTGTTATTATTCTGACTGTTTCTCACGGACACTATGAGCTCAGTTACAGAGTGCTGCAGGCAAGCTGACAAACAGTGGAGGATGAGTCTGTTTGCAGAAGATTTCTCTAGAAGAACTCTGTGTATCTCTTCAGATGTTAGAATTACCGTGTTTTGGTAAATCTGTATAAATTACACTTGTGGCTTAAAAAAAATAAAAATAAAAATCAGTGCAATATATTGATTGCCCAGCAGAGGGAGATCTTAACATTAGAATATCTGCAGGAAACTTGCCAGATTTCTGTACCAGCGTCCAAGTTTTCTATTGAGTGTAACAGAATTGTCGGTCTCTGCTTTTACTTGCAATCAGTTTGGAAGATTTATTTTGTGTCCAGTTGTCAAACATGTTTTTCTTTCTTTTTTTCCCTTCTGAAAAGGAACACAGGACTAGAGGTGATCATGCATGTGGTCCTATGTGGACCCTTACTTCTAAGCAAACAGAAAATAGATGCCTGACTACACTAAATTATGAACCCCGTCATCTTATCCATCTTTTCTTCCGTAGGAAAGGAAATTATTTTTCAGCCATCCCTGCCAGACATTTGTCTAGCCCATTTTGACAACTAAGGGAGAGAGTAAATGATACACTGGCTATTTATATTTGTATAGCAAATATACTATACTACATTTGTTTCTGTTTTTTCATTTAGAATCGGATGTCGCTACAGAAGATAGAAGTGTCAGTAACATGAATGAAAACCTGGGACAGAGCAGTACAACCAGTAATTCAGGTATGTTTCCCTTCTCTTATTGAGTAACTGCAAAATAAACTCTGGAGGGTAAGCCCTCTATGACTATGCTAAACCAAAAATAAATGGAAAACGTTTACTGTGAACTCCAACAACAGTATTTATATACCAAACTTCCTCTTATTTTGTTGGTAAACAGATGCCATTTTTATGGGTCTGGACTTAACTTCAAGCCCCAAAGGAGCTGATTTACTGGGATCCTCTGAATAGGTCTCGAAACATTGCCATCATAGAAATGGTCAGTGATGCAGAATACAATCACACAGACTGGAATGAACTTCTGGAAGTCATCCAGTGAAGTTATCTGTACAGATACTCATAATAATGCCACATTTTTGTGCTTCTTTTGCTCTGATGAAGAAGCTAAATTGTGTCTGGACCCTGTACTGGGGAGATAAGAGGGATTAAATTGGAAAGGTTTTAGAGGCATCAGAAGTTGAGGAGCAACATTTCCTGCATACTTGCAGAACCATAATGAGGATCTACTTTGGACCTAAAGAATTTAATAGCACTGTTTGCAAAAGTAACCTAATCAATGGAGATTAATATCCAAAGACCTTTGCAAATCTCACATTTAAGAATACTTGCAAGTTCTAAATGAAGTGTAGCATTAAACTAAATATTAGATTGTGTTTAGATAACACTTTTCAGACAGATGTGAACTTGCTATGTATAAACTCTGAAACCAATTAAACACTGCTGTTGTAAAAGACACTCCACTTTTATTTATTTATTTTTTAACCTCAGGCAGAAAGAATTTGCAGCTGTCTTCCGTGGTGAACAGATATTGTTTGCCCTACACTGAATTCAAGAATCCATTGACTTCTAGAAACTAGCCTGTATATAGTTTGCTCTGTGCCTATATCTTGTGCAAGGACTAAGAAAAATCTGGGTTACTTTACAAGCCAGCTCTGCCTAAAGAGACTAGTATTAGATCAGTAAAGTCAAGTAAAGTTGTAATATGTCTTAAGCCTACAAAGTGTTTACTGAAAATGCTTTAGAATAGTTTCAACCTTTTTAAAACTAAAAATCCTGTATTTTACAAGTGCACAGAAGATTCAGGATATCTCAAATCTAAATTGCTACCCCTCAAATCTAAATTGCTACCCTACAGATAGGGTTTTATTCTATGTATTGTTAACTCTGAGGAATATACTTAGCACTTCTGTGCTGAGGTGACACATCAGTCACACTGGACTTTTTCCTCACTGTGTCACATGAAATGTCAGGGCACAGAAACTTCTCCATTTTGTGAGCAGACACACTATATCCGTTGGGCAGGATGATACAGGCTACTGGTGTGTGGTAGCACATACATAAATATATGGCCTGAGCCTTTAATATTCCTGAAAAATCTCACATTTAGTTGAGCATTGGCTATGTCCAGTAGTCCAGCAGAAAAAAATAAATCACTACAGTTACGTGAAGAATGCAGAACAGATTTTTTTTACTTGTTATTTATTACATGTTCTGTTTACATTTGAGCTTTAAAAATAGTTGAAAAGTTTTTAAAAACATTAATGCTTAAACTCAGTGAGAGCAAATATGAGAAAAATAGTGGAGATACAGATGGAATTGGTGATATTTTTGGATTTTATAATTTGAATTTTTGCAGTAAGGCTGTTGTATTAGATGTCTGGATAGATCTTAATGCACTAATAGGAGTTTGATTTTAAAGCAAAGAGTCCTATGGATTTAGTTGCCCTTTTCAATGCAAGGATCATTTTACATTTAAGAAAAATGTTGGAATTAGGATAATAGAAGAATAATTATCATGTTTCTTTTAGCACAGAGCAGCAGTTTATGAGCCTTGTATGAAGGCAGACAACCTCCCTAAAGTTTTACTGTGCATGATGAAAATTCTTTAATGGAATCATATCCTGTGGAAAGATTCCTGTATTAGCCTTTATCTTACCAGGAGCCGAGGAAGCTAGGAGAGAGATAAGTTAAATATTTTTTAGGCATGGATGGTTAGTTGAGGATGTTAAGATACTGAAATTTAACTAAACAGATGGGTGATAAAGTGCTAGTTTCAATATGATTGAACTATTGTATTTAGTCAACCAGAAAGCAAACAGTGTTCTTCCTCAAAAGAGAGTAGTAGAAGTCAGATAAGTAAGAGCAAGTACTCTCTGGTGTAAATTTCCCTGTGTTCCAGATAGTGCTGCACTCACGCTAAAAGGCAAAACAAGCAAAAAACACTTAGGAATGGTATTCGGGTGTTTCCATCAGCAGTATTTTATCAAGCTTCATTACTTTTTGTTAGTTTAATTTTATTTAATGGAATAAGGTTTACTAGAAAAATACACTTATTTTTCATATGATGTATCAGTGATAATAAAAGCCCCATGATTCTTCATTTAATATCATCAGGAAATAAAACTAGAGGGTTTTTTTCCTCATTTTTAGCCTAGTAGGATTTCTGCCTCTTATTCGCTGACAACAGTACAAGTTCAGGGTAATTAATAGTTCAGGATAAACAAACATATCTGTAGAAAAAAAAAGGCGCAGAACCCCACTAATGTAAATACTTCTTACATTCATATAGATAATTTCTGACTTCCTAAATATGTATAAACTCAGAGAGCTGACATGCTTTTCTCACTGCCTGAAATTGTGACATCCCTTTTAACTTTTGAATGTTGTTTGTTTTATCTGTGAGAAGTAAATATGAACTTTCTGCCATTGCATTTTACATGATAGATGGAAGGTTTTGGCCTTTAGGTGGCAAATGCACATGGCCTTTTAGTGAACAGCTCAGACTGCATTATGTATGAGTCAGTCTGGAGGCACCACAATTTGCATTGAATAGGTGGTAACATTCTGCAGCTAGCTCTGTCTTGTATGGGTGATTGAATTTTCTTATCTATTTGATCTTTATACTTTATAACTCCCTTCATCTATTTTTAAGTAGTCCCTATCTCTTTTTCTTTTTCTATGGCTCCATCTTTTTCTTTTTTTTCTTCCTCTGGGAAGTATTCAAAAAGGTAGCTCACATGCAAGCAAATAAATTTCAGTACCGATGAAAGAGAGCATCACATAAGATTGTCTAGATTATGCATACTACAGCTCTGAACACAACTTTTGTTGTTCTCAGTGCTACTGAATTGTATCATTTGAATTCATACATAATAATAATCATATTAACATAGATGAATGAAGTCATATTGTGGCTTATTCCACCTACCCTGTTAGGCAACTGGATATAAGCACAGGTCCACAGAACAGCATTTCCTATGCTAACACGCCATGTTTCTCTTTATTCAGAAGATGTATCTCATAATAAATTTATATTTTCCATTTGTCACTTGTTTAATATTCTGATAAATGCTTCCTGTTTGATATTTATATTTCTTTGCACCCTTAGATGAAGATGAAATGGAGAGCAGAGCTTCACCTGAACCAGATCTGATCCTGAGAGACTACCAGATGGAAGTTGCAAAGCCAGCACTGAATGGGGAGAATATTATAATATGTCTCCCTACAGGCAGTGGTAAAACCAGAGTGGCTGTTTACATTACCAAAGATCATTTGGATAAGAAAAAAAGAGCATCAGAACCTGGAAAAGTTATAGTACTTGTTAATAAGGTATGTTGGTACATTTAAAAAAAAAATAGTATTTTGCAAACCACATGCACTGTTAGTAAAGAACTTGTGAAATGAATGTAAATACATTTTTCAGCTTCTCCAGATGTAGGTATGTTTAAAGGCACACAACTATAGACTGTCATCTCCATTATATTGCTGAAAACATGAGTGATTTTAATTTAATGCAGCACATGTGAGTATTTGCATGTAGCCAATTAACTACATTATCGGAAAAAGTTTTTTATTTCTTGTTAGGATTAATAAAAATGAAATAACATTTAAAAATATATTTTTCACGTTCTGTGTTTGGATCTGGTAATGAAGGCCACCTAATGAGTCTCAAAATAGTTAGGTAATATTCTGTCAGATTTTCTGATAAGACCTGCAATTTTTACAGTTAAATTCAGAGCATATAACCTAAACCAAAGTTTTTCTATGGTAATATTAAAGTGTGTAAATACATTTAAGAATTTTATTGAAAGATTAAAAGATATCCCTATTCTCCTATGAGAATAAAATTGTTAGTATGTTATAAGCTTAGTCAAAGAGCCAGAGCATTCATTGTTTGTTCTTTCCAAGACACAGTTAAGCCAAAGTTCTTAGGGCAAAAAGTTTTTCTTAGGAACTTTTTTTTTTTAATAAACATTTTGGGAAAATGTTTTTATGAACATTTTGGGAAAATGTTATGAACATTTTGGGAAAAGACCTGTGGAATGAAAAGAAGTACAGACATATAAATACTTCAATGGACAGAGAACAATGTTGATGAGAATGAGAGGGGATTGCTTTGTGGATTTTTAGTGTTTGCTTTTCCTTTTTTTTTCAGGTCCTATTGTGTAGTGAATAAGGGTTTGTTTACGTTTTTTAAAGAAAAAGTATGTTTTGCACAGAGTGTATATTCACCTATCAACACCTCTGGCAAATAGGTATATATTTATAATCCTTATAATCCTATGTATGTTCTGGTATAAATTATTTGGAAACTTTTTTTCAGGTACCGCTAGTGGAACAGCATTTACGAAAAGAGTTTAATCCATTCCTGAAACATTGGTATCAGGTTATTGGTTTAAGTGGTGATTCTCAGCTGAAAATCTCATTTCCTGAAGTTGTCAGAAGATATGATGTGATCATCAGTACAGCACAGATTCTTGAGAATTCACTGTTAAATGCAACTGAAGAAGATGAAGAAGGTGTCCGCTTATCAGGCAAGATTTTCATTCTGAAATTTTTACAGAAGGTCAAAAGTTCTGGAAAACTGCAGATTAAAAATGTGCCAAACTCAGTAGTTAATGTAGTTCATTTGACTGTTTTTAAAAATGCAAGCTGTACTCTGAGAGTCAAAACCAGATCTTAATGTGCTTGCAATTTTTTGAAGCCAAGTTAGACTTTTGCAGTGCACCTGTTGTGCATCCCATTTTATGTAGCTCAAGCACAACCTTGTGCAAATACAATGATACTGATTTCAGCTTACAGGCTTGGTAGAACATTGAATTATATCACGTAGAAGCCATGAATAGAAGTAGAAAAAATATTAAAAACTCAAATGCAGTAAGTAGTTTGAGAAATACAATGAAGCATGGGATAGAAGCCAATCTGTTATAAAAGCTGTAATCTTTAAAATTTTACCATTTTGCTAACACATGGAGATAAGATTACTTCTAACTACATATAGATAGGCAGCTACAATGGTCTCCTACAACAGATACAGGAAGTTGCAGAGCACAAAAAGAAGAAGATGAGATAAATTATATTGTTAGCCCAGAAATCTAAAGTGGGAGATACTATTTGAAGATCAGAAAGGAAATTGTATTATCTGCCAGTGATGGAACAAAACATGACTGCAGCTCCAGGATTTGGGCTGCAGTGACCCTCCTCTGTGAAAGTTGACTTCTCCCTCTATATGCATGCAGTCAACTCTATTCTAGATGGGATAGGAGATAGCTGATGGGAGAGCTACAATGTTCAAAATAAGGGAATTAAGGTAAAACAAGAATTTGTCTGAGTGTTACAGAGACAACAGGGAAGCATGGTGTCTGTCAGTGCCTAGTGCTGATTGGAGTACTTGCTTGATCCAAACCAACTCCTAATAAAGCCACTCGAGTATCCCAGAATTACCTCCCCTCCCACAGAATACCTTTTCGTTATCTTAGGTAGAGTTCTAAAGATTTTGTTGTATTTATGTAATTTACACCTCCACTAAGTCAGTAAACCTTCCCAAATCTGAATCATCTGAGAATACCATATAGAGGTGCCTAAATGCTTCTACAGAAACTGCTGGCCTAATTGGGCTGAGTCCCAAGCTTGTGTCATGAGGTTTCACACCTTGCAAAGTTTCCTTCATAGAAAGTTATAATACATATGATCTATATATATAATGTAGAAATGTTAGAAATAAACAGAAAATTTGGTTTGAAACCACACAACTCCAGTCCAAAATAGCTTCCTAGACCACTTGTGTGAAAACAGTCACATTTCCCCAGTGACATGGAGCAATAGTTTGCTTTCTTAGTGGTACTCTTTGGCTTAATATCTAAATAAAATTTCCCCTGTTCACTTTCCACCTTTCTTCAGGTTCTTCAAAGACCTGAAAAGATATTACATGATATTTTCCCCAGCAGAAGGGCCCATTCAGACTATTCTAACTCTCTGTTAGTTTCCAACTTTTGCTGCTGGTTGACACAAAAATCATTTGTAGCGATGCAGCAGTGTTAGCACACCAATGTGTAAACAAGGGCATGAAAATTGCCTGATTAAAAATTAAATTAAAAAATGAGTTTAACCCAAATCATTTCAGTCACCTGCTTTACAGACATTGCCACAGTTTTGTAGGGAATTCAACATAGAGAGTTACTAGCTAGTTAGATGAAGGGTGGGAACTCCATAAACCAGTTCTGCTGCTAGAGAAAGAGTTTATGAGTCTTTGAAATAAGAACCTTAAAATATATTTCAGTATCTGCATATGTAAACATGTAGATGAGATGTTCTTTGTGTTTGTGAAAGATTTAAAACAAAGAAAAAATACTTTTCTTTATCATATTGTACTCTACCTGTTTCATGTAAATATGGTCTAACTAAAAACCACAAAATCAGAGTCTGAATCTTCAACAGTTTCCTCAACTACAAAAGCGAGATGATCAGTAGTGCCCTCTCCATCTGTTTGTTTTTCCCAATGACACATCCACAGAGTAATGTAAGTCTTTTAATTGGGCAGAAACAGGGGGACAATCTCTGTGTTGCTATAAAATTGAAGCATATTTTGATCAGCACAGGACTTTCTAGAGTGTCTGAAAGACTTCTAATATGTTACATATGTTCACATAGACAAATGATATGTATGTAGTTTGTCAATGCATTTACGGATATGCTTATAAAAGATAGCATAGATAGTGTAGAACTATAATATGTTCCTACTAGTGGTTACTATCTGCTATACTGGTTATTAAAAATACATGTCCAAAATTCTTTATACCATCAGATTGTTTTTGCAAGAATAGAAAAGCTTTCTATGTTATATAAAAACTACTTGATACATCAGGAGTGCAGCAAAAATTCCAAAGTTCATTAAATATATACAGCTCCCATCCACCCCTTCCTCCAGTTCTGTAAATTTTCTAATGCATTAGGACTCAAACAAACAAACTGGATCTTTTCAGCACTGTGCTTACCTGTACAAAGATTTACTCACACAGTTCTACCTTTGAAAGAAAATTAATCATAATTATTTTTTCTTCTTTTTTTTTTTTTTAAGATTTTTCACTCATCATTATTGACGAGTGTCATCACACTCAAAAGGAAGGCGTCTACAACAATATAATGCGACGTTACATAAAAGAAAAGATGAAGAACAGAAAACTGGCGAAAGAAAACAAACCATTGATTCCACAGCCTCAGATTCTGGGACTTACAGCATCACCTGGAGTAGGAGGTGCAAATTCCAACCAAAAAGCTGAAGAACATATTCTAAAAGTAAATAGCCCCTATATTTGCAAATCACTAAAGGAACAGTGTCTTGTTAAAGTAAATCTTTATAGTGTAAGGCTTCAATTATATCATCTGATTCTTTTCTTTTGTATATGGAAATTCAGCTCAGAGCCATTCAGCAAATTGTCCCACTACTAATTAATGGACATTGCTGTACGGATAAAGGTTGCTTACATAAATAGGGAAGTAAAAAGATTGCCTCACTTGAAAACAAAACAATCCAAGATCAAAGGCAAGAAATCCAGAAAATAGTGATGTTTTTAATTAATAAAAATCTTCTCTTTATGTTGCTGGATTAGAATTTACTGTGTATTTTAAGTCCGAGAGAGATCACAGTATTTTATGTCTGTATTTCTAGAGCAACTAAGCTGGGCTTCCATGTGGATTCAGGAAAGTGAAAAATGAAGTTGAATATTTAAACAATGTACCTGTTAGATACAGGTAGCGAGCAAATGTTACAGCAGCTAGTTACCGATAGAGAAGGGAGTAGTATGTGTGGTTGCATATATGCCTGACTGGAGATAATTGGTTAAATTCTGTATTTAAAACATCTGTGACTATAAAGAAACTATTTTATTTAAAATTCAATGGATATTATTACTGATACAAAAGGAGAATTTAACACAGGACTGCAGCGAAACCTCCTATTTAGTAAGATTTGCACAAGAATAGCAGACACATCGTGAGCAGGGAGGCTGGATTAGATGATATTCCGAGGTCCTGTCCAACCTCAACCATTCTGTGATTTTGTGAGAAACAGAATGTGAAATGAATATGTGAGGCGTACAAGAAGTTGTTATGCTCTATTGAAGTAGATATGGTTATGAGGTATTTTGGGACAAAAACTTCCTAGCAGTGGAAAAAGCAGAGAATTCCTTTTCATTATCTGTGAAATCTTAATGATAAGATGGTGGTTCTATGTAAAGAAATGTAATCCAAATATACAAGCTCAAATAGATAACTACTGCTGCAGACATCATAAAGGTTGCTTGCCAGACTTTTTTTTTTTCATCTGCTCATAATAAATTTAGTTTCCCCTTATTACTTCATATTCACTGACAGAAATGTGCATATTATCTTCTCAGGAGAGATCAAAAGCAGAAAAGTCCATTTTAGTTGTGCAGTTAGTTTTGAAATTTTCTCCATCTATTTCTCTTCCAAGAAAGATCATTTCAAATTATTTTCTTATTTTGTGACAAGCTTTTACTTTCAGAATTAGTCACTAACATATATTTTTTTATTTAGTTTCACCATTCTTTTTATTTATTTGTTTTGTGCTCCAAAATTTTCTCTTCTAAAGTATTGATGGTATATTTTCCTTTTCAATGTACCTATTTTTCACCCCAATCTGCAACCCCTGATTTTCTTACAGATCTGTGCCAATCTTGATGCACGTAGAATCATGACTGTTGAAGAACATGCCTCCCAACTGAAAAATCAGGTGAAGGAGCCATTTAAGAAGACCGTGATTGCAGATGACAAAAGAAAGGTATGTTTTGTCAAACAAATTGGTATTAAAGTTTAATTTCCCTTTGAAAGAATGTTGTATGGTGTCAAGAACTTTTGACTAATGCTGTTTTGCTATAGACTTACTGTGATCCATAGTGCTAATTTGAATATATGTGTGTTCGTTTTTTTATCTGCTGCCTTCTTCTGGATGGAAAAGTGTCAGTAAAGTTAAATGAAACTAAATTTTTACATATCTGCATTTACTGCATTTATATTTTTCAGATATCTGGTCAAAAGTCCTTCTGAGCCATGTTTCTGTTGGGGTGACATAATATATACTAAAAAATGTTATATTCACAGTTTAATTTTTATATTGTTCTGAGCTATTGATTTCCATAACTGTTAATACTCTTAGCAACCTTACTCAGCTTTGAATTTCAAGTTCTAGGTTTTAAGAAGTTACTTAGTGTAGTTTAAGCCAGAAGAGTTCGGTCCAGTTTTTTTTTTTTTTTGCTTGAAGATGCTTACCTACTTTAGTAATCCTTTTCTTTCTAGGATCCATTCAGAGAAAGAATTATTGAGATCATGACAGATATTCAAAAGTATTGCAAACTCTATCCAAAATCTGAGTTTGGATCTCAGCCATATGAACAGTGGGTGATTAGAGAAGAGAAAAAAGGTAACTGTATAGGGAAAATATCTTGACTTTGAATTTGTCTGTTTCTTGTTTTGTTTTATTTTATACGCAGACATGTTTTTGTTTGTTTTGCTGACTTTCAGCTGCAAAGGAAGAAAAACGCAAGGAACGTGTCTGTGCAGAACACTTGAAGAAATATAATGATGCTTTGCAAATTAATGACACTATCCGAATGGTCGATGCATACAATCACCTAAATAACTTTTATAAGGAGGAAAAAAGCAAGAAAACAATAGGAAGTGATGATGATGAACCAGCAGTATCAAAACAGGATGAAACAGATGAATTTCTACTAGATTTATTTCATGGTAAGCTTGAAATACATGGTGAATTTTAATATTTAAAATCCATAGAACCTAATGGTATAATTTGCATGGGCTCATTAATTTTTACTTTGTAGAGATTGCTGTATTGTTTATTATGCATTAAACAATGTCACAGTGTGATCATGTCCCAACATGCAGTAGATGCTCTTTGATTTTAGCCTAAGGACACTTCCTTTTTTCCGATACTAAGTAAAAATTGTTCTCTGCTGTTCTAGAATGAAGTGACCCTGAGGACATTCTGACAGGCAGACAGAATGTATATTCCATTAGATACTATTGAGGGACCAAAAGTTTAGCAAATGGAACACCAAAGTAACGTGCAATGTCCCTTTTTTAACCAGACCTCTCATACTAAGTATGCATACTTATTATGCATTGACTGCATACTAAGAGATGGGAATAATGATCCTGAGTAAGTTCCAGGTAAAGAGCAGCTACTGAGAGAATTAAACAGCTGGTTAAATTGCAGAGACCAACCGTAGTTGCCTTTTTTTATGATCATTCGCCTTGGAACTAGGATTAATGCAGTACTTTACACAATAATATTTTCTGCCTCTTTTTTCCCCTTACTGCCTTCACAATGAGAAAGAGGTAGACAGGTTGGCTCCTGGGTGGTGCAAAACAAAATGGGATTCATACTGTAGTAAAATCTAACTTCATGAACTACAAATTTAGAATGCCACCATTAAGAAATTTGGGAAATGTTAAAAAAAAAAAAAAAAAAAACTTTTAGACAAATTAATGTGGTAATGTCATTGTGTTTTTTACTCACCATCCATACTTGTCTTTGTGCCCACTGCCTTAGAATTTCAGTATTGAATTGCTGCTGAGAACTAAAAAGTTAAACTAATTAAAAATTAAACTTAGTTTTCTAGAGTGATTTCATTTCCATATGTAAATGAAGTTCAGAGAAACTGATAGCCAAAAGGAAATTATAGTCCAATCTGTTCCAGTTATATCACTGATTGTGCCAGGAGTAGTAGAAGGAAATCTAAGGAATTTGTTTCCAACTTTTAAGAATGGGGTTTATCTTTGGGAGGTAAAGTTACTGAAGCTCTTAGTGTAGGTTTAAATACATGAGAAAACTATAGGTGTTTGTTACATATATCTACTTTGTAGGTATGTGTAGCTTTATGAGTATGTAGCTTTATGTGCGATTACATTCTAAAATATGAATGAGACTGTAGTCAGAAAGCTACTGCAAATGCAGAGTACCGGTTTTGGATAAACTGACTACACTGCACTGGACAAGGTGGATTATTCACACGATAACCTGCACAGGAAATTGATATTAAAGTGGCTGTAATATCTTAACACACAAGCTTCCCCCATTCCTTTCTTAAAGTATTAGTGTTGTCTTTTTGTAATCATCTGTCCATGACATAAGTTTTTAAATATTAAAAATGTAAATTAAAAAAAAAAAAAAACGTGTGAGAAATCCTCCCTGGTCAATGATGCCTGTGTAAGAGAGTCATTCATTGAACCATTCAACCTCTATACAGAAAGCTGCTCTTTGTTTTTCTCTTTTTTTTGTTGTTGTTTTGTTTGTTGTTTTTTTTTTCCTAGAGCTTTTATTTTACATAGTACTGTTTTTTAACTTACATTTTCTATTTTTAAAGCAAAAAAGAAACAGCTAAAAGAGTTGGCTAGAAAGCCAGAATATGAAAATGAGAAACTGGTAAAGTTGCGAAACACTTTAATGGAGGAGTTCACAAAGACTAAAGAACCTAGAGGAATTATTTTCACAAAGACTCGGCAAAGTGCCTTTGCCTTATTCCAGTGGATTAAGGATAACCCAAAATTTGAAGAAGTGGGGATTAAGGCTCATTATCTTATTGGTGCTGGACACAACAGTGAAACTAAACCCATGACTCAGGTACAGAACTATTCAATATGGTGTTAAAATCCTGTACTTATTTTGAGAAAACAGTTTGGTTTAGTACTAGAACAAAGGACTGAAGTTTGGAGCCCAGAGTTCTACTTTCAAATCTGCCAGCATCTTACAATCATAAAGTATAGCTTAGGTGAATAACAGTATTTTAATTGTATTTCCACGAGATGCAACTTTTATTGGTGCTTGTATTCCATGACAGCAAGAGTAACAGGAAAAAAGTTTCCTAGAGGAATATGCAGTCAAAAAGGGACACAAGTTGTAGTGAGATATAGGAAGAAAAAAAAGTGAACAAAATGGCAGTAGGAAAGTATGATAGTTAAATAAGGTCACACTTACTTAGACAACATTGATTCAAATTATAGTTTACTGGACAAATTGAAAGATAAACTGAATTACAATGCTAAGGATGAATGTCTTTTCCTGATATCATCATTTAATCAATTTATTCCAATTTATATGCATGCTTCATACAGACACAGTCATTGAAAGAGAATTTGCCAAAACCATGAAAACTCTGATTGATAACTCAACACTTCTTCTCATATCAATGTGTTCACTTCATACACAACATCTCTCTGACAATTTATTTATACATTCAAATTTAATATTTTCAAAATAAAGTGCTTCAGTATACTAAATGCTCTGTTCTGCTTTTTACACCCTGTAAAATTGCCACTTCAGTATTTAAACAATAATGGTGTTACTTTTTGCTGGGCAGAGTCTATTTACTGCAGTTCCTTTCAGTTTCAAAAAAACGTATAGGAATTGTTCTGTACAAAGTAAGCTTGTTTTCTGAAAAAAAAAAAAAAAAGTTCTTTAATCACTGTACCATATTGCACAAACAAAGCAATAGCCTCTATATTTTGAAACTGAATGCAGTATTTAGGAAGCTTCTGTCCCTCTGCTACTGATAAAGTGTCTTTGAAATGTTTATCTAATTCAAAATTCCATGTTTTGGATGCTTTATTTTTTATGTACATCATCTCCATGGTTTTTGGTGCTCCACAGATTAAAAAAAATACATTATTTTGAGGAAATTTAAGTACTTGGGAACTTGAAAGTACTGAAGGCTGTACTTAAAGATGAAAATACTGAAGTAGTAGATATCCATAATGTCTGGGTAACTACTTAAATAACTTTATAGAGCAAAGAATTGTATTATCAAAACTCCTAGTGTCTATGAAATGGAATCATCAGGTAAAAAGGTCCAAGTTCAGTTACATTTAAAACTGCCCCCAATTCCCTCACAAATGCTGAACGCATAGTGTGTTCAGAAGAAACTCCTTATTTGTCATCTTGAAAGGTGTTAAATGCAGTGGTTGAAGTGACTGAAGTTTGGCACTCCATTCTGGAATGATTGGGTTATGATTTCTTAATTCTCTTCATTACAAGAAACTTCTGTCAGAAACTAATACTGAAAGTTAATGGACCAATGTTTTTTAATTTACAGAATGAGCAAAGGGAAGTCATTGATAAATTCCGAGGTGGAAGTGTAAATTTACTTATTGCTACTACTGTAGCTGAAGAAGGCCTGGACATCAAAGAGTGCAACATTGTTATTCGCTATGGCCTTGTCACTAATGAAATTGCTATGTTGCAGGTAAGAGTTTACTGCATACCTAACTTATTTTTTAAAGTTGTTTTCTGTTTGGAATATGCAAATGGTGAATCATATTCCTGGGCTTTGGTAATACTTTTGGAATATTTGCAGACTAAAAGAAAATGTTATTGCAACAAAGTTCATTTCCAGGTACCAGCCTCCTGCTATATGAAGTGCATGTTATATAAAATTTGCATCCCTGTGGTGCAGTGTGAAATCCATTTAAAGTTCTACACAACCAGTAAACTGTCTTATGCCTGGTATAGAAAAGGTATTCTTGTATGATCAGAGGCCTGGTTGAAATTGACTTTCTGTACTTGTGTATGATGATGGACTTTTATCTTACTTGCAACCTCCCCACACGTGTTTCCAGCCTATGATCAATCAGCAATATATTTATCACTTTACAAACACGAGACAATGCACACATTCCCTAAAGGAAAAAAGAAAAAAAAAAAAAAAAAGAGAGGATAGTTTCTATAATAAAGGCAATATGTAAATTTAAAGACATTTGTACTCTTGAGAGCTAAAAAAAAAAATATAACTGCATATCATAATACCAGTTTTGTTCATGTTCTCAGTTACTTTGTAAGCACATTTGAGATATTTAAATGCATGCTTAATTTTTTGGTGACAAAATAAAGTTTCTGTTTCACAAAATGTTATGCTAATCACAAATCTCCTGAATACTATCTCACAGGTATCTTTAATGTTAATGCAGAAGGAGAATGTTGTTAATACTAATTCTTTATCTGCCTAAGTGAAAAAAAAATTGCTCCGTGGGGTCCCTCTGTAGTAAGACTTGTACATGTCTTCTGTTACAAAAATAGGAACAAGTGTTGCTTGGTGTTTTAGGGAACTTTACGCTGTTAATGTTATATTCTTTGCAAATCGTAGGCCCGTGGTCGAGCTCGAGCTGATGAGAGCACCTATGCACTTGTGGCTTCGAGTGGCTCAGGAGCTGTTGAACGTGAAGACGTAAATATTTACCGTGAGAAAATGATGTATAAGGCCATTCAGCGTGTCCAGAGGATGCCGCAGGAAGAATATTTACATAAGGTATCTACTGCAGCTCTACACTTTCCATTTGAAGAAGTCTGATGCATACTGTAACGAATACTTTCTACCTGAAATCTACTTAAGGGTAGAAATACAAAATAGTATTAGCTAATATGGCCTTGAATCCTTCTGCCAATACTTGTTTTATAATCTATGTTTCTGGACCTTTGGAGAAGTCTGCTTTTTTGTAGGAAAGCAGAGAAACACACAAGTTGGGAAATTTGACTAAAAATTTGATTAGTGTACTTAGTAAAATAAAGAGAAAGGCAATTGCTTTTTCACAGTATCTTTTTTTCCTTTAGAAGTCACACCTTATTAGGCAGAAAGATATTTTTTTTATGAAAGTATAATTTTAAGTTTTCAGAATAAGTTTTATTTGTAAGGCTCTGGAATTTATGGAAATAAATGTTTACATTTATTAGTCTGCTACAGTCATTCCACTAGAATATTACAGTGCTCTAATTGTTATGTTTCTAGATTGAGAGCTTCCAGTTGCAGAGTATAATGGAAAAACAAATGAAGGCAAAAAGAGATCAGCGTAAAACATATAAGAAAAACCCTTCACTAATAACATTCCTATGCAAGAATTGCCACAAGCTGATATGTTCAGGAGAAGATATACAAGTTATTGAAAACATGCATCATGTCAGCGTGAAAAAAGATTTCCAGTAAGTGTTTATGAACTACTTTGTCTCTTTCAAGCAGAAACAGAATTTCTTTTCAGCAAGACTTGTAACCCTATAGGCCCAGTAAGTAATAAATAAATAAATAAATAAATATTTTTCCAATATTTTCAAGTCATAAATTCTCTTGAGTTTACAGTTAATGAATTTGAAGGAAATGTTGGTTCTTCCCCTTATTTCAAGGTGACCAGGGTGTGAAACTTCAGAAAAAGATATAGTTCCTGTGGTAATATTAACTAGGTCACTTGTTATATAATGTGGTGTGTATTCCACAGAGAAACAAGAACTGAAGCTGAATACCAGTTATCCAGTGCAGAGTCTCACATTTACACTGTTACACCAGTAACAGACCCTGGATAAAAGTGTGAGCCATGACCAGTGACTCATCAACAACTTATTAATCATCTGTGATTGACATCTCTACATGCGGAGAATGTTCGTACTGGTCACACACTTCCTTTATTTCTCCCAGTGTTCTTGCTTTTTCGAATCTTCATTGCAAGAGATACCATGCCATCTAGTTTGTTAAACATTTACCTCCATTAAACTGTTTAACTTTTTAGTGCTGAAAGAGGTGACTTTCTTTTCCCAGTCATAATGGAAATTAAGAGGCCAAGAAAATGTTTTAATTCAACTTCAGTTTACTACAGTAACTTTGTAATTGGTATTGTACACTACAAGTCAGTCATGCTTTGTTATGCATGTACATGCAAATGAGTCTGCTCCAGTTATGTAGCAGACACCATCCTACCAAGTTACAGGCCCTCCAAAGTTCTTTCATTGTGACACATCACTGGTATAATTTGTAATTTTAATGAAGAAGTTTTGAAGAGTTTAATGAGAAATTAGTACTCATATGTTGAAAAAATGAAAATTTAGCTGCAGACCTAAACATTAGACTGCTTCTACTGTGAAATTGTCTCATCAACATAATGCTATCAGTCGAAGTACAGTTATAATTGAAACTATAAGGTAATAATTATTATAACCTCTCAGCACAGGCTGATATAATGATAGTAACTCACGAAATCAAGAACTCCCTAAATTAAATAATATAAGAATGTGTATATATTCTGCATCTCTGGAGAGACAGAATGAAATGATGCTGTGAAGGGGTAAAGTTGGACTACAGGGAGTAAAATAAAACCTCTAACTTTCAGACATTGTCTTTGACAGCTCAGTGGCACTTCAGAAAAACAAAAACAACAAAAAAAAGCTATCCCTTACTGTAACTCTATAACTGAAAGCCTGCTGCTGCTAATGAGGGAGGATGCACCTAAAATGTTACAAAAGAAAACATGAAGTATAGTTACATTTCAACGTTACTTAGGAGCATGAAATAGGACCTTGCATTTTCTCTGGCTCCTGAATGTGCACAACAGAGGTTACTGCCTTCTAGGTTTCATATCTGACTTCAGCAATGGTAGTCACTTTGCATTTAGGGCCATTTGTAGCCAGTAACCAATGTATTCTGACTCACGTTTTCTGTTTTTCAGACATCTTTACCATACAAGAGAAAATAAGACACTTCAAGATAAACATGCTGATTACCAGACAAATGTGGAAATTATATGTAAAGATTGTGGACAAGTGAGGAATGACTTCTTTTCATACTTCTATATTGCTGGTGTCTGTCTTTATTTTTGTCTAATGACATGACTGTTTTTCTGATTTCCTTATACTTGCAGGCTTGGGGAAATATGATGGTTCACCGAGGTCTTGACCTGCCTTGTCTAAAGATTAGAAATTTTGTGGTTGTTTTTGAAGACAAGAAAGCAACAAAGGAAATTTTTAAGAAATGGGTAGAACTGCCCATCAGGTTCCCCAGTTTTGACTATGCAGCTCATTGTCCTTCAAGTGATGAAGACTGAGGACTCAAAATGAAAATAAATGTGTTTTTTGTCTCTTCTCTGACTACTGATTATAGAGTGTTATAGAGAGTGCTGCATCCTAAACACTGTGAAAGATCCTGAGCATGAAGACACTGCCTTGAAGAGGAGAAAAGACCCAAGGGAGAAGGACAAAGTCATGCAGCAGCTGTACGCACTCAGATTTGCAGTGGCACTCTAAGACAAATAAGACCAAATACATTGCAGTGATGTGTATCCATGGAACAAATTCCCCTCTCAGTATATTTAAATGTGGGGTGGCAATGCTGTCAAAAGTGTGTTTGGTGACCTGTCTTTAAGCATAGAACATAAGACAGTCATCTTGACACTTGGTGTGGTGACTGTTTTCTGTTTTGCTTTCTGCTACAACCCTTATGAAGATAAAGTGTCTTAAAAAAGAAACCATGTAAAGAGAACAGATTACATGAGGTAATTTGTGAGTCACTGTAGCTTCTGTGTTTTCATGACAGAGTGCTTTCTCTCCTACCTTTACCTGTAAGCTAATTTTTACAGACTGTTTCCATTAAAAGAAATCTCAAAAAAATCAAGCCCTCAAGTTGACTTTAAATTGATTATCTTAATGTCCAAGAAGGACAATGACAATTAACCTTTTGTGTGTTAGCTTCACAGGATTGTTAAACTGGCTATAGCCATTGAGGTATGTATTTTTTTTTCAATAAATGAGTGTAATAAATAACCTTTACTAACTTTGGTACTGTTCATTCTCTTTCACTGTAAGTATTGTGACAATGAGAATAGAGTTTCACTATAGAAATTTAAAGGATAATGTTATTCTGACTGTAAAAAAAATAGCATCACGTGTCTCCGTAATTATCTAATTGACAGATTTTACATGTATTTTCTCCTATTTGCAAGTGAGATACTGAAGCATGGAAGGTCTGTTTGTTGTTACAACAGTCAACTCTAAATTCAGGATACTGTGGTATGTTTACTTGAATAGACATGTAAACACTTCAGTAGACCCAGGTAAAAGTTTCTAAGTACAACTTAGCTGAAAAATAGAACCCAGCAAAAAGTATTTTATTACACCTAGATCTGTAATTGATCTACATTCTTAATAGGAATAGAAATACTAGGTTAATTTTTTTCCAATCAGATTTTATTTTTGGGGGGTGGTCTCATTTCTAACTGAGAAGAGTGGCACATTTCAGATATGATCAAATTGATATTGGTCATTTTAGGAATAGCTACTTATAAACAGATCATAGTGTCATAAAATGAATATGCATCTGAGAGTTTTCACTGTAGAACTTTTGTTGATTACAATATGCTTAAGCTACAGAAATTGTAGCTAGTTTATAGGTTGAAATTATTCCACTACAGTGATTTATATTAATAAAGTACTACCTTAGGACTGTTTTAAAAAAATGGTGTCAGGTGTAGTAGGTGTAGTGAGAGTTCAGAGATTATACACGCAAAGGTCTTTCAAGTCACAGTGATTCCATGGGTATCTTTGAATGATATAATAAATGGGAAAGTCCAGTGGGAGGTAGGAAGTGTAAACAGTTCATAGCATATGTGTATTTTATTGTTTATATCTTAATAAAATGTTATTCCTACCTTTAAATATTGTGCAATGCAGAACAAATATGAAATCTCCAATTTCTTTGTTTAGTGTTAGATATTTTATTTTTTTTAATGAAACCATTTCACTCATATATTGTTCTTAGAACCAAGTTATTCTCTTTCTTGTACATTACTATTATGTTTAATAATGAAGCTTTTTGTGACTTCGGTCACAAAATTTAAATTTAATTGAGCACTAACTGCAGGCCACATTTTACATTTTTTACACATTGATCTGAGAATCTTACTGTTTAAAAATGTTGGAAATCACACACGTTATGATTTAAGATGTATTTTGTTAGTGTGGTCTGTATCCAACAAATAAGATGCTACAAAGTATACTAAGAATCAATAAGAATTAATGATCAGAATGATTTCTCTTGGCAAATAAATATCATCCAGATCATTGGATATCTGTATTAATGAGTTGCTATGGTTCTTTGAATGATACTTTTAAATCAGAAAAGTTTTCTGAGATGTTTAGAAAGTAAATGTAACATAAGGCATACATAGCACTTTTAAGTGTCTGAAGTCATTTATTCAATACTTTGAAGAAGTGCGAAACCCTGATAAGATATATCATTAGATATATGCTGCTGGGTCCTCTATCAATAATTTTTCATGCTGAGGAGATCTTGTGAACACTGAGATTTTGGTACTTTTCTTTGTTGAAGCAGCAAAAACTTATGCAACAGCATTTCTTTTTTCTTTTATAGCTGAGTTCAACAGGGCCGTATCAAAAACGTGCCTGGGCTTCTTGTAGTCCACTTGTGTGCTGCTGTTACATTCCCCGTTCCTAGTGTGACTCAGCTACATTGTCACCAAAGCTTAAAGGGTGTTTACACAATCTCACTTCAGCATAATGGGTAATGAACCTCAAATGAATCTTGCTGGCTTGTAGGATAAGGATTTCCACTTCAAGTTATTGTCTCTGAATGGGGTTGTAAAACGTGCCTATATTGCTCATCCAGGAAGTGTGAAGTTATAAAAAAACAAGCTAAATTGCCATGTTTTATCTGCTAGCTGCTTCTTCATTTATTGCCTTTATGGACTCAAAGTCCTCCAGGGACTGTGACAAATCCTGATTGCATTTTCTACTTACATCTTTTATTTGTTCATAAATGTGAAAAGAAGAAAAACTATTAGTCACTGGGGATTTGTCTAGCTGCGTGTATGGCTACTTAACTGCTTCAACTTCAATTGTCTTTTCATCATTCTGTCTACTTTGGGTCTGATGTCATGCACAACCTACATAGGTAAATTGACATTTCCTCATCTGGGAAATGTAAATATTTTAGTAACTTAGAGTAGTTGCATAACTGGCTGGATAGTTGCTGTACAAATTGAATGTTTTCTGTTCCATAATTTACTTCTTCCTCCATTTCTCCAATTGATTCCTTATTGTATCTTTTTTTCCACTTTTACTTCTATCTTGCCTTATGTGGTTTTGATTTTTCAGAAGTTAGGAAGAGCTTTAGCTATTGAAAGAATTGGTATTTGCTTCTTTGCAGTACTGGTATAAACAGTCCAAGGAAGGATATCAGGAGCAGTAGGTGTATGGAGCTTGTAAGGTTCATTCTCTGCCAGGTGAATATTGTTTTGTTTCTAATGCTGCAGTGTTTGTGAATCTTACCAAAGCATGTGTCTTTAGACTTCCAAATTACAGAAGTACTATGCAGCATAAAGTCACTTACCAAAGTCATTTGGATCATGTGAGTTTGAATCATTTCCTTTGAGGCATTCTCTAAATGTTCATTCCTCAGAGGAAGCTGCATGTTTGGAAATGAAAACTAGCCTGATCAAAACTTGCATTTGCCATTTTGTGATATTCTGGTTGTTAGAAATTACCAGTGCTGGTAGGAAAGAAACGGAATGCAATAACACTGCAAACTGCGCTATTGCAAATACATACGGCATTAACCACAGAATGCTAGGAAATAAGAGTTTGGAAATATGAATAATGAGCATGAGTTACATGGAGAAAAGTATCTTTTGTTGCAATCCATTTCTGTTTTGGAATTTGTGAGTCGTTGTGGTTTTATCTTGTTAGGAAATGCTATTGTGGTTGAGCTCAGTTCAGCCCTTTATATACAGTGTATCAGAAACAATGTCTTTTGTTCTTCTCAGCCTTTTTTCCTTCATGGCTTATGTCAACATGATGTATCTTTTTCAGAAATGTTCTCGTGTATAACTTGTTCTTTGCTATTGTATCAAGAACTGATAGAGAAGGGAACTGAGAGAACACAAGCTTCTGTAAAAATAACGCATGTTTCACATCACTGGTTGTTCCGCACGAATAAATTGAATTTCTTTTCAAAAGTCTGCCCACCAAGACGCAGCGGCAGCAGCCCCGCAGACCACGTCGCGTTGCCTCAGTTGAGGCTGGGCCGCTAGGAGGCAGCGTGCCGGGCCGGGCCGGGCCGGGCCGTGCCTTCCCTCCTGCGCGCCGACCGTTATTCTCCACGCCCCCGCCCGGCCGTTATGCCCCCCCCCCCCCCTTCCCCCTCCCCCTCGCGGGCCGCTGTGAGGAGGCGCCGCGCGGTTTTCCCCTCACAGCAGCGCCGATGGCGAGATCTGTGTTAAGGGAAAGAGCCGCGTCCCGGCTCTATGCGTGTTCCCCGTCTTCCAGATCAGGTCTGAGAGGGGTTAGTAAGAATATTTGTGCAAAGTCAGGCTAGTGAACACGACGTACTTCTCTTTTCGAGGGTTTCTTCTCTCTGCTGAGGATTCTCTTATGTAACTTGACGCTGCGGTCTCGAGAAGTTTTCTCTGTTTTCAGTTGACCTCATTTCAGTGAGCTAAATAAAATACGTACAATTGGTGGTTTAAGTGCTATTTCAGAATGTGCACAGGGCCAGTAGATAGTTACTGGCCCGACCTCTGTTACTTAGCCCACAGAAGTTTACTGTTTTCAGAGGAGAAAAAGTAGTTCTCTTTACATGTGGAAGACATTAAACAACTTGTGGTTTTGCTTCTTGTTTTGCATTTTTATGCCATCATTTATTATTTCAGAAAGTAAACATACAAGAGTTATAGATAAACAATAACAATGTGCTTGAATTTTCTTTTAATTTCTCAGTAGAAAGTAGAAATAAGGTCATAAATATGTCCCGAGAATGTGAAGCTTGCCAAAATATACTGTAGATACTTTTCAGAGAAAAACAGTACATATCAAGTAACTGTTGAGTCATAAAACCCATAAGTTAGTGTAAGCAGATGTTGGTTACAGCTTACATCGATGGGAAGTATATAATCACCACCCCTATAGCCACCCGCTGTCCATTTCTGGTTCAAGAACTTCCCCGAAAGCCTGTTTCTAATTTTATGGAAACCCTTTGAAATTTGGCACAGTTTACACAAGTATGTAGGAAAAAAAAAAAAAAAAAAAAAAAAGTCTGCCAGAGGTTTGGCCTCCAACTGTGAAAACAGACACTGCCTTCTCAAACTCCTCTCCTAGATCCACTGACCAACACCCAGAAAAGAGAATTTGCATTCTTTTAGAATACAGCAGGAAAATGAAGGTCTGTATGCAGCTCAATTTAGCTTTCCGTAACATTTATGTCTGTTGTTTTAAACTGTTGGTTATTGTACAAGGTCAGGCTCTGATGTAAAAGTATTTACTTTAAAGAAAAAGGAAAGGGAAGTCTTTTCAAATGTACTGCAGGGACATTTTTTGTTTGTTATTTGGATGGATTTCAGCAGTTAACGAGAATGGGAGGATTTAATTACATTATCAGCCATTAAAGTGTACTTCAGGCAATATTAGAAATGTAATTATTCTTTGTTTCTGTCCTGCAGACCCGGCTAAAAGTAATATTTGGCGTGGTTATATGCCTTTTGCTTTCCTTATTACTTATGTGTATTATACTGCTTCCATCAAAAGGTAAGGCATTTGTAATCTAATGTAGTAGAAAACACAACATCTACAGCTACAGTAGCTTCTAAAGTTCATAAAAGTTTGTTAAATCATCTTTAGGATTGTTGTGTCAGTACTGTTATGTCTTTACTGCTATAAAGAAACATACTGACAGCTGAAATATCCTGAAGGTATGATCAAATGCTAGCAGATGCTGAAACAATGAACTCTTTGAAGTGAAAAGTACCTGAGTTAACTTTATTGTGTATGTCATATAATGTTCTTAGACAGGACTACAAAAGTAGTTCTCAGATCTCCTCATATTATTTTATATGTTAGGGGTTATAAGACTCACTGTTATAAGACTCATCTGTTAGTAGTTTTCTTTAGCTTGATGAACATATACTTGGTTTTCAATGGTATCATAACAATTATAAAATTTCTCTACCCAATTACAAGTTAAATATTTCTCTGTTGGTAGGATATGGTGAATTGTTTGTGAACATATTTAAGATTGCATTTGAAAATTAAAGCCAATGTTGGATAAAATAGGAGTGCAGAGTTTGCTCTAGTATTATGCCAGTTGTGTGTAACTGCTGATGCAGTGTGATCTGCTGAGTGATCTGGTAAAGCTTCAAGTGAGTGTGGTTTTATATTCAGAGCCTGAGTGGCACTGACCTAATGGTCATTTATGCCAACGAGTAGTAGTAGAATTCCAGTTGTAGTATTTAAAGGGATTTTTTTTTTCCTGTGATTAATCTTAGTGTAATATTTGTGTTGAGAGAAAGAATGGAGGTTTGTGAAGCATTTAGGGTTAATTCTGTTATGCATCATGTGAGGATAAATTATATCAGCAGGAGGTAGTGCTGTGAAGAGAAACCACCTCTGAATTGTGGTGACATTTACTGTCCTATGATGGAGTGCCAGATTTTTTAGCTGAAGCATGGTCAAATCTGAGCTTTCATTATTAGATAAAGGTGTGGTATCAAGCCAAACTTACTCATACCAAATCTGCATGTTTAAAAAGGATATAATATCTTAATGAAATCTAAATAAAAAAGAGCAGCAAGGAGACAAAGAGGGGAGAATGAGGATCAGGCTGGTAGCCTGAAGAAGTTACTAAAGATCATGGAAGGTACTGTAAAAGGAAATGAATGTATTTTTTCCTTCTGAAGTTATCACATACCAGCTCACTGGTCTGAGCTTCCTCAGCTTTTACAAAGAATTCTTTTCATCTATAGTTTCTTGGAACGGCAACTTGGTAATTAATCATATCAAACATCACATTTAGATCCAGTAGGATGAAATAGAATTTACCTTACTTTACAGAATACTCTTAGAAAGAGCATTTCAGACAATTATGGAACACATAATTTTGTCGAACATGTCTGATTATAGCTTCGTATTCTCAAATGGAACTGCAAATGCTGTAGTTATCTATTTCATGCCTAAACCTTTTTGTATAATCTACTGATCAGCTGCAAAAGGAAGAAATATAAATTAATTTTGTGATTATAAATCTTGCAAGTCAAAGACAGACAGGAAGTAGCTACAGAGATGGAATGTTATTTGTACATTCCACCTTGACTACTGCTTTACTGAAAGGATGTGGTGATCTGGAAAGATTAATTGCATATGAGAATTATATAGACACAGGCTAAATCTCTGCTGAAGACGCCAGCAAAGAAAAATGTCATCTCTAATCCTGAAGGAAACGGAAGATATAATTTGGTTGTGTTTTTGTCTGCTAAGTTTCTAGTAATTTCATGTTCTTCAAACCTCTCAAGATATGATATCTGGTTTTGCTTTATACATGGAAGCATATCAAAATGTGAAAACCTTTTAAAAGTTGTACTGGAAAATAATTTTCTTCTTTTCAGAGAGAAATAGGGGAGAAATACTTAGCAGTTTATATTACGCAATTTCTGTGGGTCTGAGAAGAGTACCATGAGCAATGTCAATATCATGAACTGCAGATGACTGAGAAATTGATGACAGTTTTTTTTACATTTCACTGAGTTAGGAATGTGTTTTGCAACTTACCTTGATAACACAGCTATGATAACCTGACTCTAAACATTTCAGATTATTTTCACTTGTACACTGGTGTAACTAATTGTGTTCATCATCAGCATTAACAGGAAAGAAAATATCTGTTTGTACCTCAAAAGCAGTAACAGAACCACAGGCATCTTTTGTTCTGTTATTTTTAATGAATAGCCAGAATCCTGACTGATCAATATTTCTGTTCCCATTGCATGCTTGAAGTGACAAAGACCAAGATCTTGGCTCTGTGATATTGTAGTGAATACAACACCATTTGCAAGGTTGCTGTCCCAGAACACTACCAGTTTTTCTTTTGTCAAGTGATTACTTACTGATTAGAAGTTCTGTTTTCTGTGTTTCGTTAAACTCTCTCACAAGAAAAAAATGAACACTAAAGGAGACGGTGTCTGCATAAAGTCGGTGACAATAGATGCTTGCAGGCTTTTAACACCAATTTTATACATGTACATGGAATACACTGAAATGCATGAATAATTACAATCATGGAATATGAAAAGCAAGTTACACTGTGAAGCAAATTAATTTATTCAGTGCACAGAATTATTCTGCATTTTCTGATTTTTTGAAATGTACAAGAGAAATACAGAATGGCACCCTGTAAATGAACGCAAATGGACCACAAACCATTAAAATCAAGATGGTGGGGCAGTAAAGGGAAGAAAGCAAAGTTAAAATCTGGTAACCTTTCATTTCTGTGGTTGACTCTGATACGTGCTTCTTTTTTGTCTTTTGGCATATGGTTTCATCTTTGTTATTTCACAAAGAAATTAAATTCAGCAAAATAGCTTACAAAGCCTACCAACAAGCATCCAAATCACTGTCCATATAGTGATGCAGACATGTAAAGTACTTTTCTTGTTAGGGTCTATTCTGAGGTTTCAAACACTATTATTGAACTAGTCTTTAGTTACAGAAAAAAGAAGCAACAATTACAGCAAACAATTAAAGCTGCTGCTCTTAATTAAAGCATTGCTATATGTCTTCAGTTGCCTAGAAACAAGCATTCAAAACCAAAAGTAATCAAGTGAAAGTTGTGTTCAGGTTTTTTCAGTCCATGGGTAGAAATTCAGATAGAAGTGGACACATTTTGAAAATCATTAGCAGTCATAATAAATTATCACAGAATATTAAGTATGTAAGGGTGAGATGGTGAACAGAGTAAAGGTTTAAATTAAAGCTGTGAAAATTAGAGGACAGATGATACATTTGTCATACTGCTTTTCTTTTTAGTAAAAACTCCTCTTAACCTGAGAGAAGGAACAGAGAAATTTTACCACATGAAGGTAGCAACAGGAGTAAATCTAAGGCTCCTTTACACACAACTGTGGAAACAGATCTTAACCGTGGATTTCTAATAGTTAATAGACATTCAGTTAGAGAATTTAAACTGGAAGTTGGTGATAAGTAATCATTGTTCAATATAAATATAGTGGCTTTGGATTCTTCTTTGGAATTATTTCTTTCTATGTATTTTTTTTAAGTTTGCCATATTCTGTGCTTGTCATTAATCAAGGATCCGTAATGTACAATCATGGGATTAACAAGAGACATTCTTTATGTTGAACTTTTTGGAATATTTTCTCTACATATAGCAATAGCTCAGAGTTTATACTGATAGGTTTTTGCCCATGGATTGACATTCCATTTTATTTCTCACGACAGCTTTCTTCTGCATTAGTGCAGACAAGCCTAGTGTCAGTGGTCAACCTGACATGTGTATTCTACAGTAAATAATAGTCATGTAGCTGGAGAAAACATGAATTATCATTTTAAAGTAATGGAGAGAATATGAAGAAATGTTTCCCAGGAAGTGAGTGTGATCTTAGCTGAGAGAGGCTGTAATGGGGAAGTGATGGAGCATGATATGAAACCTGAGGGCAATGAGTCATATTGAGTTTCTGGCTGTCTTCTGAGTGGCAGAGATCTACTAGACCATGTGTGAGGTCATCCCCTCTACCTCTGGTGACCATAGCACAATTCACCTTGACTTTAAAAGAGAAAAGTATCAAATCCAGAATGCCTAGACTTGAAAGATGTCAAATTTTTAAAATTGGCCTTTCTCAGAAATGTACCTGTGTCTTTTGAAGATTAAATATTTTGAGTAATCTTTCTCTTGTGAAGTCTATGGAATTTCTATTATCATTATTATTTGCTTTTAATTACACTTCTACAATGATTTTTTTTTCATGTCTGTGTACTTAGAAAGCCAGCATTTCAGCATTACCTCTTCTCATCTGGGCTGATTGTCCTTACTTTTTGTTCTGGACCCCTTCCCTAATTTAAGGTGCTTTAGTTTTTGGAATAAATGTGGTAAAAGAAAAGTGACAAAACCAGCCACATGGTTGTATATTTTTTAATGTCTATCTGATCTGGTTAGAGATCAAATACCAGAGCACCTGTCTTCTTTCCAGATTTATTAACAATTTTCTTTTAAAGCACTAAATAAAAAGTGAAAGTTTGGGCACAGTCACTCATTACATTTCAACATTATTTTAACCTGTGCACATTTGTCTTTTTCTTTCATGTGACTCCTAAGAAATACATGTGGATGATGATCATTTTGGAAGTCTTATGTCCATCTTCTAACACTGGTTCATGAAGCTTTTATGATATTTGGCAGTAGGGATTTGTATGTACATACAGTTTGACTCTTTGCTGAATATTTGTAGATCTCTATTCAGACAAATAGTTGTTTCTGTTCACAGGTACACACAAGTTCACAAAACCTATGCTTAAAAAAAAAATAAATTTGTCCTATGTACATAAGTAGCTTTTCTTGTTTTCCCAGGATCTAAAAGTAAATATATCTCAATGAATAAATTTCTGGGTGAAAATAATTCATCCATCCAGTTGCTAATTTTGTGTCCCTAAAGGTGACTCCTTCAGAGGCTGAAGAACCTTATCAGAACAAAACCAGAGAATTTTCCTTTCTGCTGTGCCTGCTGCCTGCATGGTTCCAGGATTACGCTATCCTCAATATTCTCTGGTGCTTAAATTATAGAAAAGAGGAAATGCTTGTCAAGTAATCTTTTTTTTTTTATTTTTTTTTATTTCACTTCACAGCATTGTGTTAACAAAAACTTTTTATCTCCTTTTCAGTTGTCAACACAGATGATGATCCTAGAGCTCTTACATTGGATGATTATTTAAATGGAAACTTTCAATATAAGACATTTTTTCCTTATTGGGTGTCAGGTAAGTAAAACCTTTTCTCAAAGATACATAAGCCTTTCTAATATGTATTTCCTGGCTGATTTATACAGACGAATAAATGTATTTTTCTTCCAGACTGTGAATGAATGCTAAATATAAAATTAAACAATTTGCTAGTCAAAACTTAAAGTCAAGCTTACTCTTCTGTCAGTCATTCTAGAAATTCCCACTATTTGATGTTTCAACACAAACGTTTGAGTTAAGCCTAAACTATCATTTTACAGAGGCTTTTGGTGATTTATTTCTTTTACTGTCATACTTACTGCAGCATGTGAAGTAAATATGTCAATGTGTCAGTCATGTTCAAGGCATTTCTCTTTTTTTTGTGTTCGTCACAGCATTTTTTCTCTTACCATTGGTAATAATTGAGGTAGCCTGTCTTACAGGCCCTGTTCTTGTTTTCAGTAGTACCTAACTCTGCAGTGAGCCCAGCTGTTCTTGTCTCTTATTTATGGAAATGCAGACATTGCTGAAATTTCCAAGTTACAAGGCAATGCATAGAAATTAAAGATGGCTTTCTAAGCAAGTTCCTTAAGGTAGAGGTAGACATGAAGTTAATTGCTGCTGACATATGTGTCAGCGCATAGCTGAAATACGACTCTTGTTATCACTGAATTGCAGCAGCACCAGAAAGTTTGAGCTAGAATGGGTTACATTCTAGTACATGCAGCACTCCTGCTCATATCTCTGCACTGCCTCAAGCAGTTATTCTCTGAGTAGAGACAAGAAACAAAATGCCCATTCACATAGAATCTTATCACGTTAGTTTAAACCCACAATTTTAGAACTGAACTAAAGCTCTTCAGGACATTGCTAGCAGCAGTTCAAGTTTCACAGTTAGCAATTTGAAGTATGTAACCATCACTTACATGATTTAAAAATTAGGTCACCATTTGTTAGAATTCTGTCTGAATTCAGAAGTATGTAGGCAGCATATCACCTAAACCTGATATTCTCCTTCCCTCTTTATATCCTCGTCACTTAAACTTATCTTTCCTCTCAACATTCACAAAACTCACACAAAAGTCATGCCATAGATTCCATAGATAGTCATGCCTACAGCGTTCCATATGCCTACTTTCCTACTGAAGCAGGGAGTTGAAATTGAATAGCTCTTCCTAAGGGGGCCTGAGATCACCTCAAATGCTTTTACTCAAATCACATAAGCGTTCTCTAAATATCTGAGGGTGATCTAATTTTCCTCCAAATTAAAACCTTATACAATGTTTCAGGCTGCTTTTAAATTGTTAAAGACTATCTCTCTTTAGCTACACCAAATACGTAATTTCTTATCTCTGTTTAAAGTAATGAAAACAACGATGTGAAACTAAAATTCTGATCTTCACACTCTGCCAAACTATGGCTCATGTCTTGAGCATAGGTAAGGTTAAATTCAATTCTCATTGGAGGCCACTCACCTTCACCATGTAGAATCTGTGTGAGTAGGGGCAGAGTCATTTATGTAGTGTCAGTTACATGGTACAGCTCTGTACAAATGAGAATGTGCTGGTGAAATTATAAGCAAGGACCTTAAATGTTTTCTTTATAGTTTTTACATGGTGATACTAGTCTTCTAATGTGTCTGTCCCTGATATTCTTGATTAGATATTACTAAGAATAAAATGTCATTGTATAATGAAGTTAACTAGATGATTCTGTGTGCAGTGTAAGATCTTGAGCACATAATCTGAAACCCTGGAGACAGTTGTATAATTCTGTACCTTGGCATCAATAGAAGAAAAACATTTTTAATGTAGATGCCAAAAGATACTTGCTCAAAATCTATTAATGACAAAATCTATTAATGACAAAAACAGTGAATACTTTCATAAACTGAAATGTTCTACAGTATCTTCTATGCAAGTTATCTTGTTTATCTTGTTTTTAAAGATAATGAATATCTTCATCAGTCTGCAGAAGATGATATTATTCTTTACAACGTTGAACTGAACTACCTAACTACTATCATGACTAATAGCACAATGGTATGTACCTTTTCAATGAATAAAATGACAGCACAATGCAGTTTTTTCAAGTATCTCTTTAGAAGTGAGTAGATTAAAAACTGACTCATCAATTCCTTATTTAAAGTGTTTACTAGAATCTAATCTACTTCTTAATCTTTCAGAAACAAGTTAATGCTTCAAATTATGTGTTGTCATCAGACAAATACTTCATGGCTCTGGAGAGCAATTATTCAAAGGTAATTATTTTAATATATTGCTTAATGAAACGTTTGGTTTCATTCGCTATTTTGTTGATTGTGGTTACTAAGTATAAATATTTGTTTTTGTGTTTGTTTGTTTGTTTTTCTTGAATAAAGTGGAAGGCTGTGAACAGACAGCTGATGATTTTTAATTAGATTATCCTTTTCCAGTTTAATAATACTAACTTTTTTCTTGCAGCTGTGGAGATATTCTTATACAGCATCATACCACATTTATGATCTCATTTATGGGTAAGGCCTGATATTTCTTACAGAGAGCTATGGCAAATACTCTGTAGTGATGTGTTTGGAAGCATTTTACTGAAAAACTCTATTCTATCAATGTGCCTACTCACTGATTAGCTTTTACTTGAATTTGTTACTTGTTTGCTTAATGATTGTTACCTATTACTTCTGCAAAATCAAGAAATTCTTTGAAATAAATGGCCTCTGAGAAAATCTTACAGTCCTTTCATCTATTCATCCAGGTATCTGCATTGGTTTATATTCTATGCCCTAAAACTTTGACTGCTCAAGATTCTCATCTTTTTTTTCTTCTTTGCATAAATTTCTCCCACCCTGTCTTGGCTGCTTTAGTCCACTTCAGTCTCACACCAGATGTCTCCTTGCCCTTCTGTTTTCTAATTCATCCTTATTCTGGTTAATTTAATGCTCAGCTTTCCTAAAATCTCACATTTTCTTCAGTGATCTTGTAACAGTCCGTCTTGGGTTCCCCCAAAACTTACAGCTCCTCCCATGGCATTTGGTCTTTTTCCCAAGATCTTCCGCAAACCACTCCTCTTCTGCTTTCTACCGAAGTCTGAAGGAGGCCATCTGCCTCCCCAGTCACCTTTTTATGCCAGAAGTTGTAGCATGACCAAATGCTTCTTAGCTTTGAGCAACAGGGACTGCACTGAGCTGCTACATTCTTGGGAAACTTTTTGCTCAAGGTGACAGGATTACTACTAGCTACTGTAAGTACAGAGGTACTGCATGTGGCTCTGTGATCCTTAACAAATGTTCTAACTGCTGCTGTTACTCTTGCTTCAGCATGTTATATCCTGGGAACTATCATGTGACCACTGAGTTCACATTTTCCAATGACTTGCTGATACTATAATGAAGATTGCAAGTAGAGGAAATGCCTGTAGATGTCTACGTGGTATTTAGGAGGAGATAAGGCTGCCTTCTTTGGCTGTTGCATATATTTTCAAAGGGTCGAGTTGTTACCCTTTGCCAGCACTAGTGCACACAATCACATTGCTGCATGTCTGACTGCCTGCTTTAATTTTGCATTGCTCATTAAACAAAAAACTGTTAGAAAATATAGCTCTTCATGAATTTTACATGAATGTACAGTATAATGATCCATTTGCACTGTGAGCAAAAAGCCATTTCAACTTTTTTCCTTTTTTTAGTGGTTTTGTAACAGAAAACCAGCTTCCACATAAAATTCAGTATATATCCTGGTCACCCGTTGGACACAAATTGGTCAGTAAAGATAACAAAGCTCTAGAATCATTTTGCTTTATGGGACTAGAAGACTTTCATTTGCCTTTGGTTATTGCTTTGTTAAGCCATATTTTTGAGAAGCCCATGTGTACCAACCTTGGTTGAACAAGAACGATAAAGATGGTTTTAACTTGCTAAATATTAACATGTCTGTGTTTCAATAAAAGAATACATGTTTCTCAACTACAATGTTGGCTAGTTTTAGTTGACTAGTTAGTCTCTTATCAAGCATTGACCAACATAATATAGGATTAAATTCAGTTTCAAAGCCTGAAAAATGATGTGCTTTCCTTTGACACCATACAATATTATTAGTTTAATTTGGAGATTTAAAGATCCCATATTTAAATCTCTTCTCAAATTTTTATTGTAGGAAACATCTATCAGATTCTAAGTATTACAAAAATGTTCCCATATTTTTTGAATAACTACTTGATAGTATTTTAAAATAATTTTAAATTGCCTAAAGAATATAGCTACAAGTTTGTGTATGTTAGTTATTCTTGGTTCCAAAGTATCAGCCCAAGTTGGTGGTTTCAGAACTAGTTGCCCAGTATTGACTAAATATTTGTGCTTGAAATTACATTTAAACATCATATTAATTTCAGAAAACTCACAAGAAAATACACAAAATATGAATGGAAAATGTATTAGGAAAATATATTTTTTTATTTTTTTGGGGGGGGGGGAGGGGTAAGGAAGGAGTATTATGTCTCTCTATTAAATGAAATACTGCTATTTCCTTTGTCGAGAATTCTGAAAACAAAACACAGTGATAATATTTTACTGATAAAGTACTTATAGTCTGTAATGATTTTATGCAATTCCCCTTATATTGTTTCTCAAGAGTTTTAGGAGTTTTATTATTCATTCAAATAATCAAATAGTTAAAGTGTTACACTTTTGTTGCTAACTAGTGTTTATAGCTTCAAGACAAATAATTTTCTAAGAAAATCATGTTTCTGATTCAGTTTCTTAACCACAAATCCCTTCATTTGGTTTAAATGTAGAGATATGCAAGGGCTGCAAGCACTTCTTGCAAGAACTCTTAGTGACTAAAAAAAAAAAAAAAAAAAAAAAAAAGCCCGAACCAGCCCAAACAGATTAATCTTTTTCTCATCTTACATCACACAGGCCTTTTGACAGATTTAGAAAAGTTTGATTGTTTTCTTCTGAGTCTTTTTGAATTTGTTTTTTTCTTCTGATTTGGTGGCACCAGAAGGAAAAGTCACAAGGATACTTTGTCTACCTGAGGGTAGACACAGCAACCTGAATGAGTTTCAGAGATTTTATTTTCATGCTTTTCCATACCAAAGCTAGCCACAGAATTCTCTGAAGTTTATTAAGATCAAGGGATTTGTTCAGGATTTATTCTGGCATATTTGAACATAGAATTTTTTCTGTAATGTAAACTTTATTTACAGAAGTACTTACTCTTGTGCAATTTGCAAAGGCTTTTAATGTAGAGTTACTAACATAAATATTTATTATTTTGTATTCACTGATTATGTCTTCTTGTTGGTATAATTAGTAGTGTTGACTGCAAAATCTTTGACCCAGACAACAACTCCTGTTGTTGGTGCATGAACTCATAAGAAATATATTCTTGTCTTTAGGCATATGTTTATCAGAATAATATATATTTGAAACAAAGTCCAAGAGAGGCACCAATTAAATTAACTGGTGATGGAAAAGAGAATGAAATATTTAATGGGATTCCAGATTGGGTCTATGAAGGTAAGTACATCTCAAAGGGCAACAACTAACATGTTGAGTGTTTTGTCTGAATTGTTCAATTTTCTAGATCCATTCTACACCATCTGTGATGATGCACTGTTTCTAGAGCCCGAAGGATTACTTACTTTCCTCTGTTTTCTGCCATGTTAGGATTGCTAGGAACTGGCAATGACTTCTTATTTTGGGGAAAGGGAAGATGAGAAGGGAATCACATATATTGAAACTGTTTTAAGTAGGTGTATACAAATCACTACCTCCTTTTACAAAGCAGCCAAGGAGCATTCAGAAACTGAAGTTTACAAATGCAAATTAGAAGATTTTTTTTCTTTCACATATAACATATTTCATACATTTCACATATTTATTTCATATAATTAGTCCCTATCTATGACATGTTTTCTTGTTTTTATCCATGTCCTCACTGCACGTATAAGCACTGCTCATGCGCTCCTAAGAAAGGTCTTCCAAAGGTTGGAGGCAGCATGAGATAAAATGTTGAATAATGATACTGAAAGTATATGTAGTAAGCGATGGAAATTGGCATAATGAATTGATTACGGAGTTAACCTGCCTGTAAACAGTGAGAGAGGAGAACTGGGGTACAAGCAAGCTGTGAAGAGGTTTGTAGAACAGAAGGAACATGATTTGCTTAATGCTATTAAAAAAAAAGGAGAATTAGTGAGGCTGAGTCAGTCATTGTTTAGAGCCATAGAGGAGTGTGAGGCACTGGCAGAGAGACAGGATTAGATCTTGGCTTGGAAGGGAGAAGAATCTAGGGAGTTACAGAGAAAGAGAGAGATGTGGAAATTTATACACAATGGAACTTTGTAGATGAATGTGTTTGCAGATGAGATTATCCCAGTGTACGGAGAGCTATTCCCAAAACAAAAGCTGAAGAAGGAGTGAGATGGATTTTCCAAAGGATTCAATTTATTATAATAGTAAATAAATACCTGTGGGATTTACCAAAATGAGAGCACTTGGAAGTGTGTGCCATGGCTTTATTTTAAAGTAAACTATTATCATCTTTAAGAGTACACGTAGCTATACAAACTAGAAATACATTTTCTGCCAGTGACTGCATTTTGCATTCATACTGTATGACCAAAATCCTGGTCTTTATTTACTGAAACTATATCAGAACTTTACAAATTAGGAATTCTGCTGCATACGTGGTGACTGGGCATTAAGCTTTAATTGAAGATTTAATGTTGGCTCATTATTTGGCATGTCAGTACATCCAAAAAAAGAAAAAAAAAATGTAAAACCCAACTGAGTCAAATGGGATTTGTGTGCACTTATTGGGAGTTCTCTACGCCTTTCTTTGAAATGCATTGCAAAATCTTGATGCAGGATTGGATCTTGTTATTTGTTTAGTAGAAGTCTTTCTATATGTCTAGGTTGAAAAGAGTAAAATGATGTAATAGATCAGAAGATACATTACACTGATAAGCAATTGAGTGATTTTTTTTCCCTCAGAGGAAATGCTAGCAACAAAATATGCAATGTGGTGGTCTCCGAGTGGAAGGTATTTAGCATACGTACAATTTAATGATTCCGACATACCAGTTATTGAATATTCATATTTTGGTGAGGACCAGTATCCCAGAAAAATAATTATCCCATACCCAAAGGTATGTTTCTTATTCTTTTGACATATTTCCTGAGATGTGATAACTGTAACATTAACTATGCTTTAAAAGTATTTGTATCTAAATGGTTAAATCCATTGTGGCCTAAATTAATGAAAAAAAAAAAAAAAAAAGTTGGGATAAGCTCTGAAAAGGTATGGCCATGCTCAATAATGTAGTAAAATAAACAGAATTCTTCATGTAAGTAAAAAACATGTGCAAAAGTACATTTGTATGGCCAAGCCGTACTTTTTCTAATTCAGTTTACTTTTTGTGATGTGTTAACTACATAGTTTGTTATTTTACATTGCAGTACCTCAATTATGAGATGTTGCTTATTTTGCAAAATAAAGGCTATGACAGCTTCAGTCTATTTACATACTTCATCGTACATTTTGATCTCAAGGGGTCTGAAGATATTAAAAACTACCTGTTTTCAGGTGCCACACCTACAGCAAGAAGATTTGGGTTTTGTACTGTACTGCAGAGATACACACTGCAAATACAGCACAGGTTCCCATAAGCAGTATGTTTTCAGTATAGAAATGCACTGAATTTGGCTGTTCAAAAGGGTTTTTTCTTTATTTATAAAATGATGCAAAGTTAAATAAAGTCCTACGTGTAGAGTCTAGTCTGAGATCTTAAAAAGTCATATTTGTACTGTTGTACTCAAATGAATAAATATTTTGTAACTTATCCCGACAAAAAGTGTTGTAATTTTCCTAGATCTGATTTTTTCAGAGCCTGATTTGAATAATGTCATGCATTTTCTTTCAAGGCTGGTGCTAAAAATCCTACTGTTAAAGTGTTTATTGTAGACACTACTAACACTGAAGCATTTGGTCCTAAAGAGGTCCCAGTTCCTGCAGCAATAGCATCAAGGTAGTGTGCCCTCAAATAAGTCTTCAATTTTTTTTTTAAATTAGGTTTTGTTTTTTAATTTTTATTTTAAATGCTTAAAATTCTGAATTATTTTCTAACAATGTAGTACCCTCTGAATTGTTTTCCAACAATGTAGTACCCTATCAGTCTCTTAATTGGAGATTGGTCAGAAGCTAACTAGAAATGTTGTATTTTGTATACCCGTATATGTATTGTTACAACGGACAAAACACATCTCTAAGAGAATAGAAGTTTTGTTTTTGTGTTCCACAGATCAAAATGGGGGTTACAGTCTGTAGCAATGCTTCTATATTTTTGTTCTTTAATGACCACTCTTTTTCTCTTTCTTTTATTTTTTAGTGATCATTATTTTACTTGGCTTACTTGGGTAACAGATAGTCGAGTCTGTGTGCAATGGCTAAAGAGAATCCAGAATTTTTCAGTCTTAGCTATTTGTGACTTCAAAGAACATTCAAATACTTGGGACTGTCCAGAGGTAATAAAGTTGGAAATATACATTGCTAGAATTAACATTTGCTAATCTCCATTGTATTATCCTGTTTTAACACCTACTCATCATACACAGGTTGCTCTGGCTTACTCACAGAAGTATGTAATATTTCCCTCATTTTTTTAAGAAAATAATTATGTTGCTGCCATAGTTGTTTTTTCCAGTGTTTGATCACACTCTTTTAGATAATAGTGATACGTTTTTCAATGTTTTAAATGCTGGCTGAGAAGTGAGAAAAAAATTAACTGCATCAGCAAAAAATATCACCAAAATATATTTTTTGTGAGGTTAAGTGACAATCAAAGCAAGAAAAACAACAAGAATGGTATTGACCAGGTTTCAAAACTGTTTAGTTCCTTCTTGCTTCTTCATTTTCAAAAGTGGAACCATTTAGGATACTCATTGTTTTTTGTTTGATTGTTTGTTTTTTTGTTTTTTATTGTATTATAGCATGTAGAAATTTCATGCTAAGTCTAACTGAATTGTGTCCTTTATGATTAATGCTAAATTAGTTGAAATAGCATGTAGATTAAAAGTAAGGCAAGTTTGTAAGAAGGAAACATTGTCCTGTTTTATTAAGTCATACAGCTGGAGAAAGCAGACAAGTTTTCAGGAATACCTTTTTTCAGATCTAAGAAGAAAACTTCCTACTAAATGCAACAGTAACTCCACATTTTATTTAAACACCTCATACTATTAATAAGACAATTTGGAGGGAAAACCTTGCTCTGTTGAGGAGAGGCATGAGTTCATATGGCCTAGCTATCTATCCCCATACATAGATAGTTATAGGTGTAACACACAGAGGCTTTTCTGGGAAAAAAAAAAAAAAAGTTCTTAGAAAGACCTTCTAAAGCTTGAAGACTGTACATGCTGACCAATATATATCCCATGGATCCTGAAGGAAGGAAGGTGTAACACTGAATTTCAGTAACTAGTACAGAGATCTCCTTTATTGTCTCTTAGCATTGATGCCGTTTGCATATCTAGTTTTTAGAGGTTATGTTACAGAGCACCTATAAGAATTAGTGTTAGGCCAAAACCTTGAACTAATGGGAAATAAAAAGCAATACTTATAACAGTCTTTTGTATAAATGATAGGTTGTAAATTCAGAGTTCATTAACACAGTCTTTCCAAGCTGAAAATACTTATTCCTCTGTGATATGGTAATTGTTACAAATTTTAAAGGAAGGTAAAGTCCTGTTCTTTCAAAAATGTTACTACTGAATTAATTTTCCACAGAGAAATAGCCTCAGTTTATAAGGATAAAATATATATTTACTGCAGCATTTTATGTGTTCCCTAAGTCATTCCTTGTATTTACAAGTACATTGACACTGAATCTCACCTCATGAGAATAACTCACCGCATGTAAATAACTCAATGTTCTAATGTACATTAAAAAAGACAAGGGATCTGGGATTCTACCACAATCCACCAAAGTACTTTAACGCAAACATAACTTTAAGCAAGTAAGCAGTTTTATTTATTCAGAAGGTCTATCTATGTGTTTAAAATTAAGCATGTGCTTAATTGCTTTGCTGGAACCAGACCAGAACAATTAACATCTTGCAGGACTGTGTTCATGATCCTTGTTTGATTGCATTTCTCCATGAAACCTTATTTATGGAGTCACTACTGACGTTTCTATAATTCTATATTTATACAGTGATACAATGCTTTTATCACATTAAAGTTTGCACAAATGGCCAATTGAAGGAGTGTGAACAGATGGGAGTGCTGCATTAGCTCTATTTGCCGTTAGAAAGTATATCTCTGTGCGTTTCCTTCAGCAAAAATAGTTCTCTCGTTGATTTCAGTTAAATTGAGACTGTAATGTACAATAAATGTGCTAGGATTTATGTACTTGAAAATAATAACAAAATATAATCTACAAGATGTTCCTGAAGTGTTGATTCATCAAAAATATTCATTTCAAGTCAAGTGTTCAAGTCTTGCTTACATGAATAAACCACAGGAGCCAGTGTGACTTCATTGGAACTATTCCTATAACTATAAACTAGGCATGTAACTGGAATTTACTATAAATATGCAAAATCTCTAAATTCTACAAATGCTTTAATAACAGAAAAATCCCATAGAGGTCATGGGACTACTCATGTGAGAGAAGTTAAATATATTCTTAATGTACTATGTCATCGGGATCTGAGCCTTAATTTAAAGGAGGGTAAATAAATCTGTGATGCAGATATAAAACAATATTTCCCATTTTTCTTACATTGATAAGAAATAAAATCCAACTGCTAAGTTAATAGCTCAGTGGAGCACTTGTGAAGTACTGAATGGTATTCTAAGGGGCAATATCTGCATCTTGCACTCAAATCACTTTGCATGGACTGAGTTGAAAGGAAAAAGTGAGATTCTGAATGTTAATTAACTACATTGAGAATAACGAATACAAAACATATTATTTAGAAAGCAGATTTTCCAAACTTATTTTAAACTGTGAAGAAATATTTTATTAAATAAAAAAATATAAAGAGAAGCTTGCAAGATAACAAAAGAAATATATTTATAGAAGGGAAAACTGATAAATATTAAATCACTTCCCCCATTCAACATGGTCTCTTCAGTGAAAAAGCCATAGGAAAATATTGAAAATGCATTAGAAAATCTGTAAGTAAAAAAATAAATAAAAATATAAAAGCATCTCTAGGGAGGAGACACTGATCCATTTATGCTCAGTATAACTCTAAAAATCAGTTCTAAGAATGTTTCAAGGAGTTAGTACCTACTTAATTTATATTCATAGTCTCAGGATATGATAATCTGCTTGATTTTTGGTACCTATGTTATTTTTGTCAATCCTTAATTCTTCTAAATACCTTTTTGTAAGATTTTTTACAATGTTGAAAATTGGGCCTTTAAATGCCCCTTAAGAAACACAACAAAACGGACAAGCCCAAATGTATTTGTACTATACTTAGTTCAATTTATTTTTCATCATGTGGGTATTAAGTACGTTGAAATATAAATATCTATTTTGCCTGACTTAGTAAGACTGTTGATGTGACTGTAAGTCTCTGCTGTTTCAATACAGTATAGAACTTCAGACAGATAAAACCAGAATGCTGTTGGGAGGTTGCACCAAATTCTGATGCCTATTATCTTGGTGCAAATCCAGAATTACTTATTAGATAAAAAAAGTATCTTGGATCAATATAGGTATTAAAATAAAAGAAATCATAATTTGGTCCAAAAGAGTGACCTGTTTTCAGAGGGTGAGAAGCAAAATGTTTTCTCATTGTTCACCAGAATTCTCAACTGGCCAAAGGAAATGGTAATCAACAAGCTTTTTAGCATTGTAGTTGTCTAGGTGTGAATTTTAAAGGTTATATACCAATGTATTTAGCTTGTACTTGTAAGGTTTTTAAGGTTTACATTTAAAAGTAGACTTTAAAACCTAATAGTCATATTATCCACTGTTATAAATCAACATCACTACTTTGAAATGAATATGTCAAACCAACTGAAAATCTTACCCAGATTATGATTATTATTATGGCTGAAGTTATTTTGGTTGTTTTCCATCAAAAAATCATGAGATCAAGTATTATTTCTTGCTTCAGTGAAACTGTTTCATAAGGTTAAAACAATCACTTTATATCCTATTTAGCTCTGATGATAGAGCTAAATATATTTTTTAAAATACTAATATTTTAACTAACATAATGATATTAATGCAGGAATATTGTTTACTTCAGACAGTCTTCAAGTGCCTGAATCATCGTAGCAAGTATTCTAGAGTTCTCTTTTACAGGAGGTTGCAGACTTTTTGTTTGAAGATTTTTAATTCTACATTAACCCAATCTTCTTAAAGACTGTATATTTGATTTTGTTTTTCAGAGTCAACAGCACATAGAAGAGAGTCAAACAGGATGGGCAGGCGGAGTAGGTTTTGTTTTTGTTCTCTTCTGATTTAATGAAAACTTACAGCTTTCTGCATCTTCACAGTGGTGTTTTGAAGCATCAAACACTATTCAAAGTCACACAATGCTACTGCCTCAAACCTGTTGCACTGTACGGCTGAGACTTTTTATGCTGTTAGGCATAGTAGCTGGCTACCAACTTTCTGAGTATAAAAACCTTTGTTTTCTACCTTTCTTTGCAACTGATCAGATGCTATACTGAAGGGAGGGAAGCCAAGAACAGAGAGTGATTCATAATGCAAAGTAATTCTTAGAAATATCTGGGTGGGGACAAAGCAATAATGTAAAAAACCTCTGATTTGCTAGGGCAAGAGATAAGATTAGTCATACCATAGCATTTTAAGAATAGAAACTGTTCATTCAGAACACAGCTTTAGTGCCATGTGCTGTTCATCTTAAGCTAGAGAAGAACTTTCAAGGTAAAACACCCCTCTTACAAGTGTAGTTGATGCTTCTTTGCAGTTAGCCTTAAGCAAAAGAAATTTTCTCTACCCAATATCTTTTATCCTAGAAGAGCCATGACACCTTTCTTTGGGAGCTTGCAATAAAAACCAAGCTGCAAGGAAATTGTAAGAGCATGAGATCAGTATTCACATTCATATATTCTTGCAATTAATATGTGTGCATATGCTTATGTTACTCCTCAGGCAGGTGAAGTTACTAGAATTAAGTATGGGGAACCTCATGCTGTGTTTGATTATACTGCAGTAGACTTAAATGAGACCTTCAATTTTCAGTACACTATCCTTTAAGAGGTGTGTTTTTATTTGAAGTAAAGATTACGCATTCGGTAGGATTAGTGCCTTGGTCCCTTTCTGTTTTTCATCTCTGCTCTTGAGGTTGTGATGAAGGGTTTTTATTAGAACTAATAAAATTGCACATATGCATAAATTCCTGTTCAGCCTGTATGGGATTTCAAAGATTAGAAATATTAGAAGGAGGGTCCAGAACAATTTAGCTTGTGGTCACAAGTTCTAGTTGATCTTGGGTTAATATTATTCAAAAGTCACATCTAATTGGGAATGTTTGGTGTTTGAAGTGCTTGCAGGTCATTATTCTGTGTTCATATTTTGAAAATAAAACTTACAGTTGCAGTAGCTGGATGACAATCTTAATAAAGAGGTGATGGTTTGAAAGAAAGCTAAAGTTGAATGGTCTTACCTGGGATAATCGGTTCTTACCCATTAGTATGGTAAAGATTAGATATCCATTTTGCTTAGTGCTATTTCTGTTGAGTGAATCAGCCAAACTCAGTGGTCCACAGGACTTTCAGATTGGCACTGTTCATGAACATTAGCTTCATTCAGAAACATTATTTTTAAAATAACCTCTACATATTTTTAAATAAGTACATATCATACAGATTATGCAAAATATTCCAGTTATAAATAAAGAGCTTGTATTTGTGTGGTATTTCAGGTATCTATATTATCAATTTAAGAAATCTGACATGATATAGTGTAAATTGAATGTAACCATTGAAAGAGAGTCTTGTTAGTTTAATATGTAGACTATAACCTGCTAAACAGTTTGGACTTTCTTTCTTTTGTCTCACCTACCGTGTTTCTTTGTTCCAGTTCTTTGTATCTACACCATATTTTACATCAGACAGCAGTTCATACTACAAAATTTTTAGTGACAAAAATGGTTATAAGCATATTCATTACATCAATGGCTCTGTGGTAAGTCAAGCAAAGTGGTCTACTTTACTGTGAATTTTTGAAATAATTCTGCTATATTCAGTAATTTATATATCTTGTTTTGCAGGAGAATGCAATCCAAATTACTAGTGGAGAATGGGAAGCAATATACATTTTCAGAGTAACAAATGATGCAATGTAAGTATCACACAGAAGAGTGTAGGTTGTGAGTATTGTCAGTACATGTAAGAATAATACTTAATCATTTGACACACAGCAGCCATTTGTCAACTCATTAAGTTATAACTAGCTAGTTACAATGTATCTCGTAACTGAATGCATCCACAACAAATTTGTATGCTCAATTTTGCAAACTTCTTTTACTTGTGGGAGATTCTTTTTAATTGCCCTCATTTTTTTTTTGGTTATTGTCATCGGTCTTAGACGGTCATCATCAGTCTTAGATGGTCTTTTCTAGGGATATGTAAATTTAAGTATGTGGTTATCCCACATACAACTAGAAATTATTTTTATTTTGTTGAATATGAGCTGTGGTTTCTCATTCAGGTCACTATATATATAGATATATAATTGGAAGAGAGATTGAGTGATTAGCTCTTGCGAATTAAGATGGAACTCTTATTTATATGGTGTATTTGTCATCTAATGAGAGTCTGAGCAAAGATTTATTAAGATGAAAGGCATGTAAGCTTAACTCATTCTCTCATCTTATGCAGAAATCTCAAAAAGCATAAGTTAACTTCCAAGATATCTTTTTGTCTTGATACTGGTTCATAGTTCATCGGTTTATGGATTATTTACAAATTGTATACGAATTAATTTACAGTTTCTACTCAAGTAATGAATTTGAAGGCTATCCAGGAAGAAGAAATATTTACAAGTAAGTGCTATCAACGTTATCTTAATGATAATAGGTTAATAGGCAATGGGTGTGGATTTGTCAACAAAATAATTAATTTCCAAATAATTTAATTTCCAAATAATTTATTTAATTCCATTAAGTGTAATTTCATGAGCTATTCTAACTAAAACTTTACTTCACATTATATCTGGGAATTGAGGACAAGAACTATCTAAAGGGTTAATAAACTGTTAGGAAAAATATGCTAAAAAGGGAAAACATCTATTTTTAAAAGGAACTGTTTTGAAAGTAGAATGCCTGTGTTCCAGAACATGAAGCAGACTCATCTGATGTCAGTTGTAGCAAAATAAATAATTGCTTTATTTTATTTTTCCCCTAGACTCAGTATTGGAAGTAAACCTATCAGAAAACTGTGTATTACTTGTAATTTAAGGAAAGAGAGATGCCAATATTATACAGCAAGGTTCAGTGAACGTTCTAAGTATTATGCGTTGATCTGTTATGGTATGTATAGCATGTAAACAAACAAACAACCAGTTGTTCTGTTGGACATATCAGAAGCATAGATAATATTATTACAGCATACATAATAAATTACCACAAATGATGGCTAGATGAATCATAGAAATTTCACTGTAATCAGAAGAGATTTCCACATACTTTTTCATGTCCTAAAATCTTGGAAAAATGCTTCAAGAATATAAATATTTTCACACTTTTTTTTTTTACCACCCTCCCCCCCCAAAAAAATGCTTTTTAGAGTTAAAAACAAAATTTTGAAAGTCCTTCATGACACAAAACAAATATTAAGCTGACTCAACAAAGTCATTCTTGCAGCAGCAAGAGCAGGATTTTGTGAGAGACACCGATTTCCATAGAACATGATCAAAGTTAGCTATGAGAAATCACTACGATGAATTCTCAAATGGAAACAATTAAAACTTAGGTCAGCCTCAAAATGTTGAATATTTACTACCTGAGAAAAAATCTTAATAACATCTTTAAAAAAAAAAAAAATTAAAAGACTTTTTAAAATTTTGCTTTAAAAAAACTTTTAAATCTTTAAAAATCCTTAATAACAGAACTAAGAAAAATTTATCAAGATGTATGATTAGTGAAACCGCTTATAACACAGAAGTATGAGTGATGAGTTCATCCATTACTGTAATCAAAGAACAGTTAAGAAACAGTGTTCCCTAAAAAAGGGAAAAAAGCTGTCCAAAGTTTTCCTTTTGCGTACTTCATATAAAGCTTACTGTTCTTCTGCACTGAATCATCAGCTGAACAGTTCTTTGGTCCTCTGTTAAGCAGAGGACCAAATGTAGCTAATAACAACACCTTTCAATCATTCTTGTACAAAATAGTCAGTAAGGTCATCACCATATGAAAGCCAGTCACCTTCACAAATACAATTTGACATGTTCTCAGAAGAATGTTTCACATTGTTAGTTCTGCATTCACCTTATGTAATCACATCTAAGGTATTGACTAGATGTCACTTCTCTAAGGAGGAAGAGTTGGCTGATATGTTACTTCTATTATGTTTGTTAAATTATGTAGGTATATATGCAAGTCTACATACACACAGTACCTTATGTATTTTGTACAGCAGGGTCTAGTGGGTTTTGCAGCAGAGAAGATTCAGAATGGTAGAAGGTTGCATTCAACTCTTTAATTCCTGTCAGTTCCAATAGTAATGTAATGTACATTTTACCACCAAATTCTGGCTTCAAACTGTAAACAACCTTCTTTTCATTCTTATGACAGGTCCTGGGATTCCTATTTCCACTCTTTTTGAGAACCAGGGTGATAGAGGTACTGAAAATATCCTGCCTGTTTCTGGATGCTTGTTTTCTCATTTATCTTCACTATGCAAATCCCCTAATGCAATATTTAGGATTGTGAATAATAATAATAAATATCCTGAAGTCTATAAACGTTCTGTTTCATTTGGAAAATTAAGCTGAAAGTACAGCTTCTTTTTTTTTTTTTTTTTTTTTTTTTATGTACAATATTCTTAATCCACCAATACTCTTGGAAAAATGCATATGCAAACAATACCCAGTGAATTCATAATATATAGCTCCGTGGTCTGTGCCGGAAAATAACTAAATTATAAATAGTGATTTTAAAATGATATAAAGTAAATTGGCTCCCAGGCAAGTATATATATATATATGTATATATATATATATGTATATGTATATGAAGCTGTCTAAGTTTGCAGCAATACATTAGTAAGAACAGTTATACAGTATGTCTAGTGTCTTTATGGACATACACTATACAGTAGATAAGCCAAGGGTTTGCCTCATCCCCTTAAGACATTGAGTTTTCCATGTTTGTCCAGAAACAAGGTAGTCACAAACATATATGGGCTTAACCATGCTGCCCAAGAGTCTCAGAAGTTAAACTTAAGATACTGTGGTAAGGAAGAGAGGAGACACAGAACTGGTTTTTGCATTCTGTGGTGAATTTTACATTTCCAGCTTCTGCCATATAAGAAAACTGGAGAAAGTTAGTTGCAGGAGAAAGGAGTTTCCTCCTAACGTCCAGAACTCTAATGCTCACAGGCAATATGTGATGATTAGTGTTGCAAAATGTATATTCTATAATAATCTAAGAAATATTTGTGCATCATAATACCAGTGCCTTGCTTTTATTTAGCTATATGATCAAGACCAAATGGAACTGGCTGAGCTGATTTCATTACTCTGCTTATAATTTTTCACAGATTTCCTTACTGTTCTAATAAGATAAAATAAAGAAATCTCAATTAATGAAGAGGAATTAACAAATGAGTTATTTAATAATTTGGGCGTTTCTTTTCTGTAGAGCTCAGAATATTAGAAGACAACTGGGAACTGCAGTCTTCTTTGCAAAAGATCAAACTGCCGAAAGAAGAAATTAACAAACTTGAAGTGGATGGTATAAGTAAGAATTACAGTTTTAATATACTTACTACTCATATTTTGCCTTCATTTTGTTGTAGTGACTATAGTCTTTCTGTAGATCAAACTTGTTAGCCTGCCAGATTAGAAATCAGAGCCCTCATTTTGCCCTGTTTGACAGTGACTAATTTATCTTTGTCTCACGGTGTCTATCAGTAAAATAGTATTGGAAACACACCTCTTCTTTGTGACACAATTAAAAAAATACTTTCATAATATTTGTAAAGTGTTTAACTATCACATAAAAGCATAGTATATGTTTTATAGTACAGTATGGTACTAATGAAATGTGAAACATGAACTGCCATTAATGTGTTAAACATAATAGTGACTTGTATACACTGTTATTTTCCCTAGTGACTTTACAAACAATATTCCATAGTAGTGAATCAGTATAATGTTTTCAAAAACCCATGTCTCAAAATCTTTACAACAGTTGTGTTCCTAATTGTGTTTTTCTAAACACCTAGAAAACTGCAAATCTATTTTGGTGAAGTAATAATTGAATACATAGCTTCATTAAAAAAAAAAATAAAAATGGACAATTCAATTTTTCAAGTTTATTCTTAAACAGTTTAATATAAACAATTACTTCTGTTGTTCACAATTCATGTACTCTGTGCTGATTCTTTTTCTATTACTATTTCATTACTATTACATCAAACTATGGATTATGCTTGGAGGAATCTTTTTAACCATTAACAATGTAATTTTAATTTGTCTTTTCTAGCTTTGTGGTACAAAATGCTTCTGCCCCCACAATTTGATAGATCCAAGAAGTACCCACTACTCATTCAGGTGTATGTAACACTTCCTTTCTTTCAATTTCATTATTTTGTCTGAAAGAATGTTTATTATAATTTAAGGAAACCTAGGATATTTGTAACATTTTATCAAGCAAAAGCAAAAAGCATTTTGTTTTTCTGTTTGTTCATTTAATATGTTTAAATATACATATTAATATGTTTTCATATTGAGATTGAAATTTAAACATACATGTTTTCAATGTGAAATTATTAATTTCAGCTTTGTTAATATGTAAACTATGAGTCTGCTTAATTTTCTTATGAAAAACAAACAAAAAAAACTAAGCCATGTAGCCTAGTTTCTTTGAAAGTTTCCTTCTAAAGAGCATTTGAGATGAATTGAATTTATTGCTGTCTGGAAAGGCAAGAAAAAATGCATTGGTGCAAAAAAAAAAAAAAAAAAAAAAGAGAGATGGAAAAGTAATGGGTGTGATAAACATTATATTGTCTTTTATTAACTAGTGATGATCCAAAATTCCAACAATGCTAAGTATGTTTAGTTGAAGTTTAGAGTAGAAGATGAAGTAATTCATGTCCTCAAGGTCAAATACGTAATTTGTATTAGGCATGTCTCCATATTGCTCAGCTATGTGGGGTGTGTTCAGTCCACAGCTCCCAGAGCATGTTATTCCCTACTGAATCAAAGAAGGTTTGGTGATGGCCAGCGTAAGGAGCTATACTTTTTTTTCCTGTTTTCTTTGTTAATGCATAGTATGTGTGGAGATCAAATGCCAAATAAATACAAACAAACAGAATTCAAAAGGGCTATTACACCTCATTTCTGTACCCAAGGATTTTGGAGAGAATTAGAAATTGAGACTTTGAGACATACCTCCTCCAAGAACTCCCCTTACGATGGATACCTGATGCTGTGCTCCTTCGTCTGAGCTAAAACTAATGGTTTGCTTTAGGCATAAGACATTAAGGATTTAAGTGAATTTTAGATAGCAAAATCTCTCAAATATATGAAAACAGTAATGGGACTGCTTCTGTCTACTGAGATTTCTAAACCACAGCCATTCAGCAAAATATTTGTATAGAAAATGTGAGACATCTATAATCCAGTATCTATTTATACATCTGAGTTGAAAATGTGTAAATTTCCACCCTCAGGTATGGAGGACCTTGCAGTCAGAATGTAAAGGACACATTTAGCATTAGCTGGATAACCTATCTTGCAAGCAAAGAGGGAATTATTGTTGCCCTAGTGGATGGCAGAGGGACAGCATATCGAGGTGACAAGATTTTGCATGCAGTATATCGAAGACTAGGAGTCTATGAAGTTGAGGACCAAATATCAGCAGTGAAGTAAGTAGAATATATCTCCATAACATTTTTGTATTTACACACCTACAAAAAGTAATGTGGAAAAAAAAGAAAAAATATTAAATGTTCTCCTGAGCCTGTGTTCTGTAGAGCTGAGGGCTTCAGGAAATAAGACTAGGCTTAAGACTTGTAGAAATAAAATATTGCTTGATGTCAGTGTGGTGTACTAAGTCCTTTCACTACTAATTTCACATTTGAACCTCAGCACTTCTATTTTGTAAGGGCATTATCAGAGGCCTCAGTCCTAGGCCTAAATAAATATGTGCATCAGTGGTGAGAGGTAAGCTAATGTATTTTCCATTATTATGAATATTTTCCTGAAGGGGAAACCTACCTCATAGGTAGTAACCATACTGATTAGCCAAAGATCCATACTGATGGACCATGGTGATTAGCTAAATATCAAACGTGGAGTATAAAACTGAATCCTGACGCTACCTTTTCAACAGTGTTGTTAATCATAAACTTGTTCTCTATGTTGTCTTAAAATAGTAATAAACAACAGGAAGTGACTAAGGTCCTTTAGTAGATCTCCTCTTCCCACACAGGCTGCACCTCTGCATCAAACACTTAATGTATTCCAAGGAAAAACAAGTCCCTAAGCAGAAGTTTAGGGAAGGGGGAGAATGCTGAGGTTTTCTAAAGAAAGTCTGTCTGTTAAGCTTACAGATGCAGTAGCATTACGAAAGTGAGCATTTAATGAAGTGTTAGTTTGAACCCCACAGAAATGAATGCGAAGCAGGATTAAGAAATCTAGTCTAGGTTTCGATCTTGAATCACTACTATCAGAGCATGGATAGACTTTCGAGTGCAATATCCTTTCCCTCAGTAATGGACCTGATTCTGAGAAGAAAACGTAGAAAATGGATGTACAAGTCAAGGTTCCCACAACTTTCTCTGCTTGCTTGTGAATGGTGCTTGTATTTACAAGTGTGTGTGAGGAGGGGATCTGTTCCTTCCCGTTACTGCTTTGTGATAATTCATTTCCACCTCAATGATATAAACACACCATTATCTTTTTCAGTGATAAACGAAACAGCATATCTGTGTATCATGTCAGGTTTTTCAATATAATCCATTATTTTCTTTCCTGAAACTCTTAGCAGCAACATGCTTTAAAATATCACAGGACAGAGAAGTGTTTTTTTTATTACTCTGAATCATCATTCAAACATAAAATGCTGGAGACAGAGGGAGTCTAAACTGATTCTGCAGTTGCAGAATTTGCTGAGATGGGCTGTGAAGAAATGACCTCAGACTTCACACTTCCCAATTTTCTGTCAGCACCTAGACTAAATTTTTATTCAGTTAAATGAATTGCATTCCATCTTACTGATCTAACACATGGTTTAAAATGAATGATTTTTAGAAACAATCGTATACTCTAGTGGGAAACCTTGGAGGAGCTTTTACTGTAGGAGGAACCCCATGGGTTAAGACAGTAATTTTACAAATCTGAATCATTTTTTGGCTTATCTAACTTTGTCCCACCCATATTGTACTGGACATTTTAAGTATTGTCTGTCATTTGTGGTTGCCTTTGTAAAAAAAATGCTATCAGCTGCTTATACATTTTCTGGGATGTATCTGAAGATATTTTATCTCTTGCTCTTGAACCAATGTTGTCTTTTGCTTATGTATGATGTTTAAGTTAAAGAGAGGGTCTGGACAGTGTACCAAGGTGAATATTAAGTATAAGAAAAAACAACTTCTTTTACATGAAGCTAGTTGTTCCTCTGGAACAAAAATTATTAAGAAAGTGTTAATTTCAGCAATGTTTATTCTTTAAAGAAAAAATCTTCGTTTCCTCTGAATGTCTTTGAGTTGAATAACTGATGCTTTGTAGAAATCTGACATGCTACACTGATTGTCAGTTTGATCAAATTGCTGTGATGTTTCAAAAAAAGTGAAAATTTTTTTTTTACTAATTGGCTAAAATACTAGTAATCTTGGTTTGCAATAATGCATTAATTTCTGTGATTTTCTTTTCCACAGGAAATTTATAGAAATGGGTTTTATTGATGAGAAACGAATAGCAATATGGGGATGGGTGAGTGGTTCGTCTGTTTTATATCTATCTTTAAATAATCCTGTAGTATAATTTTATATAATCCTTCCTTTTTCTGTCCTAAATCTCTATAAAGAGATTGGCTGAAGACAACTTCAGAGATAGCATAAATGCCACACAGCCCCTTTATAAAGATTTTTAAGATGTTCAAGCTATCTGGCTCAATTGTTTGTCATGAATGACTAGATTAAGAATGCAATATCCAGAAAGAATTTTTCTTCCTTTCTCTCTTCCTTTCTTTCTTTTTCTTTCTCTCCTTCCTTCCTCCCTTCTGTCTTTCTTTTTCATTGCTGTTGTTTGTTTGTTTTCCTTGGCCCAGTTTCATTGTAAGAGGCTTGCCCAGAAACACTGGGCAACTGTAATTGTAGGAGTTGCCTGATTTTAGACAGCACATGAGCAGGGTTGCTAAAATCTTTCAATTAATCTAATATTTAAATTACTGTGGCCAGACACAGCTATAACTAGGATAAAATGTGCTGTCATAAGGTGAAATTAAAGTGACATCAATCATGTTAAGACCACGTGAAAATACAATTTTTTTAATCACATTATATTGTATTTAACTACAGTGTTTCTGGAACCAATTAAGTGTGATTTCACACATCTAAAGCATTGTATTCCAGTAGCAGATATATTATTTAAATAACAGCACTATTGCCAAACCTGTCAATTTTTTTTTTTTTGTCTTTTTTATTTATTTATTTATTTGTTATTACCATTTCCTGGTCTGTATCCTTTGAATAGATTTGGAAGCTGTATCCTTATTTATAGCATGCAATTTGATAGGTATGCATGAACTCATCATACTTTCAGACTCACCAAACTCTTTTGGATGGTAAAAGTTCTTAAATGACCACTAAGGCAATTCAGGTTTTGAACTCCACCTCTCCAACTCTTACAGTACATAGATTTACCTGCCTGATCTTAATCCTTTACTCTGTAGCCTTGTGGACTGCTTTTTTTTAAAATATCAAATGAAGCAAGCAAATGCTCTTGAAAGGTTTTATGAGTTACTATTTCCTTAAGCATATCCATCGCTGTAGTTTCAAGCATGACTCTCAACAGTAGAGAGGGACTAACTTAATTCTCTACAAATTAACTAACTAACTAAATAATGATCTGTGCATACTGCCCTTAATCATTAATACGCTATTGATAAGATTAATAATTAAAAAAATTCTGCATGACACACCCATCCCTCTATTCCAGAATAAACAGGAGCCCATTATTTCCCAAAACCTTATACAAATATTTTCCAACCCCAGTTCCATATCCCATGTACAATCAAACAGAATGCTTTTTATTACAATATCTTCTCCTTTCTCAGCTTCTAGCCCCAAATTGTTGCATGTCTATTCTGATATCTAGGCTTACTTTGCCTAGATTCTATCTATGAACTTGTTCTTCATTATTGGGTCCCAGTTTGAGGAATCAGGCCAGAAGAGCAGCCATTGGTAGAGACAAATTGCTCCAGCTTCAAGTTCTTAAATATATGAGCCTGTTAGTATTGGGGATGGAGATGGTTCAATATAGCAAACATTCAAAAAAGCTAGATAGTTTGTTAAGGGTGGGAAATCCTATGACTCTTCTTGGAAGGGCACACTGACAGGATGAGAGGCAATGAACACAATTTACCACAAGGAAAGTTTTGAATGGGTATTAGGAAAAAAAAAATATATGACAACAGTTTTCAACATTGAAATATGTTGACTAGAAAGGCTGTGGAATTTGGATGTGCCTCTGATTGACATCATGTAATTTTGAAGTTAACCCTGTTTTGAGATAGTTTGCACTGATTAGATTACCTTGAATGACACTGCCAACTTAATTTTTTTATGATTCTAAATGCTAACAAGAGCAATATCCTGTGATAAGTGCTGAAGAAATAGTAAGATAAGTGATTCAATAAAACCGTCTAATCTCTGTCACAAGAAATCACATCAGATCTATTTGAAATCAAAAAAAAAAAAAAAAAGCTTTGTCCTTCATGCATTCAAAGCAAACTCTTTACTTTGGAATCATTTTGTTTTCCAAATCAAACTCATATAAAATGATATTTCACCAATAATTTTAAACACTCAGTGATTTCTTCCTAGTCCTATGGTGGATACGTAACTTCTCTGGCACTTGGATCTGGCAGTGGAGTATTTAAATGTGGAATGGCTGTGGCTCCTGTTTCCAGCTGGGAATATTACGGTATGGAAAATTGTCATAAACACTGACTTGGAAAGAGAGGTAGCATTTAATGGCTTTCTAAATTAAATCATTGCAAGAGAATGTCAATACGAAACTTAGTGCAATTACCTAGACATAAAACTTTTAAGACCTTAAGTTTAATATTTTCTGTGCTGAAAATAACTGATTGGAACTGTCAGTTTGGAACGGATTTTGTTACATAGAAGGTATGCACAGACAATTCTATATGCACATCTGTAACAATCTGTTTGATTGTATCAAGTTTGATTGTTGTTGATTGTATCAAGTCCTCTTGATAAACACTATATTCAGGAATTATCTCCCTAAAAAAAATCTTGTTAAAACTGAATTCAGAAACAGCTGAAATGTTTTTCTGCCCATAATGTAATCACAGTGCACTTCGACTTCAGTTACTGCAGATGGCCTCTGTCAGGAATCAGTATCTCTGACGACTGCAAAGTTATTTTCCAAAAGCAGTGGAAAATAGAGGGACTCAGTTCTGTCTGATATTTTTTATTTTTAAATATTTTGCCTTTAGATGTTTCTCAACCACACCTCCAGTGTTGTCGTGTTACAAGACATATTTTTCTTTATTGACTAAGACTCCAAACTGTTTTGAGGAAACAACTCTGAGAGTGTACTCCCAGGGCCTTGCTGTGTGAATAAAGCAGGCACATACGCACTTACTTGCAGACCTGTTAAGCTTTTGGCATGGTGTAAAGGAACCTTAGTGTAAAAAAGAATCCTGCCATGCATGTTTTCAATGAGCAAAATGTAACACTTTGAACACATTTACTTAGCATATGGTCGTTGCTAAGAAGTCTTAGTTATAAGAAATTTCTTTGGTTAAATGGGAAGGATTGCTTCCCTGACTGCTAGCACAGACATTCCTTGTATTTATGGTGTTTTGCAAACAAAGGGAAAAACATTTGTATGACACAGGAAGCATAATCTTCATGTTTTCACTGGCATGAACATTTTTGAAGGCATTTTCACTCATGATCACAAAATTATTTCCAGAATGCAGGCATAAAGCACTATTTTGCAAAAGTCCTTCAATAAGGGAAGAGTTATAAACATTTGTTTGGGCATTAAAAATTGCATGAAGTTTTAAGTAAAAGCAGATTAGACCCACACCATTGCAATCTTTACTTTAGCTGATTTTTCAAAAGAGCATTAAAAAATCTTGCTAAAAGCACATTGTAAAATCCAGACAAGCAAATGTACTTCCCCAAAGGAAGGAAGGAAGGAAGCATAACAAAGCAATGAGTCATGAGTTCTGGCAAACAGATCAAGTTAATATTAGGGTGAACTCTGTTAGGGGCAAAACTACAGGATGCTACATATTTGAGACTTCAAGCAGGGTCAGTATGTTAGAGGATGTACTGGTCCCTAGAGCTTCTAAGTTTTGTCCTGCCCTCTTTTAAATGCACAGATCAGAGTTTGCAGCATAATCTTTTCTCTGAAATCCTCCCACTCACCTCCATTTTCTGTCAGAGTTAATATAGCAGCTGAACAGTTATAAGGAAAGTTGCATTCAGGGACAATGTATAGTTAAAAGCATTAAATATGTGACTGTTTTATTAAAATTCTAAATCTCCTTTTTCTTCCTCAGTAATTGACAAGCTGAATCTTCCACTTAGTCATTATAATGCAATTCTTGCTGACCTCAGTGGACTTGTTGTAGCTATACTGGTAGAAGAGAGTGGAGAATTTGGCTCAAAATACTGTAGAAATGCCAGCCATTCAAAGAGTTTATTTTATTGAAAACTCAAGCCCAATATGGTTGTTTGACACTGTGTTGACAACAGATATTGCACATTTTCTGTTTTCATTGAATGATAAAGAATTTTGATAAAAGATAGACTACTTAGATTTTTCTGTATTTAGTTTATTACAAATTGTCTTAAGGAGCCTTACCTGGCTGATCTGGGAGACACAGTACACATCTTTAGCACTTGGTGGTAACATATATAAAGGATACATAATAAACCATGGGAACGTGGCTATATTGAGTCATTTTCCATCCCTGGGGGAACTCTCATTTCTACTTTTTCTCAAAAATATTCTAATGCAGTGTATGAAACTGGACAACAAGATACAGGCCTGGCAGGTAGGGGGAAAGCAGTGAATATTGTCTATCTGGACTTCAGTAAGACTTTTGACACTGACCCCCACAAATCCTCAATACAAACTGTTAATGTATGGGCTGACTGAACAGACAGTGAGATGGATTGAAAACTGGTTGAGCAGCTGAGCCCAGAGTGGGGTGATCAGTGGCACAAAATCTAGTTGGAGGCCAGTAACTAGTGGCTTGGGAGGAGTGGATGATAAACTATAGTGTGATGCTCCAAGCCAGAAGGACCTCAACAGGCTAGAAAATGGGCTGACAGGAACCTCGTGACATTCAACAAGCAGAAATGCAAAGTCCTGCTTCTGGGCAGGAACAACCCCAGGTACCAATATTTGCTGGTGGCCACCCAGCTGGAAAGCAGTTTTGCAGAAAACAACCTGAAGGGTCTTGTGGGTACCAAGTTGAACATGAGTCAGCAATGTGTCATTGATGCAGAGAAGGCTAATAGTACCCTGGGCTTCATAGGCAAAGTATTGCCAACAGGTCAAAGGAGGTGATCCCTCCCCTCTATTCAGCACTGGTGAGGCCACACCTGGACTGCCATGTCAAGTTCTGAGTTCTTTAGTACAAGAGAGACATGGAGATGCTGGAGATTGTCCAACAAAGGACCACGAAAATGATTAAGGGACTAGATCATCTGGATCATCTCCCCTGTGAGAAAAGGCTGAGACATATGGGACTGTTTAACCTCAAAAAGAGCCTCGGGGGGATGTTATCAATGCCTATAAATACATTAAGGAAATGGGCACAAACTCACTTAGAGGATGTCCTGTCAACATCAGAAAACACTGCTGCATGGGGAAAGTACTGGCACAGGTTGACACAACGAGGTTGTGGAGTCTCCCACCTTGGAGGTATTCAAAAGCTGTGTGGACATGGTCAACATGGTTCTAGGTAGTTAGTTCTAGAGGATCCTGCATTGGTCCTGGTTGGAACAGATGACTTCCAGATTTCCCTTCCAACATCAACTAGTCTATGATTCTGTAGACAATCTTGATTCCTTACTGACTACGATGGCCATCACCTCTAAATATGGGTGGGAAAGATGCCAGCTTTTCTTCATCAGATAGCTCTGACTCCATTAAATAAATAAAATTCCTGTAATACTGCAGCTTGACCGCTCAATATGTGCTGGTTACTCTTTCAAGGAAAAGTCATAAAGAAAGTAATGCACTTGTAGTGACAGCTGCTGCATCAATTTTCCACAGATTTTCATAACTACTGTTAGTTAAATTACAAACATGCGGGCAGTTTAAAGATAGCTGAAACCTAACGGTTTCTTGGTGTTAGATATCATTCAGTTATTCGTGCTTGTGTTTTTTTCAAATCCATTAATAGTCTTTGTTATCGTTAGAGAAAGGAACTGGACAGATACCTGAAAATCAATTGCAAGTTTTTAAGCACAAGCCTATATCATTTCCTGCTCCCCCATAATTGTTGCTTATATTCATTCAATGGGATAAGGGCAATGTTTTTTCCATATTAACTATATATACTCATACACATCCCAGGCTGGAATTCTGCTCTGTTTTTTCTTTTTAAGATGTCAACAGTAGTGTATGTTGTCTTTCTACCACACACATTTATTGGCTCATTCAACTGACTTCTGGAGTTCAAACCAGTAGCATAAAGCAGTATCGGTTAATTACCTTTATCCACAAAATGTTAACTCCATAGATGAGTATTGAACCACTATTTCTACAAGGACTGTTTGGAGAACATGTATTAATTAACATATGTATTAAATTATATTTTAATAATTTTATATTTTATTAATTAATTATAATGTATTAATTAACCATATTTTTAGTATGTTTAGATTTGGTGTATTATGAGGAAACCAAGCGGAACAGATATAGTTAAACAGTCCATTTTCTATGTATCACTGGAGGCACAAAAATATATTTAGCTTTTTTCTTCTTTAATATCACAGCATCTATCTACACAGAACGATTTATGGGTCTTCCTGTAGAGTCCGATAATCTTGAGCACTACAAGGTGAGAATTCTCTTTGTTCATTTGCCTTAAACCTGAGTCACACTTCCAGGGACAACCAGAATAATAAAGAAATAAAATGACCAGCCAGCTCTCTTAGTGGCAGCCCTGTAACAGCTAAAGCTGCTGCTGTGAAATTCATATCTCTGTAGTTCCTCATGGTTTTGTATTTATCAGTTGTAAATATAATAAACTGAAGGATCTTTATTTTCTCATTGATTTGACAGTGCAAATCATTAATTCAGGAAAGAACTTATATGAGAGAGGTTAAGATGGTTTGTACCCTTAACTATGGTATTCAAGCTGCTTCATTCAAATTTAGCTGTCTGATAATAATATCTACATAGTGAACAGTCAGAACCTCCCCTACCTGGAACAGATTGCATTTTTGATTTTCTTCACATTGGTAGGAAATCTGTAACTTTGTCTAGCAGCGCACATACCAGCTCTGAATACAGACAGGCCTGAATTAAGCCCAAAGAATTTAACCCAAAACCCAATAAAGGCTGTTGTATCAATACCTATCATCCATCCTAACCCCTACTGCAGAAATGCTCAACACCAAACAGCTCTAGTAGAGCTGTCTAGGTAGCTAGGAATTGCAGAGTTCAGAGAATGCCACATGGTAGGTACTATGCTTTTTGTGAAGTGGTCATAAATGTATATAGTTTCTATATACATATAGTAATCTATCTCAGATTGAGATGAAGTCACTGCTGTCATTATTATGCCAGTCCAACTGTTTGATTGTGGTTATACTGGTTAATGGAAGCCTTTCAGCTCTGTGATTGAGTGGTTTAAATTGAAGCTGCTGAACTGTTCACTTTTCCTCTCAACAGAATTCAACTGTGATGGCAAGAGCAAAGAATTTCCAAAACGTGGAGTATCTCCTCATCCATGGAACAGCAGATGGTGAGGTTTGCAAATGGTAGTACAAATACAGAGCCAGAATCACTTTGTTTGAAAAACATTAAGCATTTTTCTGTGCCTTAGATTAGGATGACTACTTAGATCTTTGTTAGATTTCAGTATGACATATTGTAAGGTGCTTAGTCATTCTTAGTCATGTCAACTGTATCACTCGATAATTATTGGACACAATTTAATGCACTAGAATTTTATGCTTTGTGGTATTTACACGTTTCAACAGCCAATCACTTTTTTTCCTTTTTCAGATAATGTACATTTCCAGAACTCAGCACAAATTGCAAAAGCTCTGGTTAACGCACAAGTGGATTTCCAGGCAATGGTAAATAACAGATTATTTTTCATTTTGAACAGTGTTTTATAGCTTTATCAATAAGTTGATATTATATTTGGTGACATTTTTAAGAACCCAGTTCAACAGAACATTCTTCAAAATCTAGTAATTGTTAGTGCATTTGTTACTCTTTATAAGTAATTCCTTCTTCAGAGTATTTTCGTGCTCTTTTTGTTTATTTGTTTTTCTTTCTCTCTTCCCCTTTGGATGCTAATGAAATTTCTCTCATAAAGAATAACTTAGAGGCTTTTAAAATGAGCCAGGGAGAAGAATGATAATCCAGCCTTCTTATAAAAGCTGCTGATAGCTAGTAAAAGAGAAGAAGATGAAAAAGCTGGCTTCTGGGACCAAATCCATCAGTGCTTCTGATGGATTCTCTTTACCTGGACATGCCTGCCACAGGCAGGAGGTGAAACATAGGGGAAAAAATTAAGTATCCAAATACTGTATCCAGGATGAGGGGAAAAAAAAAAAAAAAGCGTTGTCTGCAAAATTTGCTTGGAGTAGTTGGAGTAGCAGGTGCAGGCAAACAGAGAAACACATAGACAAAAGGTTAGAAGATATAAGTGAGGAATGAACAGGTAAAAAGTAGCACTGAATTATATAGTAACACTGAAGTATATGTTAAGCAATGCTTCTGCACCTTCTTTCTCCAGACTAATGGCAAACAGATCTGCCTGCTATCAAACATACTGGCCTTCTGCCTCAGACCACTTCCGAGGTCCATGAACTTTGGATCAGACAGAGGTCCCCCTGTACTTGAGATTTGTAGGACCTTTTGTGAATTCCTCATCTTCTAACTTCACTGATATTTAGCAAACCTGGTTTACTTCTCAAGTATCTGGGATTCTGTATGCAGTTGTAGTCATTCTTGTTCAGCTACAGCAATGTCTCAGTAGAGTTAGAAGGAAAATCGAGGAAACATCCTTGATTTACTTAATGAAAGCAGGACATTTTTAGTCTAGTGAAATAAAATCTGAAAATTCTATGATTGCTATGGAGGATAACTACAGAGAAAAAAAAAAAAGCTATTGAAGCTAAAAAACAGTTTTAGCAGAAGAATAAATGTATATATAGTACTGACAAATACATTGAGGTCAAAAGTTAGAAGAATTTTCTGTTAAAACAGCTAGCCTTTGGAATGAGCAGAAAAAGGGGGAGCATGGCAAAAAGCAACCTACTTTTAAGCTTCAGGTTAGTACATTCACTACAAAGGGATCAGACTTTGCAACCCAAAGGTGTCTCTTACTCCTTAAATGAGAAGACCGAATGATTTTTGCCCTTCCTGTTTCTAATGACATGGAAAAGTCTCTAATAGCAAACCATCCTGCCGTAGTTAGGTGTTAACCATTATTTCTTAAGAAGTTAGCAAAATTCATATCTTATTTGCAGTAATCAGTCATAATGGTTGGGGTCCTGCTGTAATGCAGGGTGTGTTGAACAGAAATGCATAACATTTAGGTGAAAGCTGTTGCTGAGAGCCCAGTATTCCTATATTGCCAAGGCCTCGTAGCATGGCAGGGGCATTTGATCCCTAAAGGCATCTCAAAACTCTTTTGCCCAACTTTATACAACAGAATTGCCAGTATTGAGGCAGTAATGCTTACTCCTAGATTACAGAAAGTATAGAAACTTTGTTCTATATAGTAGAATCTACTGAAAAGGAAAAAAAAAAATAGCAGGTCCCTCTCTTTGTTTACTTGAGGCATGTACTTTCTTCTATATGGCAATGAAATAGTGGAATTGCTTAACTGTTACAGAATTGAAGAGATAACGTAGGGGCTTTATGGATTTTTTCTTTCTTCTTTTTCAGTGGTATACTGATGAGAACCATGGAATTCCAGGCCTTTCCAGCAAACACCTCTACACACATATGACCCATTTCCTCAAACAATGTTTTTCTTTGTCAGAATAGATGAGCTCTTCAGAGCATGCTAAGGCATCTGATACATCTCTGGGAGAATGCAATGATAACAGTGCCTGGGTTATGTAGTTTTTAGGTGGATTGATAGCAGGAACTCTGAAGTTAAAAACTTGATGTTTACATCCATTTTTTATATTGTATATTAGCAGATGTTGTGCTAATACATGTTTTGGCACATTTAACACCTGTTGGATAGAAAAAAATAAAATCAGAATGTAACATGGTATGTGCATTTATTGCCATCTTGCTTAAACTACATTCTGCATTCCAAAGCTAGGTGGTCCGTTGTGAAGGCATACTGCCAAATGAATACACTTGCGTTTGTTAACTATAACTGTAAAATGGGCAAGGACAATGAAAGTTGTGCAAGTACCTAATTAACTTCTTAATAAGAACCAGTTTCTCAAAATACATTTATATTTCCAATTTATTGGAAAGAATCCAAGCAGGGATAGGAACACACAATATTTGAAGCCGAAGTATGGATAATTAGCCAGAATATTGAATGCTGTGTTCAAATTTTATTAAGCTCTTCCTTGAAACCCTGATTCTGCTAAACTCTGTTCAGGTTTAAATATGGAAGCTGGACATTCATGATAGCTATTTTATCTCAATGTTTTTTTCTGCCTGTGTTCAAATTATGTGAGCCACATTACCCTGCTTTTAATCTTCACCTTGTCATTCACATTAATTCTAATATTGTTCATCCCAGACTGAGGGGAAAAAATCAAAGGATTTTGCATGTTTGCTTTGCTTTGTTTCCAGTAAAAAAAATTTTTAGGGAGTCTTTTAAAAACTTTAGAAGCTAATAGTGATTGGAACACATGTATCCTTTTGATTAGTAATTAAATCAGTCCTGTCATAATATAAGAGTATGAACAAGATAACTGGCAGGAGATCCATTTTAGATTAAATGATTCTCTGGTCACATGTTTTAAAAATTCTGAGTTAGCCTACTGCATAAGAATTGTCATCTGTCTAATGTAGTATCTCATCTTTGCTATTAGCTAGTGAGGGTACAAAATAACCTGAAAAAGATTGTGGAGTAGCCTTCACACAAAGAAAGCTTCTTCCTAACTCTTTGAGACTGGTTGCTGCTTGTTTGTGGAAGAACAAGGCATTTAATTTGACCCTCTTGACAAAAAGATGGGGTTTAGCCAACATCATTAAAATGTAGAAATGATTTGCTATGTAACGGATTCTTTCATTTTGTTAATGGCAATATCAAATCTGATTTTCCGCACATGAGAACATTCCTCAGACATCTTTATGTAAATGTAGTTGCCAAGCTGTTTGTAATGGTTAAATTATACTTTGATGGGAACTCTTCAGAAAATACTCAATTAGTTCAGGTTTTTTTGGAAACACTGCCAATTATGTGACGTTAATGAGCTTTTTGTTGGTAATGTAATTAAAACTCAACTGCTATAATGGTTAAAGGAAAAAATTATAGCTTTAAGAAAGTTAATGTTAAGCAAATATAACATGAAGTGGGGCTAATTAGATGTTGATTACATGGTCCTATGTGCATTTGCTGTAAACAACAATACTCTCAATAATGTGATTATTTTACAAATAAGGAATACAATTCAGTTGAAATTACTGAGATTTAACTCTCATTTTGTAATATTGATACAACACTACAGAAACCATTGCAAATTTGCATTGAAAGAGAGGAAAATCAGGTTCTTGTAGCAGATGCTTAAAGGTTTTAGATGTCTGAATATGTCAGTGAGTACCCAGAGCAATTTTCAAAATGCATGGTATCAGTCTCACATTAATATCAATATATTAATTTATATTTAAGTTATAGTTAAGTTTCTGCACCTTTATACTTTATTTATACTTCTGGAAAATCCTGCAAGCCCTAGAAATTTGACCAGATAAACCAACCCATTGTGGATACTACAAGTAATAAAATAATACAATGCACTGGTCACAGGTCTTTGTGACCAGTGCATTGTATTGGGTCACAGAAGATTGGGTAGTCAGAATCTTCTGGAAGCATTTGAGATAAGGGACGTTTCTGGAAAATGTGTCAAACAAAATAACAGAAGGTACCTCCTTCCCAAGGGATGTGTTAGCTATTTCATCATTAATTTGCCCGTATGTCTATTTATTTCCTGAGGCAATCAGAGTACACATCTTCCAAACTGTCCAACATTTACTTTAGCTTGTAGGAAGCAGTTGTGGGGATAAACCATAAAAAAATCAGTGCATCATGCTGCTGTCATCTTTGCTTCCTTGTTTTTCATGTTGTTAATTTATTTGCTTTATACAGTGTTCTTGCCAAAGAATGGGAATATGTCTTCAGCAGAGTGTGACGTTTACACTGAGTTGCTGGAATAATATAGAACCTGAAAGCTTTTTGAATGAGCAACCATGTATTTTGATGATGTCGTGGTTTAACCCTGCCGGCAGCTAAACACCACGCAGCCGTTCGCTCACCCTCCCCCTTCCTCTCTGGGACGGGGGAGAGAAATGGAAAGAGAAGCCCGTGAGTTGAGATAAAGACAGTTTAATAAGACAGGAAAATAATAATAACAATAATAATAATAATAATAATGCAATGGTGATAATAGTACTACTAATAATAATATGTACAAACAAGTGATGCACAATGCAATTGCTCACCACCCGCTGACCAATGCCCAGCCTAACCCCGAGCAGTCTGGCCCCCTCCCCCGGCTAGCCACCCCTATATATTGTTTAGCATGACGTCAGATGGTATGGAATACCCCTTTGGCTAGTTTGGGTCACCTGTTCTGGGTCCCCTCCCAGCTCTTACTGCACCCCCAGCCTGCTTGTTGGCAGGGCAGAGCAAAAGGCTGAGATGTCCTTGGCTTGGTATAAGCACTGCTCTGCAACAATTAAAACATCGGGGTGTTATCAGCACTCTTCTCATCCCAAGCCAAAACACAGCATTCCACCAGCTACTAGGAAGAAAATTCTGTTCTAACTGAAACCAGGACAGATGACCTGGGAAAAAATGTCATAGGATACTGTGAGTGCTTAAAAGAAAAAAAAAGAAAAAGAAAAAAAAAAACTTACAAACATATGCAACATATGTCAAAGTAGCTGTCCTGTGCTAATAACAGGTAATGATGCAGTCATTCATTAGAAATGATGCAGGGCATTTCTAACCTACCATTACAGTATCAAACAATGATTGAGGTTGGAAAGGACCTTTTGTCCAATCCAAGATTATCTAGATGGCTCAAGCAGGGCCACTTAGAGCAGGTTGCCCAGGACCATGTCCAGACAGCTTTTGTATATCTCCAAGGAGGAAGACTTCACAACCTTCTTTGGGCAATCTGTGCCAGTGCTCATTCACTCACATAGTAAATAAGTTGTTCTAGACAGAACCTCCTGTTTTCAGTTTGTGCCCATTACTTCTTGTACTCTCACTTGTCATGACTGAAAACAGCCTGGCTCTGTCTTCTTTACACACTTATTCTTATGTCTTGAATTAAGCTGAAGCTAACAAAGGGTTGGTTTTATATATGAATAGAAATTATATGTGTATACTGCAAATATAGAATATGTTATGTAAAAGCCAATGCTGGAACACAGCTTACTTTGAAATTAAGAAATGATAGCTTTTCACAAGTTTTTCCAAGCTGATGAAAGACAGTCCTCAAAGTATTGCCTTCTACCCTAGGACATTTTAGAGGATCCATTTTTCAGAAAATGCTGAGCGCTTCCCTATTTTCTTTTCCCTTTTCAATAATATTCTCACACTCAAGATACCCAAAAATATCACTTCAGACAAAGAAACGTTGTGTTTGAGACTCTTATAAACAAGGTATACTAGCCGCTAAAGGTAGGGCATTGGTATTTTCTCTGAATGAAAAAATAGCCACAGACAGAGCTGTTTACAAGTCTCCACTATAGTGTTATATATACTCCAGTATAGTGTTTCTACTATAAATCCTGGTTAACTTTTACAGAATAACAGTAGAGGTGCAAAGCAAACCTGCATTTTCATCATTTACCTAATGTTGTGCGTATGTATGCATCAACGAACAATATCATGCTGTATGTATCAATGAACGTATAGTATTTCTCATGCCTCAAACATGGAACTGCATTATTTGCTTCACTTGAGATTGCTACGTATGCAAAGAAGAAAAAGTTTGAAGAGAAAACATCGTTAATAGATCAAGTATAACTCCAGCCAGGATCCAGAACATGGTTAGTGTCTCATTTTACTTAGATATCAAGTAAAATTCAGACTACATTCAATATTTTCCAGTTTGCCAGTCAGTTCTAATTACAAGGCACAGCTGTTTAGTACATTTCATAGTCATTTGAATGCTCTATATTTAATGTGAATAATTCATAGTATTTGCTAAGAGCATTTGGTATTACTTTCAATTATGAACATTGTCTTCTCAGAGTGTAAAGTAACTAGTACATACTTGGCCAGCTCTTCTGCTTGCGCAAATTGATGCAGCTCCATTGATTTCAAACGGAGCGATTCCAATTTATTGTCAGTAGACAGTATGGGATATTTGCATAGTTACAATAACTCTGTTTCCTGAGGTACAAACCCATAGATATCCATGGCAGTGAGCATAGAGTTGCATGCTGTGGTAAGGTGTGGAGACCCTAAACTAATCTCTCTTTTCGGAAAGCCACTCCTGCTCTCCAAAGTGTAGCCATGGAGTTGCACACTTATTGTACACATTTGTGTTATACATGTATACACACACATGTGTGTGTAAGATTTATGCTCCATATGTTTTATGTTTGTATGTGTTTACATGTATAGGTTGTACTAATTTCCAGAAGAAGAATGAAGGCCCATTCTGCCTGATTATCATGTAGCAAAGATAAGAAAACAAAAAGTCTTCACATTCAAGCCTCTGAACTCATGGTTGAGAAGGCTTTTGAACTCATGGAGAAAGGGCTTTTGGTGCAATGTACTAAAGAAAAGGCTGTGGGCCTTTAGTCACACCCCAAGATACAGCCTCCTCTCTCCTATCTTCTTTAGATTTATATGTAAAAGTGCTAATAACAAAACAAAACAAACAAACAGAACAATAACAAACAGGAAAAAAAAAAAAAAAAAAGAGAAATTGTGTGGGGTTTTTTTAAGCATTTTGCAGTGTTGGTTTTTTTTCACTTCAAAAAGCAACTTCCTAATTCATTAAAACGTTCAAATCTTGAATGTTTTTAAATATTTTTTTCTTGTACCAACAATTAAAGAATTAAAAGAAACAT